AACTCTATCAATGAAAAAATTATGAAAAAAATCTAACGACGCGAAAAAAATAACGGCTTTGAAAACTCGAAAAAATGGCAATTTTTTTGTAATTTTGGAAGAATTCGTGCAAGCGTTCGTAGCTGTGTTTGCGTCAAACACACCGATGTGCCATATTAAATGTTGCAGGAGCCGTTTTTTTCGGAGTCAAATTGCACTTTTTTCCTGTTTTTATTTCGAAATGACATCATTTTTTTCATCTTTCTTCCAAACCGAATGATAATAATTTTTTTCTGATTAGAAAAAGAGAAAAAAATAAGCTGAAAAATTCCTTCTAACCTTTTTTTCTAAGTAGTTTTTTTGATATTTTTATCAAAAAAATTCTTATGATAGTTATACAAAAAGATTCATACCAAAACGTTAAGCTCAGTTCTGACAACCTCTCAGAACAGAAAACCGATTCGAAAACGGTTCAGAAACGCGCAAAAACAATTAAAAAGAAAGCGTGCGGCAGCGGGTAAACCGTGAGATTTTGCCTCCAGTTGTACGCCGCGCGCGCTAGTTTTTTGGCCATAACTTTTTTCTTAGTGGACCTTTTTTCAAAAACTAAACGGATTATGAAAATGGACAGTCTCCTCTATCGAACAGTGTGAAAAACATATTTTTTGAATCGTTCTGAAGAAATGGCTTGCGGACCCTACATATAACACAAAAAATTGGGAGGCTCGGGCCATATGACCGCGAACCGGAAGCTCCCCGGGCGTGTTTGGCACTTCTAATGACAACTTAAGCAGCGTCAGAACTCTTAAGTTATCCCTAGAGTTGCTCAGAAACGTCCGGGCCCGTCCGCTTTTCGTTATCGAGGTCCGAAAAATAACTAAACTTGAAACTTTGTCGATGGAGCGCGTCTCAAACAATATTAGCTTCGGCTGATTTTTTCTGGCTACTTCTCCGACTCTCCTTTGTTTCTAAAAGCGTTTAGGACCTTTTTTGTTCGAAGTATTTTTTTCCAGGCTTCTTTTTTTACAATTCTGGCATTCAAAAACCAATGGTGGTCATTTTTTTCACGCGCAATTTTCTCATAATTTTGCCAGTCATGTGAACGGACTAATGATTTTGGTCGTTCCTCACTTCTATGACATTTTTACAACCGACTTTAGCTCCCATCTGTCATTAACTCAAAACCTCTTTTATATTAAAACCTATGGGTTTTCTGCCCTTTTCCACTTGTCTTTAATTTTTCAGGTTTATTCTGACGGTTTCTCTTCGAGGAACCGCAATGTCTCATTGTCTGCGATTATGTTGAGATTTTCGACACCAATTAATCCCACTAGATGCAGTATTTCACATTTTTTTCAAAACCTGGATTTTTTCAGGAAGTTTGTTAAAGAAGACCAATCCTCTCAAATCACCTACCAAAGTTGAAAAAAAATGTTTCCTACAAAAATCTTTGCTCCTGTGGTAACGAAAAAAATTACTATTTCCGCACTCATTTTTCCTTCGAATACACAGCTCTTCGAATAATCTCAGGTTAACCAAGCACCTTCTGCAAGTTTTGCCTCGAAACTTGCATCTATGGCGACTCTCCTAACTGCACCCGACTTCATGCTCCACCGCTCATTAACATAAAACTACCGGAGCCTACGGTGATCCTGACGTGTGATGGTGGAGCGGCGCCATGCCAATGGACATTGGCCGGTAATTGGGGGCGCCAGCCGATGGGTCGGCGGTCGCAAACCTGCCGATGGGCACTCCCAACGCAACTCACATCGATCCGCTCCAGTTCCGTTCATATCCTCCCACGCGTTTCCGAAGTTGCTCTTTGAGTATTATATACTGTTCATGAGTCATTCTTCTTTTTCTGGTCGTTCTAGGGATCACTCGGAGATTGGACACACTTCAGGACATTAGTTCGACCTTCTCTCTGTTCTTCTTGTTAGTTGTAGAGGAGTCTTGGTGGAGTTTAGACTAGTCTATCTGGATTTTTCTCATGACTTTCGAGTCTGTTCTACGTTTAACAATTAACTGAGATTTTTAAAAGAGAGCAGAAGATTTTTAATGGCTCGGAAAAGCTTCACGTTTTTTAGTACAGCTCTTCTTCATTTTTTCGGCTTTTTTTTGAAAATTCCTAAAGTTTCCTTTTTCATTCGATTCATTGAGATTGTTGAGTAGCTAAAAACAACGCTGAATTACTTATTACTAATTTTTTTTTTTTGATTCATATTCTTATTGTTGTTATTATGAGGTTAACAGTTGATCCTTATCATTATCACCATCGGCAAAGACGTTGTGATCATTATCAAGCGGTTATCATGTCTCATTTGCTTACTACCAACAGTCTAAATGAGCAAGTTTTCCTTTTGATATTTCAGAGGAACAGGTTTCGTGCTTCAAAAAGTATTAGTAACTTTGGAAAAGGTAGATTTTTTTTTCTTGTCCCATTTACTAGAAGCTAATCGGACTTCACGGTCTGACCTCTTAATTTGAAACAAAATTGTTTTTATTAAATTTAGTTTTCAACGCTGATGGTGTGATTAAGTAGCGGCGGAAGCATTATTTAAAAAAATTTCAGACTTGTTTATTCCTACCTTTCAAAGGCTGACGCATACTTTTATCTACTCAACACCCCATTTGGAAATAAAAAATCCAAAGTCCTCTAATTCAAAAAAAAAAAGTAGACTCAATTGAAGCAGTGCGTCCGTGAAGAAGGCAAGTTCATGAATCACCTGGTCTCTCCCTTTCCACTCGACTCACCTGTCCAATTTTGGTGGCCGAAATCCGTCGACTCGCAACCTTCGAAACTCGAGTGGCCCTCCTCCCTCCGACACTTCAGGCATCGATCCTTCTGACGGACCTCTTGAAGCCCAAAATGGAGAATGAATCGCCTCGTTTACGATATTTTGCTTGAAATTCAACAGGAAAATTCAGCTTCTCTCCATTTTTTTTTGTCGATCATTACGGTAGTCTTAAAAAGACATGTTCTTGATTTCCAAAATTATTTTGTGAACTGTTTTGTTTAATCTAAAAATGTTAGATCTGATTGCTCCAAAAAAATTATTCAACTTCAGGTCTTGACATAAGTGGTCACTTGAACATATATATAGGGACCGCAGACGAATTTTCAAAAAATTTTTCGAACTTCTATATTACTATGGTTGGATAGCTGCTCTAATTTACTATTCAAAAACAGTTTAGTTTTTTTCAAAAAGGTTGAGAAAAAAAGTTATGGTCAAAACAGTAGTGAAAAAAAGTCGCGAAATTTAGTACTGAAAGTTTAGATTTTTACACTTTTTGGTCGTTCATTGTGTTTTTCATATCGGATTTAAATTTTTTAGTAGTTTAGTTTGGTTTTCAAAGTCGTAATAAGTCATTAAAACAGTATAAAACCACAAGTTTGAAAAGAAAAGCTATTTTTTCTTGAAAAATAAAAAAAATTGCCGCTGCGAGGACTGAACTCGCGATATCAAAACTGTGTGCAAGCGCACTTGCGCTGCTCCACACACATCTCTCGGAGATAAGAGGCGTTCGCGCTATACAGCACTTCACCTCAAAGTACAGCATTTACCGACTATCTTGTTTAAAAAAAAGTTTTGGTAGTTGAACAATTATTAGTCACGTGTGTTCGGACCACCTGAAAATAATTTATTCATAGAGATTCAGTTCGAAATGCTTCCGTTTTCGGTGTTTTTTTCTTATTTTAACGTTGGCTTCAAACTAACACTGATTAAACTTTTTAGGCACCGCTAAAACTTTTTATTTTATTTTTTTAATTGATTGAAAAATTGAGATACGCTAATATTTAAGAAATAAAAAAAGGCGCCAACGACATCTGACCATGCTAAAATGAATTTCGAAATTTTGACTGTCTATTTTTTTCTCAGAAAACAAAGTTTTCGGAATAAGTTTTATATTAATAAAATTTTAGTTACAATTTAATCCACAAGTTAAAATAAAAATTTTTTACTTACACGCTCTCGAAACCGAGTACAACATTTTTCAACTTTGCGCGGCCTCACGAAGATTAGGCACCGTAAAAATTTTAATTTTTTTGTCTTAAAAGATTTGTTTTTCACTTGAGAATCGAATTCGAAAATAAAAAAAGGCGCCAACGACATGGAACTAGGTTAAAAACCCGAAGAAAAAAAGTAGTTTCGGTTTTTTGTACGACACTCCGCTAAAACGCTTCGAAAATCAGGTGAAAAATATATCAGATTGAAGAGGAAGGTTTTCTCTATGTTTCCACCAAATTTCTCTGTGTTTGGTTCAGTATTGCGCTTTTACGAAAACATCAAACACAAAATCTAAAAAACCAGTGCATTTCACCATCGCAAAAAGGGGCGTGGCTCTGCGGTCTCTACATATATAAATATATTTGTAAACTTTTTTTATAATGCCACATTGAGCTCGCATATTGAGTAAAAAGTGTTTTTGTAACCCTAGAAGAAAAAAATCAGCGTTATTTTTATTCTTCTCCAACTGCTTCTCATTCTATCATGTATAGTTTTCTTTTCCATGATTATTTTTTTCTTGTCTTCGTTATGAAACTTCGAATGAATGAAAAATGTATCGTCGACCCTTCCCGACTTGAAAGACGAGAAGGGTAGACTGGTGAAGGTGAAGCGCTGCGTGTGCGACGCGGCTTTCGGCGGAGAATTCGATGTCAAGCACAAACCACCATTTTTTCTCATTTTTTCTAAAATCTCTATGGGCTTGAAAAGACTCATTCGAACGAATGGAAGTAAAAAAATAATGAAAAACTTTTTCTTTTTTTCTTTTTATGATTACATTCGACCTCGAGTTTCCCTGCCAAAAGCCGCGTCGCACACGCAACGCATCAACTTTGCCAATCTACCCCTCTCGTCTTTCAGGTTGGCAGAAATTGACTATAGCCCTAAATATGTTTCGTATGTCTTTCCTGATCTGACAGCCATGCCTACGAAATAAGATAATTTGCATTTTCTTTGAAGGAAGGAATTTATTATACTTATGAATAAGATCAAAGCCATCCCAGCGGCACTTGATCATACCAATGCCAAGGCGTTTTTTGCTGGACACATTACCGACCGGTCGTCTTCGGACGGCCACTTGAGGAGGCGCCTCCTGGACCCATTCCATTTGAATAATCCACGTCGCATCCATAAACATTTGTCTTGGGGCGGCCGTGATGACGACGACGCCGCCGCCGAAGAAACCGCCGCGTCTCCGTCCGAAACAGTCGTTAATCTTCTTTTGGGCTGTTGCGTTTTCCGTCCGACCTCCTCCTCCTCCTCGCCTCGTCTTATTCTGTTTTTCGTCAACTTTCTCTTTGTCTTCCGATCTTCTAATTTATTGGATCTTGCCATGACTTCCATGTGTTTTTCTCGGTGGTTTGAACCGAAGAAAAACATTTTTTCGAAGACCTGCTCAGACATTTTAATTCTTCACGAGCATTGAAAATCCGTTTTCGTGAATGGTCCGATATCCTAAAAACACCTTGGAACCTCTAAAATTGAACATCTTGTTTCTGCTAAGGTAACTCCAGATAAACTTTCCGAAGTCTTGCATTTTTCGTTTATTAAAGCGATTCTGCTAACTTTTTTTCACCTTCTGAACGTCTTAATTAACTCATTGAACTCGTTCGTTTACCAAACCACTCCAGCAACACTTTCAGTTCTCTCTGTTTCTCGTTTCTGACATGGTCATTTTACTTTTTTGCTTAGTGGTCAACTTTTATAAAGCTCTACGTCGATTGGAATTTTTTTTCATGACTGTCTTGATCTTGACTTTTTTGAAAATGTTCATCATCTCATTTCAGATTCAGATGGCAGTTTTTTGAAACCTTTCTATGAAGTCTTTTCTAGCTCTTCAGCTCATGGAGTATTTTTTTTATATCCTCCTTGCTATTTATTTAATTTCTTCAGCTTTGCGGTCCTCATATCCCAAATTGAACTTTTTTTGTAATTTTCAGCCTTGATAAAAAAGCTCTAGGTGGAATATTTGGTTGAAGAATGGCTCAAATTCGCAAAAGATTCTTGAAAAATTGGAATTCGCTTCATTGAGTTTTTCACCGGGTCAGCTCAAAAGTTCTCTTTTTTTACTTCAAAATCTCTAGCCACCTCTTCTTTTTAGCCTTTTGCCCGCCGTAGTCCATAATTTAGGAGGCTACTAAGAAAACAGGAATGTAGAAGTAACACGACTCTTTTATTATCTTTTTCGAAAATCTGACCAACTCCCGCACTAAAATACTTTTCTTGCTACTTTTCACAGTTGACTGCTCCTCAGTCCTTCGTGAATCACTCTAGAGACCCCAACTCGGAAGCTTGCCTTCCATGTTTTAGTGTCCCCTACCGCGGCGTTTATTTGATTTTCCCACACTACCAGTCAATAAAAAAGGTTGCTCGAGGTTTTGTTGTACTTTTTCTTTTTTGGCCGGCCCCACTCACGACATTGATCCTTTATGTGCTCTTCTTCCACCATTTTTCCATTCCCGCTCCTCTGTTTATTTTTGCGATATGTTTGATTTCTCAATCAGTTTATTTTGGAGCTCCTTCCTTTCGGTCCTCGTGCGATTTTTGATGAGGCTATTGAGCGTTGAGTCATCATTTCTGTTTTTTTTTTCTTTCAATAAAAATTTCTCTCAAATCCAGAACATTTTTCGATGACCTTTATCTATATTTGTATCTTCAAGAAATAAATAGCTTTTTCCTATCTGGAACAAAAAAACGTAATCAGGCTATTTTTTTCAGTGTTTAAAAAAACGATTTTAAAGGGTTTTGGAATCATTTCCTTCTTCAAAGGTGTGCCCGAAAATTAAAAAAATGAGCGCATAAAAAAATATATTTGTTTTTTTGGTTTACGGTACTTTTTTTCGGTGTGTGCACGGATACGCAAATGCTGAAAGTCTGATTTTCGCGCGCAGTTTACTAATAAAGTTTTTTTCAAATTTTTTTAAACATTTTTTTGGTTCCGAACTTGTAAAAAGCTTTTTTTATTAGCTTATTAGCTTATTGATGCGGACACGATGTTATTCTTTTTAACTAGAATATGTCCTACTTTTTATTTTTGAATTATGAGTTTCATTAGACACATTAATTTTTTAAAAATCTATTTTGATTAAAATTCTCAATTCGTTTAGACATTTTTCAACTTTTTATTTCTTAATGCCTACTTCATAATAATCACAAGGAAGAGCGCTCCGTTTTCCTTCTGTTTTTTTGGACTCTCTCATAAGTTAGTTTGAAATTCCGTTCGCAAGCATGTTTTACAGCAGTTCCACGGCACATTTCGACAAATGTAACGAGCCCCTGGCAAACGAAATGATTTTTTGACGTTTGCGAGAACCTCTCCTCCAGCGGTCATAAATTGGCTCGTTACATCCGACGCCCTAAAAACGGTCCCCGGAAATCAGTGTAATTTACGATACGCTGTGTTATTCTTCTTCTCATTTTTTCCATTCTTCAACCCATACCTTTCTCTGATAACTTTCCATGGGAATACAAAATTCAATAGACGTTGCATTCCTTTGTACGGGATTTCTTCTTTTGTCGTCGTTGTTCGCGGTTGAACGAATATTTAAATAAGCATATGCGTGTTGTTGACAGAAGACTGAAGCCAGAAGTTTGGGGCGAGGTGTGGAATTCGGAAAAAAAAGAATCAGTCGAATTTTCGAGATTACGTTAGAGAATAAAGTCAAAATTTTTAACAGATACATTCAAGGATCTGATCTTTTGAGTTTTTAGAGTTTTTTTGCAATTCAGTTGTAAAGTTTTCTCACTTTTTTAAAGATTAATGATATTTTTTTTTTTTTCAAATCAGGGTTACGATATGTGTTCTGGTTCACTTCACGGTCACGCACTCTCTGATAATTGATTTTTACGCTCGTTTCTAATTTTCAACGCGTTCTTTCCGATCTGAATATTTATTTCACAATCCTTCAGGATTCGGAGGAAAAATAATAAATAGCATGCCGGATGAGTGTCTCGCCGCAGCGACGGTTTCCCTCACAGAAAGCTGTGGTTCGGCTTCTCGATTCCAGATGTGTTGAGGTTTTTTTTTCACATTTTATGAAATAATCATCCAATTGGTTGAAGATATCCCTTCACGCACGTCTTTCTGTCGAAGACGTTCTTCAACGGATCGCCGAGCAATGTGATATCAATCCCCACGATTCGCGTTTTTTTGGTCTTGCCTTCGCGGACCATCTGTAAGTTGATTACAACTGAAAAATCCTTATTCACATTTTCAGAGGCTATTTCCACTGGCTCGAGAACTCACTGATATTATCTGACTTGGCCGATCAGATCAAAGAGAATAAATATTTGCTATTATCCCATAATGTCCGGTAAGTATCTTCTAGAGTGGTTTTATCCAAAAAACTTCGTTTCCAGCTTTTTTGTCGACTCAGTTTATGATATTCAATGCGCTTCGACAGCCAAATTTTATTTCTTGGAGGTTCATAACCAAATTGTCAGGGTTTGTAAGAAGAGTTCAAATTTTTGAGAATCAAAGAGTCTTAGCACGAATTGACCGTATCGGAAGATGTCTACATCGAGTTGATGGCGTCGGTTTTGACAGTTTATGCGCCTGATTTCTCGTGAGTTTTTTGATAAGTGTTATTGAAGCACGGCTTTTTCTCAAGATGAAAAAAGATAAAAGTGTTGGTTCTTGCCCTTGTCATTTTTCTCTCGCACTTGTCTCTGAACAAGCAATCCATCATTGTCGACCTTCCTTGCCTTCCGTTGCTTCAGACGTCAAAAGATGAAAACAAAGAGATAACTCGGGGAAATAACAGGGAGGAAGCGGTGCGCGACGTGTTGCGCCACATCTTGCCGCACTCTCATCCGCGACATCTCCTCCTCGGTCACGACGACGTCGACGCCGCCGCCGAAGACCTCGAACGTCGCGTCGTCGACCACTACAACCACATCCGCGGCCGCTCTCTCGGCCTCGCCATCGTCTCGTAAGAGATTCTTTGTATTTCGAAAAATATACTTTTCGAAAAAAAAGTTGTGGAAATAGGCTGTAGAATGTTCTAAACGTGGGCTGACCTTAGATCCTTGAAGTCAGAACTATTGATAAGACAGGCCGCCCCGGGGGCGATCCTACCCGTAAACCGGTCTCATTGTTAAAAGAGCCGTCCTTCCTAATTGTTTCCACCGATGTCCTCCTTTTTTTTTTACTCAATTTGAACTTTGCGGGTCACGCCCCGGACGAAATATTCAAATCGCACGGCAGCTTTTCTAAAACTTCACCTCGGTATTTTATGAGTCGAGAATATTTATTAAGTGTGGTTGAAGTTTGATATACAGACACATGAAAAAAAGAAGACGATCCATTTGACAGGAAAAAAAAACTGCCTTTCATATAATTAACCGCAAAAAGCTCAAGTTCAAGTAACGAATAATATAAACAAAAAAGTTACTAATAATTTAAAAAAAAATTTAATTAGCGGTATCGAAAGTAAATTAAGCCTAGAAAAACTATTGGAAATTCAGTGGATTTATTGAAAAAAGTTTTCATTTTTTTTTGCTTTTTTTTAGTGCTCAGGCGGGTGTCGGGAAAAAATATGGAAGACTTTTTTTTGCCATTTTAAGGTTGTTCGCTATGAGTTTTAATCCAAGATTTCTATTTTAATCTCTCAAAACCGAGTTTTTCGAAATAATGAGCCTATAGCGCATTCCTCAGGTTCCTGAGCAAGGCGGAGGTCTGTGACAGTTATGGGTACCGTTTTTATGAGGTTTTCGACGACGGAGGCCGGAAATGTCTGTTGGCTCTTGGATCCAAGGGCATTTTCATCTATTCTATGGACACTCTAGACGAATGTTTACAGGTCAGCATTTTCAATTGTTTTTCATTGTTCAAATAACATATGTTTGATGTTTTCAAAAAGTTTTTGCTTTTCAGGTTTGATAAACTGAAAAATTCTGAGCATCTTCAATTATGAACTGAAACTGAAACTTCGAACAATTCCGAAAAAATGGTTTACTCTTTAAGTTTGATGAAAGCAGCAATGACTTTTTTTATAAAGAATTTTTTTGTCAGAAAAAAAATATTTGGAAAAAAATTAGACCAAAAAAATTTTTTTCCAATTAAGAGATATATTTCAGAAGTTCCACTGGCGTCAACTCGACAATCTGTATTATCGTGAAACAAAGTTTTCCATCGAGATTCGCGACACAAAAAGGTAGGAAAAAACTTCATCAAGGAAAATTAATTCGAAAAGTTTTCAACCTTCATTAGTCATAAAATTATATTTGATTGAAAAAAATGGGTTTTTTGTGCTTGACACGGGATGATTGAAATTCGCAAGGCCTGAAAAACATTATTTTTGGCTCGAATAAATTTTTATAAATCAAGAAAACAGTTCAACGACAAGTCATTGTTTAGATCTCATTAAAAATCAAAACTGAAAAAAAAAAAGAAAAACGTTTTAAAAGTGCTTTCATATCTTATTTCAACTGATTTTTGCGAATTTCTACCCCATCGTAGTTTCAATAAACTGTGATATATACAATCATACGTAGTCAACATTATATAACATGAATTCCAGGGACGAGTCATTCGAAACGAGTTTCGGATCGGAGTTAGTGGACGAACAGCTGTCCGAGGCGTTCAGTCATCCCACCACGCAGTATGTTTTTTTTGCTTGTTTTTTCAAGTTTCAGTATTATCATCTTCTTCTTTCTGCGCTGTTTCCTATTTCTTTTTGCTTTTTTAAAAATTATTTTTCCTAAATTTCTTTCGTTTTTTTTTTGGTTTTTTAATGGACTTGGATTTAGTTTCATAATAAGGACTTTGTTTTCCAATTTCTAAAATTTTTTGGTTTTTTGAACCCCGGTGTCTATATAAAAAAAGACGAGTAATTCGAAAATTGGGTTTTTTTTCCTTGCCTTTAAAAGCATAAATTTTTTCGTAAGTTATGAGAAAAGGTATAGAAAATCAACGCCTACAAAAACACAAAAACGCATATTTCATCAAAAAGTTGACTAAAATAAATCGTATCAATTTTTTTAGTTTTCGGGAAACTGTGACTCTCCGTAAAATGAGAGAAAAATCATAATCTCTGATCAGTACTCGAAAAAAGGGAAAAAGATTTAATGTGCGACGAGTTGAATAAAGACGACACGAGCTCTCTTCTGATGACGTCATCCACTGCCTTCACGATCGCCGGAGAACAAAAAAAAACATTTTGTACCGCCTTTCTTTCCTTTCACGTCCACTTTCAACGCTACTTTTGTTTTCATTCCAATTTTTCCCTTTTGTTTGATTAATTTCGTAACGTCTTCTTGACTTTTCTTCCGCACCGCTGACCACACGGATTTGTCATCGTTTTTAGCATTTTTCGGCAGGAAAAAAAGGAAGGTTTTTGGCCTTTTTGAGACGTTTGAACGGTTTTTGTTGCCATTATGCGAAGTTCATCGTTGTTTTGGTCATTCCAAGGTTCTAGATTCAAAAAAAAAAAAAAATTTTCTTCATAATTTTTTTAAGGATAATATTGTTTCTAAGGGTTCTTATTAACGTCGTTTTTGGTGAGTTGGTTATCTGTAAGTTTTCGGTCTTATTTTTTCAGTCTTTAAAAAGGCTTCTGTCATAACTTTCAGAATTTATAAGCAGATGAAAAATCTGGCTGCTGAAAGTATTAGAGATGTATCTAAAGAGGAATGATAGATTTTTCTAATAAATTCCATTCAAATACGCTTTTTCAGTCAGTTAATGCGTATCCTCTCAAAACCAAATGAAAAATTCACAGCAATTCAAATGCTTCGGAGCGAAAACCCTTTTCGAAATTGAAATTACCGTGACCTGACAGGTTGCTGGATCCCGAGGAAAGAAAAAGTCGCCGAAAGACAAAAGCCTGTCGCCGCCGACTGCTCATCAATATCCGATGCGCACAAATCGTGCATGCAAATTTTATTGCGAAAATGTTGAGACGACCTGTCGCCGCCCCGTTGTTTCCCGCCTCTTTCCCGATGATCTATCGTCGGCCACGCTAATTATTTTTCCTCTTTTTGTTTCAAATTTCGAATCGAATTTTTCATAGTTCAAAATTTATCTGTTCAATTTTTTTCTTCCAAATTACCATACATGGGATGAACATGACTAGCGACAGCCGAGTTAATTTTTTTGTAAAAAAAAATTTTTGTGATTACTGAAAATAATGATGTTCTAAGTCTGATTTGACTGATATCAGATTGACTTTGGTAAGTCCTTTTTTTAAAATAGTTTTTTTAAAAGATTATATGTTAGATATTCAATGATTTCGGAATGTTCCCCACCTTCTTTTTTTGTTTGACTTTGTTTGGAACTATTTCTCTTACATAGTTTTTCAGAAAGAGCTTAATAAAAAAATTAACTTTTTTTGAAAAAGAAATTCTTTCTTATCGATATTTCTCACAATCGACGCATTTTTTTGTTCATTTTTCCCGGTCACCAATTAAACGATCCATATTCCGAGTGTGATTTCTATCTTTTTTTTTCCGACTTTATACAAAGAAATAGTTTTATTTTTATTTGTTTTTCTAATTTTCAACTTCATTTAAGTTTGATTGAGTTTTCTGATAAGTTTTAATTTTTTTTTTAATAATTTATGCAGCGTTTAAAGTTATTTCGCGGAAATTTTTTCTGCCTCTCAAATTTTCATTCATTTTTTTCACTCTTTAATGGCCGCCGCATCTCGCGGAATCGCTTTGAACATGACATTACCGTTCCATTCAAATTTTATCAATTTTGGGCGAGAGATTTGAGAATATTCGTAGGGGAAGAAAAACGATCAAAACTTCCTCTAACCGGTTTTTTTTATTCCAGAGTCTCCACGTCACGACGTCGATCCCGGGTGTTCATCTACAACTTTCGGTGCGAGACGTCGCACGTCTGCCGCACGATCTGGTCGTCAAGCATCGCGCAACATCAGTTTTTCTTGGAAAGGAGGAATTTGGGAAAGGTGCGCTTTTTTTATTGTTTTTTTGCAAGTTTTAATATCTATCACTTGATCTTCAAACTAGAGATGATCGATTCATTGAGCAATAATATTGGGGCTCCTGGGTTTCGAAAAAGAAAAAAAACTGGAAAATGACCTCGGGGAGGCTGTTTCTCATCGGCTCTTGCGCTCTGGGGATAAAAACCCTTAACACTTTGATCTATGTTTCTGTTTTTCAAGGTTCATTTGAATGTGTATTCTCACTAGTTGTTTCATCGTGCATTTTGACTTCATTTTCAACGTTTTCGAACATTCTGTCATTTTACTAATTTCTAAAATTTTTAACTTTTGACTTCAACTTGATCGACTTAAGCTTATAATGATTTTTCGGAACGGGCAATCCCGAAGATCAATTTTTTATTATGTCAACTTCTGTTCAATTTTCATTATTTCGTAGTTCGAAACATTGAAGCAGTCGATATTATGTGCACGTTATATGCTTGGCCAAATTTTGACGACTTTTGCAGCCGAGTTTGGCAAATAAAAACGGCGGGGCTCGAATTGCCTAACGTTTTTGTTTCGAACTCGCCTTTTATTATCTTTTATTTATTGTTCAGCGGCTATTCCTTCCTAGGTCTTGTTTTGGAAATACGACCTTTTGTCTATATTTAAATTTAAAAATAGGCTTCAAGTTGGCCGAGAAAAGTAGTGTGTAAATTGAGGAGGTCTTCGAAAATTTTGATTTCGAATTTTGAAGGAGAATCATCTAGAAGTTTATCTTCCCTTTTGTACTTTTTTGAATTCACTTGAACGCTTTCTCTTGAGTTTTAGGATCTCGAATCTCAAAAAGTTAGAGAGCATGGTGTAGTAAGAGACAGAAACAGGGAGAAAATATTTTTGTGTCTGTAAACATCTCTATCCTTCAGAATTATCAACAAATCTTCATTTCGAATCTCCTTTTCTCACTTCCCGACCTGATTTTACTTAAAGCTTTTTATCATTTTGACCAAAATTGAAAAAATAGCGAATGCAATCTCGCCTTTTATGTTTCTTTTCATTCTCACGAGGCTTTGAATTTTCGCGAGACTAATGGCTTTCTCATTTTCCTTTACTATGTCATTATAAAAAAGAAAATGAAAAATTTTCCCAAAAGATATCAATTAAGAGACGTATATTGTCGCCAAGACAACGAGTCTGACGCATTATATTTGGGAGGAATTTTTTGGGTGAAGAGAATTGAATCTCTCTTTTTTTTTCTGCTTTTTAATTCTTGTTTTCGAATTTGAGTAATACAAATCTATGTGAAAACCTTTTTCCTCCTACGTTTCATTTTTAGTTCTCTGCTTATTTGCTGTAATTGAATGAAATTATGCAATTAATTAGAAGGAATTAAGTTGAGATTTTCTGTTTCTTTTTCGAAAAGTGTTCTGTTTGCATTTTTAAGGCTCTTAATAAAGATCTAAATCCGGAAAAAAGCCTTCTTACCGTGCTAAATTACTTTGAACAAGCTTACTATGGTATATTTTTTAGGTTACTTTTGGATGTAATTGAGTTAATAAAATCAATATACTGGATTTCTTTTTGAAAAAGCCCACTTTCTTCAGACTCCTCTCAGGAGTTTCGTGGCTAACATAACATCAGATATTTCAATAATTGTTCATTTTGAAACAACCGGAACACTTGACCACACCAACTAGACTTTACCGAGTCACACCTTAATTAGGCAGGTAATCGGACTCCTTGTTAGTGCGGCTGAGCCGAAACTTAAAAGGCGCCCTAAAGACGCAACCTGGACAAACAAAAACAAAACGAGTAACGGTTTGGGGTTGGATGAAGGCTGGCGGGATTGCGTCCTCGTCGCGCGCCGCGTTTTTCGGTAGTCCTCTGGATTATCTCATTAGGAGGAACGCGCGGAAAACGACAGCCACTTTGGTGCCTGTGTTGCGCCATTACTTTTGCCGACCTTAATCCCTACTTCAAAACGGAAGGAGGCAACCCTGATCTCTTGGTATACTGTAGTCCGGGGAATTGAGTTGAGATCTGTCTTTCGCGGATTTTCGTTAAAGTTTTTGTCCTCTGCAAAAATGAGCTTTAAATTCTGGTTAAACCTTAAAGCTTAGACACTTTGTCGAATTTTTTCACGAAAGATTGCTTCAAATCGCTCAGAAGAAGTTTTTCGTTGAGTAAAGCATAAATTCAATTTTGCACCAAAAGAAGCAGAAAAACGGCTTGTAAAAATTCATTTGCTGTACTCCTTTCTTCAAAAAAATGAATTAAGGCTTAATAATTTGATATTTAAAAAATCTAACCTGAAAATTGGCAGCTTTCATGAAGGCGAAAAAAATAGTTAAAAATTTTATTTTTATGGCCCATTTTCCTTTATTGAAAGTGTAGCACTTGTATGAACTTAAAACCTGATACGCTCCATTTTTCGTAATTTGACAAAATTCGAGTAGAATTGGCAATGGCCAGTTCTATTGAAGTTTCACTGTCTTTACTAGATAATATTCAAAACAAACCGTAACCAGGAGACGATTAATTAATCCACTTGAGATTGGTTACGCCACCAATGTGTGTCTGGAGATGAACCACTTGAAAAGGAGACCAGAAATATGCATTTAATGTGGCCTAATGAGGAGGTTCCCATCACGATTGGGTTGTGTTGTGCAACCGGTGGTACTTTCCTTCTTCCTTTTTTGTTTTTGCCTCGCTGAGGTCACAGAGGCGGGTCCTTTTTTGGCATTTCCGTTCATTTATTCCTGGCGCCAATGTTTCTTCACGCTGTTTCCATTCTTGAAGTGAGTTTTTTAATATTTTCAACGAGAAAAACGAGAAGCTTGTTTTGGGGAAAAAATCGTTATTCGCGTTATGTTTATTTTTTAAAACTCTAATTTTAATCATCTTTTTGAAGTGTTTTGAATATCTGAGCTTGTAGGTATAGTGAGTTTTGTTATAATTCTCAAACTGTACTCTCTTTAATTTCTCTGAAATCCTGAACGAAAAAAAAAAACACACATGTTTGCGTTTTTCTTTATTTGGGTACTTTCGTGATTTCAGGTTTTTCACGCCCATTCTAATCTTTTTTTCTATTAATGCACTGTAAGAGGGTTAGAGATCATAGAATGTCCGGAGACAACCAGACACTTTTCATTTCTGGACCTCTCTCTTTTTATAATGCTCTCTCGCGTTTTGAAAGGATTTTAGTTTTTTTCGTAGTTCAGCTATGAAAGTTTATAGTTCTTCTTGATAAATTTATATGGTTCTTTAATTTCATCAAACTTTGAATATTTGAAAAAAAGAAAAGTTATGGATTTCAGCAGATTTTTGTCTCCTAGCAGGAATTTCATGAAGAAGCATCGAAAAGTTTTTAAAAAAAGCTTCAATTATCTTATCCTTGTCCATTTTTTTCTGTGACTTTGAGTGTGTTTGTGTTTAGTTGCTTGCTTGCGGTGTGTGTGCTTCTTTTTCTTCTGGTTCTGGTTTAACAGCAAATATTATTGATCTGAGTGACGATGGGAACACGTTCCGTTCGCTATTGCTTTTTTCCTGGTTTTTCGACTTTTTATTATTTCTTTCAAAGTTTTAAATTTCAAGTCTAACATGGTCGAGAACCCGCTCAAATAGTATTTGCTCTTTGGGAAATTCAAAAAGATAATAGAAATTTTGGAATTTGGGATTTTTAGAAGTAGTTCCTCGGTTTTTTAGAACAGAAGTCAGTTTTTTTGATGACTCTGGAAAAAAAGCGATTTTTTTGAAATTATAATTTGAAGTTGAGAATGAATTATCAGTCATCTTTTTTTGGAAAAAAAGCGACAAGCTGAAACTTCTTTAAATAAAAAAATGAATAAATCCGTCGAGAAATTTATCGAAAAAGCTACTTTTTTTAGTTTATTTACGATATTTTTTTCAGTACTTATTATGAATTATAATCTTTGGTAACTGAAAATAAAACTTCGCTAATAACCTATTTTTGAATATTATAAGAATTTGCCACGGTTTTTTGTCGATTCAAAATATAAAGTGTTGAAACATTTTCGTGTCGAAGCCTGAAAAACAAGAGCCACCAGTGGTCCAAAATGAAAAATGGCCCTTCGGTCCTCCCTTTACACATTTTCCGCCTGCTGGTCGTGTCGGTCAGACCCTCAATTTGTTATATAAACCAGACCCAAAACTGCCCTATATTTTTTTCTTGTAATTCGTTCACTTTTATGATCATCGCGGCTTCAATAAAATGGTCGTATTATGAATAGTCGTTAAACTTGAAAGAGGCCGGACCAGAACAGATCCTTTGACGTTTTGATTTGTGTCGTGTGCTTTTTTTCTACATTTAATTACTTCAAAAAGTTTTTCGAACTCTGCTCTGAGTCATTTTCAAGTAATGATAAAAAAAGAATAGGTACATTAATTTGAAAAAAAACCTTGAGCTTTGAAAATTTTTTCTCAACCTTCATTTTCATTAATTCTCATAATTTTCCGGCATCTTTAGCCAAATTTTAATTTTAAGTTTCTTCCGATTCATTTTATACTAGGATTTTTAATGATCTAAAAAAAGAAAAATGAGGTTTAAAAAAATAACCCAGCCCCAATTTTTCTGATTGTAAGCGAAATTTCGTCACTTTCAAGGTTTTTTTCCACCGATTCTTATTTTTTTGAAAGCCACTTGAACTTGAGCGGAGAAGTGGAAAAGCAGTTTTGAATGAGTAAAATAAACAATTTCTTGCTTTTTCAATCGCAAAATCAAACTTTCACGAAAAAATGTTTTCCGTTTTTATTTTCAAACAGTATAGTTTTTCAAATTAGAAATAGTAAAATTGCAAGTTTAGAAGTTCTCATTTTCGATATTCAGTTTTTTCAAGCTTTTCAGGTTCTTTAGGAGTTTTATCCTCGATTTTCACTAGGATCAAGTGATTTATTTGATTTTTGTCTTTTTTTTTTTCTTTCGCTGAATGCAGATAAAATCGGACAAGTTGCTCAGACCTCACGGGGAAAAATAAAATAAAAAGTGACTTCTAAAGAACTCTACTGGAGTGACCACCTAGGACTTTCTAGGTCTGAAAATGAATCATCTTGATTTTTATGTTGTTTGGTCGGCAGTTTTTCTGAAGCTCACGTCGAATTTCATTGCTTCCTAGCTGTTTTCCGGCCTCTCTTCGAAAACAACCTAAGAAGCCTCTAAGCTTTGGCGGAGCCGTGGAGGTTGAACACTACTCTTCGTTTTTCACTGGACTGTTTGTTCTCTTATGTCGCAGCGGAGCTCCTTCTTCTTTTTCCCGTTGCATCGGCTTCTCGCTTGTATACAGTCAGAGGAGAGGAAAGCCGATTAGCCGCCTCACCGAGTTGGTGGAAGTCGGCTGGAAGTAACGGCCACAAGGTACATCTCCTCCTCCTCTTCCCTTTGCCCGTTGGCGACGGTATTATCGATCGATCGGAACCCGCCGGTGCGACCTCCTATTCATCTCGACTCTTCCTTGTTGTCGTCCTTCTTTTTTATTCCCCTTTTTGTTGCACTTTCTGTTGATTTATACTCTTATTTCTGTTGTTTTGGCTAGAATATTCTACTCGCTTCGAAAAAATTTGATATTTTCTGAAGAGAAACACTTTGGGAAGTCTCACCTTCTGGAACCGAACGCTTGGATCAAGAATATTCAACACATTCTGAACGAGTTGAAGAGCAGTTTCTCAATTTCTCGACCTCATTATTTCACTGCCCAGTTTGGATTCAACAGTAAAGCGTCACTCAATGAGCAAGTTCCAGCTTTGATTCTGTTCTGAATATAATTTCCTGTATTTTGGCATTTCTGGATCTCCCGTCCCATTGGACTTTCTTGGATCGAACTTGCTTTTATCGCTTAACCTCAACGGAGAGAAGAATATACTCGGATAATCCAAAGTCTGAACCTCAACCTAATCGAAACAGCTCCTAAGCCCCCGAGACGTTACTCGGATTCAGTTCTTCAGACTTCGAACGCTTCTTATCATCTTTCTACAGAAGAAAAGACTTCTCCTTTCCGCCTGTACCTGGCTCTTCAATTCATACGTTTCCTGCTCCGGAATCATATTTACCGAGTCTCTGTACTGTTCTGAACTATTATTCGACTTCACTTGTTAATTCGAATGTGAATTGGATGACGGATTGGGCCGCAATGAGCGGTTACCAGCACCGCTACGCACAGGTCTGTCCTTTTATTCCTCGCTCTTTTGTCCATTTTTGGCACCCATCTTTTTGTTCTTTCGACGCCTCTCTACCGCACTATCGCCCTTGATTGGCTCTCGTGACCTTTTTGGCCTTTCTTTTGGCTGAGCCGATCCTTTTTTGGATTGGGCGGGTCTTTGATCTGGTCCGTTAACTAGTATTTTCATAAATAATGTTGACCTTATTTTTTCGGGTTCGTTTTTAGTTCCAAAAAAAGTAGAATGGTCATTTAACAAAAAACAATTTTTGATTAGAAAAATTAGAAATTTCTAATGATCTTTCTACTAAGAAAAATCTTCTTAAAACTTGAAGTTGTTATTTTCTTTTTTTAAGAAAGAAAAGAAGCGACTAGAATTGGGTACTCGAACATACTTCTTCTATGCATTTTTTTCTTCTTTTCCCTTCTTTTTGAATAATAAAAACTGCTTCATTTTTTTGTTCTTTGCGTTTGACGAAGCTTCCTCGAAAAAAACCTCTGAGTCAGTATTTGATATATATTAAATTACCAAAGTATACGCTTTTTTTGGGGACATCTGGCAGAGTTGTTGAGAAATCCAATCAATTTGGCACGTAAATTTGATTTCTGAAGTACTTGTGTCTGTGTAGTTTTTGGCATGTTTTATTAGGATTTTCGTATAGAAAGCCTACTTTTCTTTTCTTTCTGTCTTCAGGTTTTTTTTTACTTTTAATTCTTCTTTCCCATTTTGGCTACCAGATTTCGTTTTCTGAAACACACTTTCCGAGGACTTTAGTTTTTCAAAATTTCCTTCCAAAATCTTTAGTTGCCTGTGGAATTTGAATTTCCGGCCCGCCTCCGACGAAGTCAGACACCTTTTTTGAGTAACAAAGAGCTTTTTGCCGCTTTTTTTTGGGTGGTAGCGCGGAGGTTTACGAGCAAACAATAGGTTTGGTTTGAATTAGGAGAGGTTCGGACTCAGAAGTGAGAAGATTTAAATTTGAATCCTAGACAAACTTTTTTTCTTGAAAGTGTACTTTTTGGACGTTTTCATTTTCGATATTTTTTGAATCTTGGTAAGTGCAAGAAAGCTCTCGGTATTTAAAACTAATCATTTCAATCTCTTCACTTCCATATTTTGCGAATAATTGAGCAAGAAGAACTATATTCAAATTTTTAATATAAAAAAATGTTTAGAAACAATCTTTTTTTGAAAGAGAAAGATACACCTTATTCAAATTTTTATCTTGAGATTTTTTTAGATTTTTCTTATATGAATATAAATCTTCGATGGGCTTCTTAGAATCTTTAAAAAAGTCTTGAAAGTCTGATGGAAGATAATTTAAGATATATTTTTGAGAAATCAGAGCTCGAATCTAAAAAAAGGTCGGCCCTGGTAGACCAATAGAACATTTATGGTGAGGATTTTTTTCAACTCATTCAGCTTTTTGAATATAAATTCAGTCAAGCGCTCATAGGAACTAGGTAGGATTTTTTTTTACTTCAAATTTTTCAATTCGGGTCACATATCCCACTCGATAAGCATTCTTTAAGTATAATCCAGTAAAAATTATTTTTTTCTGAAGAAACTTTTTGTTTGATAATAATCCTTGACCTCGAGACTATTTTTTTTCGAATTAAAACTCCAAAATTCGTTAGTTTCGAATCCGAGGATCTTCATTCAGCTAACCTTAGTAATATCTACATAATCGACAAAAATCCAAAACGAACTTTTTTGGTCCTTTCCAAAAACTGACGCAGTCATAACTTTCTAAGAATCTTTGTAAAACGTGAAACGCCTTTTTTTCCTGAATTTAATTGAGAAGAAATCAAAACGACGACGGCCGTCGTTCCTCGAATGCATTTTCCTGGTCGCAGATCCGAGTGTTGTTGCTCGAAACCACATTACGCGCGCACGGATTGGATGGATGCGGTCGGTCGTCCCCTCAATACAATCTCCTCAAATACTTTCGCCACAAACGTCTTTTTTTTTCTCGTCTTCCCCTGTTTTTTTCTCATGTTTTTACGCTGTAAATTTTGATGCGCTTGGGATGGGAATAGAAGACGTAGATGTATTTTTAACATAGTCGTCGAAGCTTCCCTCGAAAATGAGTAAACCCCAGATAATTATTATGATCCATGAAATAATTTCGAAAGCAGAAAAAGCAAACAGAAAAATTTTATTTTTTTAAATTTCTTCTCCCTTAATTTTTGTTCAATCATCTTCTTTGTTCTTGCTTTTTTTCTAACGAATTGAAGCCTTCTTCTGGCCCAAAAATGATATTGGTTTCCGCCCTAATATGGTTATAATCCAGTTAGGAGAGCTGTTCCTTTTTGGCTGTTTTTATTATTATTTTTTCCTTGGGCCATGTTATTGGTTCGAGAAGCTCACATCAAAAAATTCTGCTCGAAATCGTTGAGCTGAAAGAAGTGAGAATTTCGGAGTTCCTTTCCTGAGATGTTTTGTGTCCTGTAACCAGTTGAGTCATTCAAAATGACGCTGATTTTTTCGACCTTTCGACAAAAATCCCATTAAAAACCATCTAGAAATCATTCCAAAAATGTTTACTACTTTCTCGAATTTTAATTTTTCGACCCCTTTTTCCAAATTAACATTGAAAACCTGTTCCCAATAAATCAAAAGCCCTCAACAGTTATAAACGCCGACGATTACCTTGATGTTGTTTTCCAAAACCATTACTAGTTTTCAAGCAAACTTGAGAGCGTTTTAAAAAAGTTTACGATGCAGATAGCATTTTATTCACTTCAAAGTTCAGCTCGATTTCAAGTTTTCGATTGAACTTAGAAGCGTTTCAAAACCACTTTCCAGTTCATAAACCATTGTTCACACGGACAAGAAGTTTTAATACTTTCAAAAAACAGTTTCCAAATTTTTTCGAGATCTCAATTTACCTTTGAGTTGAACGAATGTGATCCGACGTCAGAATCGATTCGAATGCCCTTTTCCGCTTGTAAACCCTGAGGCGTTCGCTTTCGTTTTGTTTTCCGGTGGGCGGCGGCGGCGGTTGTCGACCCAGATTTAGGCGATTGCCATCAAATTTGACCGTCGCCTCATCCTTTCCCATTTTTGATGTTTCAGTGTTTTTTTTCTGCCTCGGCAATCAGAAGGGATAGAGATGTTACGTTTGAGGAGAAAAATGAGGGATTTTTTGTTTTTCTTCATGGTTATTCAGCAAATGGAAGTGTATGAAGAAGAAGAGTAAACTTTCTCTAGTGAATCTCTTTGATCTCCTAAATAAACCGCGATGAGAATGGCTCGATGCGTAGCGGTTTATAATAAGGTATAGAAAATCTGAGTGTTCCTCTTGAAAAAATAAAAGTAACTTACTCAACAAAAGTAATAATATCGTGATAAAAATTGGGAGAAAAAGAGCCGAGAAGAATTTTCTAATTTTCTCTCTTCAATCCAACTTTTCTCCGTTTTTTTCTTCTCGTAGTAAAGCTAGTGGTCAGCGTCATTTTTTTCCATGCATAACAATCACTTTTTTCCCGTTCACTCGTCGCTTCTCCTCTCAGCGAAAAATGAAAAATTCACTCAAGCGCAAATTTTTTTCATTTGAAGGCGGTAATTTTTATCCAGTTTTCGATGAAACTACGGAAATAACCCCATGTTTAAAGTTACTTTTTCAATATATTCTCCCAGCAGAATTTCTCAAAATTTTCTTTAGTGCTCATGTAAAAAAAAAGCCAATCCGCTCAAAAATGTTTTCCGCAAATTTTGAGAGGTTTTCGCGTCAATTTCCGATGAAAATCCCTAAATAAACCTCTATTCAAGTCTATTTTTCCACTTGGGCGATGATTTGAAGAAAACGAATCAACATAGGAAAGCAAGAAAAAAAATACATTGGAACGACTTCTGGACACCACTCACAACGTGGTATACTCTTGGGAAACTCTTTTCCCAACTCGTTCCAAGTTCTTTTTTTTTTCGCGAATCCTCATTTAACTCGGGTGCTTTTTCTCCGTCTCCGCAACTTCTTCTCATTGGCTTTTCTTGTTTTGAAGTAATTTGGACAAGTTTTCAGGATTTTCGAGTACTTTTTGCATGTTTGGAGTCATTATTGTGAAAAAAAGTTTTGAACTAAATAGTTAGCGGTCTTTTTGATTTAATTTGAGATCTTTGCGGAGTTTTCATGAATATTCTGTGAAAATATGTCTACAAAACCAGTTACTTTGGGTTACCAATTTGAAAAACCTTTTTTGTAAATGAGCCTTTTTTTGAATTTTTGGGTTTTGGAAGATTCTCGAGAATTTTCTCGAATTTTATTTTAATATTGCTTACTTAGAAAAGTACGATTTTTTTTTCTCACTGTTAGTAAACTGGTCAGTAGTTTGAAGATCATTACCGAATTGAGGAGTAAGCTTGTAAAATTTAATGAAAAAAATTCTTAGATTGGAATTCCTCAAGAGCTTTTTTTCTGGCTCAAGTTTCTCGCTTTTTTTAAATAAGGTTTGGAATCTTCTTGAGAAATGCAAACTTTTTGCAGCTAGCTTTGAGTAACCAGTACAACAAAAGTCCAATTATTAACGAAACAAGTAATCAATTCAAAATTAGCGTTTTTTCGACATCTTTTTCAAGATCTTTTTAATCCACTTTTTCTGGCGCCTTTTCTCTTTTAAAAGCGTCCAACAGCGAAAGTGCGCTCCTTTTTTTACTGACTATTTTTCGACTTTGGTGTCCATAATGGATTTGTTTGTGTGTGTGTGGGGATTTTGCACAACGATAGGTATAAATGATATTTGTTTGCACCTTTCTCTTCTTCTATTGACTGTTTTTGGCCGGTGGATACGTCGAAGAGAGTCCCTGTGGACGATAATATTTGATCAAGTTGCGGACCAGCCAGGCTCCTCTCCTCAGCCACCACAAAAACCCGTCCCGCCCACCGGAATGGGCGTGGCTTCCCGATCTATCAACTTTGACAGTTTTCGTGGTTTCGAACTTGTTTATGGCAAGTTTCCGGCTTTCTGATTGCTTTGAATTATTTTCCTATTTTAGTATAGCCATTTGTCCTATGAAATAATACTATACTAACGTTGGAGAAACCTTTTTTGCTCATTTTTCTCTACGCATTGCTCATGTTAGATCTTTGTAGTCTGTATGTTTGTTGTTCACTTTATTTAACGTAGTCAGGGAAGGTTCATAAGGTTTATTATTAGTTGTTTCTTTTCAGTCTCTCATTTTTTAGTTTTCCAGTTACAATAGGAAGATTGCGATCGTATATCTCCAATGTGAGACTTTTTTACGACTTCCTTGGATGCCGAAAAACAAAAGACGAGTAATTTAGGAGCAGTAGTAAAATCGTTCAATCCAATACGTTACATCCGTCTGACCTTTTTATGGGTCATTTTCTGGAATTTAGTGACCCTTTTAGGGCTGGGAGTCGTGATTGGTTTGACTTTGATAGGGCTATAAGAAGTTTAAAAGCTTCTTTATTTCTTTCGATTTCAAAATTTGGTCCATATTCATTTGAAAAATTTTGAAATGGTCGCCAAGTAATAAAGAAGTAAGAAAAATGCATTGAACAAATTTTTTCTTGGCTTTTCTTGGTGAAAAGAGTACTTTTCTGTGAAAATATCAAAGTTTCGACTCGTATTCGTATTATTGAAAGGACAATGATAAGCTGTTGAACAGAACGGCACAGTTTTATGTGTATTTGTTGTTTGCCTCGGGCTCTGGTATCTTTGCGCCAAAACCTCGTTTCGTAACAACTCCAAATTCGAAATTTTCTTGTCATTTTTGATGTTTTCGGTTTTTTTTTCCAACTTTTTGTTTTGTTTGAAATACACTCCGGGGAGAAAATTTTATGAGTTGAAGGAACGATGTTGTTTTGTTCGAGAAGCTTTGATGAGGGAAAGTTGAAAGATTTGAGCTTTTCTTGATTATTTTTATTCGCAACTCCATGAATTTATTTTATTTTTTTGAAACGAGAACCGGTTTCTTCACGACATTCAAACCATTCCAAACTTCTTTTTTTTTAGTTTTGATTTATTTTGATTTTTTTATTTATGATTTCAGACAGGTTTTTTCACAAAAATGGATACAAAGTTTATCTAACGAGGTTTTTTTTTAACATGAGCAATAACATTCATAGTTAACATGAGCAATAATTTTCTTAGAGCTTCCACTGAAAAAACACTGTTTCGAAATTTATCACATCCGAAAGCATTCAACAAAAAAATATTCAGTTTTTTAAATTTGCAAGTTTATTTAAGTTTTCTTAAGTTTTGAGTGGAATTTGAGGTTTTTTCGGTTTCCAGAATTCCGTTTTTAACGCTTTTGAAACTTCTCTGGGGCTATCTGACCTCAAGCCTTTGCTATGAATGCCCTGAAAGGCCATTTGTTTACTCGAATAATCGGTCAAAAACGTACAGGTGCCATCCCTGGAAACGGCTAATCCCTCGCGAAAAACCGAGACACGATCAATTAAATATTCAAAAAAGATGTCGAGAGTCCGATGGTAACCACACCTGTCACGACAGTCGGCGGGTTGGCTGCGGACAACCGCAAAACACCCGCGGAACGCCCTCTGACCTGTGGCTCGTCTCATAATCTCCTTTGTCCTTGTGACGTCATCTCTGTCTGATTTCCGCCCTTTGTTCTCTTGTCCTTGGCTTTTTTTGCTCATAAAAAAAGTCTGTTTTGGCGCGCATTTGCTCTTTTCTCGAAGTTTGTTCTGACGTGAAAATTTGAAGTTTTTACAAGGGCAAAAGGTCACCGTCTTTTGGAGATTTTATTCATTTTTTTCGAGGGATTCAAACTCAAAAATTTGAAGTTCTTCTTTATCTTTATAAAGTCATGTAAAACTTCCAATGGAAAATTTTTGCGGAGAGTTTTCTTTTTTGGAAGCTGCAATTTTCAACTTTCATTTCACCTGTACCTTAACTAAAAAAATTTTTGAGCGCTCAAAGTCTAAAAATCGCTGACTTGTATCCTCTTTTTTGCAGCTTTTTTTTCATCTTTCCAAAAATTCATACTTTCTGAAATTTTTCGCCGATTTTTATAGTTCTCCGCAAGTTTCTGACAATGAACTTACTAATTATGTCAATATCAATATTTTTCCCATTTTCCACTGAACTTCTATAGTTTTCAACGAAACTTCTGATAACCAGTCTTATCTCAAATTTTCCCTTGTACTTGCGGAATCTTTCTTTGACATTGCGCTTTTGGCACCTCCGCATAAGCCTCTTATATTCTTAGAAGCGCCGCCGACGTATCTGATTACTTTTGGCCCCTCATCGCCATTCCATTGTAATTCTGACCCCCTATTGTTCTTCTCTCGTATTACTTCATGCCTCAGAGAGATTTAGAGTTCAAAAAGCTTCATTTTTATCATTTCTCTGAAAAATAAATCTCTCTTTTTCAGAAAGGACGACCCAAAACGACGGCCGTCGATCACATCGAACTCAGCGAGAAGCTGAACCGGCTCACGAGCAGCAGCTCAATTGGATCGAGTCTACCGTCTTTGAGGTATCATTTCATTTCGTCTTTTTTGCTCTTTTCAGTCTAATATCATAGCTATTCCACTGCTTCAAAAAAATATTTTTCATTCCACATAAAAATTTTCAAAGAATTTTGGATATCTTCACTGTTTCTCGGCAGTTTCTTCAATCACAAAGATAAAAAAAAAGTTGTTTCCATTCCTCCGTGTGTTCATTTCCGATGATTTCAAGTTTTTGTGAGAATCTGTACTTTCAAAACAGGAACATAGAATAATTGGAGTTTTCAAAGCTCATTTTTTGATGTTGTGAAAAAATTTACGCAATTTTTCGATTTTCATTATCATCCTCATTTTATTTATTTTCTAGTTCAACTTATTTTCTCATAACCAAGTTTTCTCTAGCTCACTACACTCCACTTCATCGGCTAGCACAATGCCATCAGCAAAAATTGCCGACGGTAGCTGCATCAGCCTTCCCGCCCTCAAAACTCCTTCATTTCGTGAGTTTCACTTCTTCTTTTCTTTTTTAAACGCCGATGAAAAAAAAAGTTTCAAATCGTTCGTTTTTAGAAAAAACGGATGAAGATCGACAACGTGACGTTGTCCGGTATCGGGAGATGCTCCAGAAGAGGGCGGAGCTGGAGGAGACGCTCATCGAGAGACTGACCGAACTAAAGGCGATTTGTGTTCAAGAAGGGGTTGAAACGGTTTCAAGATATTTGATGATATTTTTGATTTATTAGGAATTGACTGGAGCGATGCCGGACGAGATGCAGAATGCGTTGATGCCTGGAGAAGACGTGCCGAGGTTGAAAAGACGCGTTGGAACGTCTTTCTCAATTCCCGAAGAGCTGATCCGAGCTGATAAGGTGAGCAAAAAATTAATAGAACTAGAACTTTTTAGTCTGAGTTTATTTTAATCTGGTAGCGTCGCTGTTTTTTCAGAAATTAAGATGTTCAAAATATCAGAATCGTGAAAAAATGAGAACGTTAGAAAAATTTTCATAGGTGTTGAAAATTATTTTTTTCAAATAGACCCGAGGCACTCCCATTATTGTCACTCCAACACCACAGAAAGGTTCACAAAGTCGAAGCTTAAACGTTTTGGATTGCGAGAAGCTTAACCTTTTCGATTTTTCCATGCTACTTTAAGCGAGAGAATATATCGACTTCCCTACTTTCAACTTCAAAAATCAAGCCACTCTTCATGTCAAAGTCAAGAACTCAAATGTGAAGAGCGTCGCGCAATGGCATCGCCCTGGAGATGTCGTTGGCCGAAGGGTCGTCGACGTACCGACCGGTGATTCTGCACACTAGCAGGTGGTTGATCATGGCGATGATGATGCCGAAGACGTGCGTCAGTTCGATGTCGACCTTCCCTGAAAGCCTTCTTGTCTGAAATGTTTGATTGGAATGGGAACGGACCGTGAATGATGTCGTAGAGACACAGTTGCAATGCGATCGTTGCGTTGAGGCAAGACACAGTAAGGCCGAGAATCGTCGCAAATGTGATTTGGTCTGAAGTTCTGCGTTGAATGAACTGAGAAAGAGAAGGAAAACCGAATATTGCGTGTAAGGTTAGAGCAGCGACGACGGCGCTGCCGACGCTCAAACCGACCAACATTTTGCGGTCCTTGTCGTATTGTGGGCCAATTGCCTGGAAATTACTCTGTCAGAAAAGGATTTATGCTCTCATGACGGTGTTTTTTGATCTATCGATAGATGAATAGATTCAATCTTAAATTGAAGTTTTAAAACCCTCCTCTAGTTCTTAATTCCGGGCATTTAGTAAATCTGTGACGAACTTATGAAGGGTGGTGTATTCTGATGGACGAGTAATAATTGTTTCAAAAACTTTGTCGTGATGGAAAATTGATGCCTATTGGAGTTCTGGGGGAAGACATAGAAGAAACAAAAGGGACTCACTATTTTTTTTTCTAAAAGAAAGAGTTGTATGAAATTTCGAACCTCTTCCCAATTCCTCAAACTTCAGACTAACCTGAATAGTGATTCCAATTAGAAAAGGCATGAAGTAAGTAGGTTGGCCGCTGTCGCCGAGAACGTAGTTGATATTGCAGGCTTCGGAAAACATGCCCGCCAGTACGGCCCATGTAATCACCAGAACTCGCATCTCGTGCATTGTTATCATTCCCTGAACTCCTTCTTGAACATTTAAATGAAGAAAGTCTTACCCTTTGATATGAGACAATGATCTGAAGACCGGCGATTGGGATCACGACATAGGTAAATGTGACCGTGAACGTATTGCCAAAAATGGAGATTGGCACGTATAAAATTGATAAGTTGCCCAGGCGAATACCAATGGTGAAAGCAGCAAATAGAATTGTCCGACAGACGTAAAGCCTTCAAAAATTATATAATTAAATTATATCCACATAACTGATTTTTTTGTGACTTTAAAAAAATGGAAAAAAACCTCACTCGAAAAGCTGCTGCCTTGGGAAGTTGCGTGGCAGGGGACTCGTGTCTTGGACCTTTCTGAGAATTTTCCTATATTCATCCACCAAAAATTTTCCCGGATTTGCCGCGAAACAAGTCCCCGTCGAGTCGTAACTGAAACAAGTTTGTGAAAAGAAATCATGATTTTTCGCTACCTTGATTGTTTGCTAGAAGTATCCTCGTCCGCCATGTTGAAGAATGAAGACGGTGTTCACGTGAATTTTCATTTGAAGCGATTTTGAAACTTTTTCATCGAAAAGTAAAGTACTTTAGGTCAAAGCAGTTTGATAAGAAACATTTCATCGTTCTCGTATCTAAAAAAAGAATCTTGCTTATCATTAAGCTTTTCCAGGAAGATAAAATGGGAGAGATGGAAACGACTGTCGAGCTCCATAGAAGGATCGTTGCCGCCGCTTCGAGGTTAGCGACAGACAAATCGACGAATAAAAGTGTTCGCAAAAAGCGACAAAAGGTACTTTTTTCCCTAAATTCATCTCGTATATTTCTTTTTCAATAGGACCTACAAGCCGCCAAGCAGAAGCTGAACAGACTCGAACAAGGTCTCCAGCAAATGCGCCACTCGGCCAGCAAACCCGACATCAGCAGCTTCAACTCGGACTCCAGTATGACATTTTGAAAATAAAGCCATGAGAAATAACTTCGTTTCAGATTCTTGGACGATATCGTCAAACGGCGCGTTGACGATGGCGATGACGAAAAGCTGTCCGACGACCCCGCGGGGATCTGTTCCCGACCTTTCCAGTCATACGGATGGAGAAAGGAACGAGGCTGAGGAAGGACTCGACGATGTGCCGCGCAGAGCTCCAAGGTAAAGCAATTCTAAAATCCTAGGTGTTTTCGTACTTTATTCTTTGTTCAAGTTACCTTAATCTTCAGACAGCTTTCAACTTGATTATAAGCTCAAAATTAAAGCTGGAGCTTTTTTTATTCCAAGTTTCCACACAGTAATTGGGTTTGAAGTTTCCAATTTTTTCCAGTTTTTCCCCAGTTTTTAGAAAGTTTCAGAGTACTTTCCTTGTCAACCAATGTTAACTCTCTTAACTGTTTCCCACCTCTAACAACCTCAATTTTTAGCACGGCAGCGATGCGAGCTCTACAGCAGCAGCAGCGGTACTCCGGCACGTCTTCGTCCTCCGCGACGAGCGCTGATTCGATGGGCTTGGGCCTTCCGCCGCGGCCCAACTCCCGCAAAAGCATCGCCAGTTGTTCGCATGCCGATCCTCTTGACAACCCGCTTGCCGATCCAACGAACCCTCTGTGCGTAGTTACTTCTGAAGCAACGAAGTTTTAATGAGACTATTAGAAGTAAATTAGGTATAGTTAATGGAATTTTAGATCTGCTAACACTATTTTTAGACCTACTCACATGTCAGAGCTTCATGTGTCATTGGATTTTTTAGGCGTTAAAAACTGCTGTTAAAAAACGTTTCAAGATGTTCTAGGCCTAACTAGTTGAAAAAAAATAGGCGTTAATTAGTGTTCGGAGCGTGATTTAACACTTCAGAATATGAAAAATAGCTGTTTTAAAACAGAAATAGGTTCATCAGCGTCCAACTAACACTAGAAAGGCTGACGTTTGGAAAAATTGTTCAATCCACTTTGTTTCAGCTATGAAAACGTTGGTTACCGATCGACTTCGTATCGAAGCAGCTATCGACAAGCTCATTATCCCACCATTCAGGTACTTCATTGTATTCGATAGATTTAGACAATCTCAAAAAAAAATTTTTTTTAGAATTGCTAATATTTTCTTCCAGGACGAGCACCACCAACGGAAACGAGCTCAGTCAGCTCACTCGATAGCTCTGGAACCGGGAAGTTCGGGCCGAGTGCCGTGCTCCTACTCGATTCCGATGCAAGACGCTACGCAGCGATTCGCGCAAAATGACCAGGATGACGTCACGCCGACCGCTGAGAATCCGCATCCGATCCGGCGACTTCCCACCAGCATTTCGTGTGGCGCCGGCCTCGGCACAGCCAGTCTCGATCGAAGAAACGGCTTCCCGAGGTTGATTTTTGTAGACGATGGTCTGATAATAATGGTATGTTTCACAGAAGTCACCTACAAACCAGTGAGGACTTGAATCGTCGAATATCTCCACCGACACACCGGATCACGACTTTTCCGGTGTCTCATCCGACCTCGATCATGCCGTGAGTTGGAAAAGTCAGACTTGGATGAAGTTAATTGGTTTTTTTCAAATAGATGCTAGTCCGATTATTTAAAGCTCATGATTTTTTTGATTTCAGAAAGGAGAAACTTTGATAATAAACTTAGCGTCTGTACTCGAGAAAAAGAAACTCCTACTATCGATTTTCAGAAACCGATCGTACTCTACGAACTCCTCAGCCACGGAAATGCCGCGATTCCAGCCGCCTCCGAGTCGCCTTGGACCGTTTCCCTCGCGAGTCGCACTTCCACCGTACAACGGCGTCACTCAGAAACCCTCCTTGACTACAGTATCCGCCAGCAAACTTCCTGTTAACACAAATCCCCAAATGGAAGCCTTGCTCCATTATTACAAGCAGCAGAAAAGGAATCAACAGCCTCCGAAAACTGCTACGATTGTCTAGGTTTCCGTTTTCAGAGTTTTAGAGGTCTCTAGTATCTTGAGTACGGTGAGAACACCACACGAATAAGTTATTAAAAAAAGTTTTAGAAACCAATTTTTTTCGAAAGTTTTTTTATGGACTCTCAAAAATTTTTAATATTTATAACTCCAGAAGTCCTTTCTACCTAAAACTTCGCTGTTGTTGTAAAATGTTCAACCGGTTATGTTGTATGTTTTAAAAATTTTATACGCTTTATTCCGTTATTTTTTCACTTTTCATGTCCTATTTCACTCCTTATTCCTTATCCGGTACTGTAAAATAGCGTTTTCATGTGCATTTTCTCTCGAAGTCATTTGCTCACTTTTTCGTCTTTTCTTGTGATTTTGATCTTCCTCCATCCCTCAACTCGTTTGGTTTTTCACTTTAAAATCAGTTGCAATTGGTTTTTCCTTCCTCTCTTCATTTCATTTAATTTTTCCTCAACGGGTTAGTTCTTGTATGTCTTATACATATTTTTATAAATGTTTATTTTCTTCTTGTTATTAATTTTTTTGACCGGTCTGTGCAGATACTTCAAGAGAAAACATTATTAAGGTTTGATTATAAATCGATTGGATTACACCGCAGTTGGCACTTGTGCCAGTGCTTGTCGTTCTCGTAGATACACCTGGAAAAAAAAATTTTTTTTTGTGAGGAGGAAGTTTTTTTTTTAGAAAGTTGTAGTTAGAACTATGCTTATGGAAAATAGTGAAACTTTAAGTTTTGTGGTTGGCTTGAAAAGAATGACAATTTAAAAGGAAAAATTAACTTTTTCAACAGACGTGCTACCGTTTTTGGTCAGAAGAAACCGGAATTCCTCTTAAAGTGATAACTAGAAAGGCGTAAGTGGTCATTAAAGTGGACTTTTTTTTAGACGCCATAGGAAAATTTCCGAATACGAAATACGGATTTTGCCCGCAAGATTTGAAATCGGAAGACTTGCTCTTTGAGAATAATTTTTAGGAAGCATATTAACGATTTTTTGTAATATTCTACTTTTTTAGGCTGAAAAAAAGTTTGAAGTTCTGAAACGTTTCGAATAAAAAAGAAAACTGCATGTTTTTGATAAAAATCAGAAATAGAGTCTATCAGTAACGTAGATAAATATGTTTTTCGAGTTCTTTCAAGTTCACTTTTTGGAAATCTCACCTCTCAGCAGTTTTGTCATCTTCAACATCTTCAGGACATCTGTAACCATTCGGACATTCGCATCTGTGAGATACGGCTACAGTAACCAAAGATAAGTCGATCACAATCTTTAAAAACATTATTCGAAATTCACGTTTTTACATTCCAAATTTCCACCTGTTTACAGTAGTGTCCCTCGTCACGAATTTCGCAAATCGAAGGATCGGTGAGACCAAAAAGATGCTTCAGTGTTAGAGTTTCTTCCTGCAACGTTCATTTTTTTAAAAAGTTCATTTGGAAGCTCACTCTTTCAAAGAGAAAAAAAGCTTTTTTTGGAAGTGAAGAGTTTTTTTAATAAAATTTGTAAAGAATCATTAAATTTGAAAAAAAAGAAGGTTTTCTGGATCCAGTTCTATAGCATCTACCAAAACCAAGAGGATCAGGCCTTAGCGGGCGAGAACCTTCGCTTACGACCATATCACGTTGAAAACACGCCATCCCGTCCGATCTGGCAAGTTAAGCAACGTTGAGAGCCGGTAGTACTTGGATCGGAGACGGCTTGGGAATTCGGCTTGCCGTAAGCTTTTTCTCGATTTTTAGAAAGATCAGCAGGATTTTTATAGTATTAATTAAATTTATTCATAAACATGGACTATATTTTTTTAGAAAACTGCGATTAAATTTTCGTTACTTCAATTACTTTTTGCAATTTTAAGAAAAATCAGCTGGACTTTTATGAATTTTTCAAATTTTTTTTTTAAGTCTCTGTTTTAATTTTCCCCAAAATTTTTTCTGCCCCAACTCGATTATTCTCAATATTTCGAAGGCGAAAGAAAGCTCTTGATTTGTTGGCCGTAACCGGAACCAGATTAATCGATGGAAAACTCTCATAACTATTTTACTCTCAACAAATTAAAACGTAAAATCCTTATCTTTAAACGTTTGAAAAACGACAAAACCTTGAATAAAGCACAGTTGGATCCAACGAAAGCCAGTGTCAACAAGAAAACAGACGATACCATTGAATGGGAAGGTGTCAAACGAGGGTGATAAGGCAAAAGGAGAATGAAGATTGACGAACGTCTTCTCGACATTTGACGATTTCGCGAAAGGGCGGGTAGAGGAAAAGGAACAAAGAAAAAAACGACCTGCGTCTCGTTCGAGTTATCTTTTTACACCTCTGAAGCTGAAAAAGGAAAACAAGTTGTACGAGACTTGTTGCTATTGACGTTTTATTGTTTTGTGTAAACGAAGAGTTTTAGGTGATAAATCTGAGGCCCAAGTCATTCCAAACAAAAACCAACAAGCCGAGTTTTAGACTCAAAAAAAGGTCAAGCTAGTCGCAGTCCCCACCGTGAATTTTTTGCGAATTCTTTTAAACCTAAAAATTTGAAAATCAGAATAAGTGCAATAACAAGAAATTAGTTTCCTCTTGTTTATTATTATTTATTACTTTTTGGAAAATTTTAACAGAAGCTACAGAATTTTCCCCGGAGAGTAAATTTTAAAAAAGGCATTAAATTATGGATGAGAACTTCGAAACTTTCTCGCCTCATTTCCTTGAGAATGAAAACTCAATCTTTTGAGATATCAAATAATAACTAGAAGGTTGTCAGCCAACAGTATGGCGGCACAGCAAACTAAATCACTCGCTTACGACCATATCACGTTGAATACACGCCATCCCGTCCGATCTGGCAAGTTAAGCAACGTTGAGAGCCAGTAGTACTTGGATCGGAGACGGCTTGGGAATTCGGCTTGCCGTAAGCTTTTTCTCGATTTTTAGAAAGATCAGCAGGATTTTTATAGTATTAATTAAATTTATTCATAAACATGGACTATTTTTAGAAAACTGCGATTAAATTCTCGTTACTTCAATTACTCAATAAAGTTTTCATGGTTTTGCAGTGATTTTTGGTCAATTCTCGAATGAGTTTGAGCTGCTGAAAAAAACTTTTGTTGTCTTTTCCAGTTCAAAGTTTCTTTTTTCAGCTCGTCAGACTCAGGCGTTCCTTGTTTGCCTCCCTCTTGTTAATCCGCTCCTCCTTTTTTTACACCTTTCAATCTTCCTTTTCACACCTTTCAAAAAGAAAAAGTGTGAATCTAAAAAAAGGAGCAAAAGAAAATGCTCTTTTGATTAGGAATATTCTATAAACTATAAACTGACGATAAAATTTTATAATTGAGGTTGTGTTATCGGAAGAACATCTCGAAAACCAGTCTGTCTGAAGTTGATAGATAACATCTAATGATATCATTCTTATCATGAGAGCTGTGAGAAGAAGCTTTGAACGTTCAATTTTTTTTGATCGAGTTCAGTTTTTCATGATAATTGAGCTGTGATGCGGAAACTTTTGACTGAACTTCTTGGCTGTACACGGAACTTTTGATTTCCAGGTGTTTTGGCTCGAGAATATGGAGCTTCAGCGGGCCACTCCGGTCGCTTACGACCATATCACGTTGAATACACGCCATCCCGTCCGATCTGGCAAGTTAAGCAACGTTGAGAGCCGGTAGTACTTGGATCGGAGACGGCTTGGGAATTCGGCTTGCCGTAAGCTTTTTTTTTGAACTTTCAGAAGAACAAATGGAAAGTATCTCTATCAAATAAATATCCTACGTTCTCGTTTTTATATTCTCGTAATATTTTCACGCTTTCGAGACCTGTAAGTGCGTATTTCATGTTTGTTGAAGCTCAAATTTTGAGTTTTTCAGCGTTCTCAGATTTTTTGAGAACGAAAAGACAGTTTTAGTGGTTTTTTCTCACGCCAAAGCGCCATTCAAACCCGTCAACAAAAGGACACCATCCAGCCACCTGTCATGCTGGGCATCATGGACAAAAATGGGCGGAGCTACTTGTTGGAAGTACCTCCCAAAGCTCCTTTCCTTGCACATCTGCCTCTGCGTCTCTGGCTCCGTGGTTAACGTCTGGCCGTCTGTCCTGCGCAAACATTGCGAAAAAGCTGGCGAGAAACGTTTCCGACTGACCCTTCCGCCCAATCACACTGGAGTGATCACTTGTCGCCGCAGACAAATGACCGTCTCCTACAACTTGGACGTGTCCAGCACGTCGATCATCGCCTTTCTGAAGCTTCAGCTGCGATGGAGAGGCTCCATTTGGAAGTCTGTCATGAAGGTCAGTTTCAATTTTGGCGTTTTCTACAGTTTTAAACTTTTTTTTTCCGAACAAAGCGCTTCTTCTCACCCTTTTTTTTACTTTAACCCGGGAAAAAAGTATATCATGGATCTTTCGTAAAACTTTACGAGTTTGAAGAAGTATTTTTTTCAAGACTTGTGAATTTCTTTTTTTAAATTCTGTTCGTTTTCGATTCCTAGCTCTTAGTTCTGCATGGGTTGAACATAAAAAGTTCGTAAACTTTCCTGATTATCTCATCATTTTGGTCTTGTTGAGCTAGATTTTTTTGTTTTTCTTGAGTATGAATGGAGGCTTATTCCTTTTTTACGAAATTGAACTGAAACATATTGAAAGAAATTTTTTTCATTATGTAACTGGATTAATATTTTTGAATTATTAGTTTTTGAATTTGACTCTGGTATTTTCATGAAAAGAAAAACCCCTTTTAAAAAAAAAAAAATCCTCGTTAACGCGATCATCCCACATTGCTACTTTTCGTTATGAATCAGGAAATGATTCATCGAATCAATCGTTTTAGCAAAGGGTTAATCTTGAGCCGATGATAAACTAAAAAAATATTTTTACTCATATAATCTTTCTACATTGTATTTTGATCTCGAGACCCTTGAGATTTTTCTAAACTACAAAAAACTGCAAAAAGCTTACGGCAAGCCGAATTCCCAAGCCGTCTCCGATCCAAGTACTACCGGCTCTCAACGTTGCTTAACTTGCCAGATCGGACGGGATGGCGTGTTTTCAACGTGATATGGTCGTAAGCGAACGAGGCGGTTCGCTGAGGCCACATACTCTTGGAACTGAACCGCTTCGTAGGGAGTGAAAATTTGTGAAATACCAACTTGAAATTATACGTTTATTTCTTAAGAAAGATAACTAGAGTTTTTTGGAGTTTTCTAAGAGTTCTAGTTCCTTTTTATCTCTGATAGGTCTGTTTGAACTATTCTATCGAACCATAGTTCGCTCAAGTCTCCTTCTTCTCCAATTTCGTGTCTAGGAATGGTTTAATTCAATTGTACTCAGTTTTTTAATTTCATTTTTTTCTGATTTGAACGAAAAGCGCAAATGATTTGAGTGATGAACTTGTTCGATTTTTTTCTCCTTTTGAATAACCACAAGATTAATGAAGCTTTTTAAACTTCTTTTTCTGTTCAGGAGTTGGTCATATTCACAACGTTATTCGCTTTTGTCACAACAGTGTATCGGACGAACTACTTTTTATCCGAAGAGCAAAGAAAGTGAGTTTTTTTTCAGGCCCAACCAAATAAAAATTGTTGAAATAAATGAGACGTAGAGTTTGACCAAAAAAATTTGGACAAACTTTGAAATTTTCTTGGAGTCTAGAAACCATTTCTCTAAAAAAAGTAAGGATTTTTTTCGATTTAAAAAAATACAATTAGAATCGCAATAAGAACATGGGGAAGATGGCATTTTAATCCTGAATCTCATTTTTATTGCCTCATTAAATCGCAGAAGTTCTTCATTTTCTGAAATTTCAAGGTTCTGGGACAACTTCTCGGCCTTGTTCGACCAGAAGCTTGACTATATTCCTCTCACATTTATGCTCGGATTTTTCGTGACGATCATCGTCGGCCGCTGGAACGACATTTTCAACAACATTGGCTGGGTGGACAAGTGAGCTTTCAACGCCTCGAAAACGATTAACCCTAATGGATACCACATGTCTTCGATATGTGCTTCTATTTTTATTCTTTTGATAGGCTTTTTTGAAAAAAATTTTCAATTGGGCGGTTTTTTTATCATTTTTTTCGAAAAAAAGAGTTATCAAAACTTCATTCAAACTTTTTTTGCTTAAGATTAAAAATAAAATTTATTTAGAAATGTTCTGAAGTTGAGAAACGTAACTCACGCCTACGTATGTTCTGAAATCATCAAAAAAACCTAAGCGCCACTTTTTTTGTCAGAACTTTCTCCTCTTATTATACTAGCTTTAAGAAAAGATAATCATGTATCCTTCAAATCGAAAAAAAGTTTTCGAGAGTGATGTCGTGAAAGATCAATTGACAGTTATGAAAGGAAAGCATTCAATTAAAAATAAAGGTTTTTTATAAAATTTAAACAAACGACAAGTCATGAGAAAAACATTTAATCGAAGGAAAACGTCAAACCAAACTTTTTCATTTGTTTCGATAGCCTCTTTTTCTCCAACCTTTTCACTAAAATAAAAATATCCCAAGATTTTGTGACTTTTATTTTGCCTCTTTCCAGCACCGCTCTCTTGTTAGCCACCTACATCCGAGGAAGCGATGAAAAAAGCCGGCTGCTTCGTCGAAATATTCTTCGCTACATGGTCCTGACGCAGGTGATGATCTTCCGGGACATCAGCATGCAGGTCCGTCGAAGATTTCCGACACTCGAAACTGTAGTTGCCGCAGGTTCTCTTATTTGGGAGCCAATTCTTATGATGGAATTTCAGGATTTATGTTGGAGGCAGAACGGGAGAAATACGAAGAGCTGCAGCTCAAGTATAATAAATACTTCCTGCCGATCCAGTGGTGTTTCACTCTTTTATACGAGGCCCGGACTCAGGGAAAGATCGGTGCTGATGTCATGCTCAACGAGTTGATCAAGGTCGATATTTCAGATCCTTTTCTGAACTGTAATTCAATTTCAGAGCGTTTCTGATTTCCGTCGAGGTCTTGGACAACTCTGTAACTTTGATTGGGTGCCGATTCCATTGGTGTATCCTCAGGTAAAAAAAAGATAGAAGTTTCTGAAAATTCTAGATTTTTAGGTAGTGTTCCTGGCGGTCAGAAGCTACTTCTTTCTTTGTTTGATCGCCCGCCAATCGGTTCTTATCGATGGCGAGCCGCCAAAAGATAACAATCCGGTAGGTTTTGGAGGCTGATTAATCAACTTCACTGTGATAGGCAGGGGCTACTGTAAATGAACCTCTTCCAAAAATTCGAGTTTTTGGCTTTAAATTAACGGCTGTTTCTTCATAGTGCTCTCAAATCTTAATGAACTCAATTATTAGGTCAATTTTCAGGTCAAGTTAAAAATGTTGACATGAAAATTATAGAAAAAAAAACACAAAAATATAAATATATATCGAAAGCATTGAAGTTGAACTCCGATAATATGTTTTTTGAAACTGCAACCTCGAGATGCACAGGTCTATCCATTGGTGCCGTTCCTCATGACTGCTCTACAGTTCATTTTCTACGTCGGATGGATGAAAGTCGCCGAAAGTTTGATGAATCCTCTCGGAGAAGACGACGACGACTTCGAGTGCAACTTTTTGTTGGATAGAAACTTGGCGGTAAGAATTCAGAAGTTGTCAGTTCTGATTACCTTTTTCGTTCAGGTAGGTCTCACCATCGTGGATGACTGCTACAATGAAGCTCCAGCTCAACAGAAAGACATTTTCTGGAGCGTCGGTAATTTTTATCGTTTCGGACTTTAACAAGTTTGAAAAAAAAAATCAGACGTCGTCGAGCCGCTGTACTCTTCCGGAACTGCTCTGAAGCCGCAAAACCCGAGAATCGGCTCTGCGACGAATTATGAGTGAGTTCAATGATTCATGGTTTCTATTCTCTTTTCATGACAGGGTCACTGAAAATGAAGTCGTCATGATGCCGCACGTCGACAATGAAGCTTATGAAGAGGGGATGCTCGAAGACGTCGAAGGAACGCGTCTGCTGCCTCGAGGTCTTTTTATCGATCCTGAAGAATTCAGCCTGGTCGCATGTAGAATGGCTCAACGCGGTGCGGTTGCGCTACGGTTAAAGCTAGTTTGGATGATAATTGACTCGGTTCAAGGCTTCGTTGAACCAAATTTTTTTTCCGAATATTTGAAAACTGGCTCATGAAAGTTTGAAGGAGACAACTTGCAAATGAATTCAGCCGTCGCTATGTTTTTCAATGCCCTAAGCCAGTTGTGAACCGTCTAAAATCTTATGCCAGTCTGCGCAAGCCGTTTATAGTCGGGCGCACTTTCCTGATGACCTACGCGTGTAGTTATTCTACATGCGACCAATTGTATCAGACGACGCCAAACCGACTATGTATTTGTTGTTTCCAGGTGTTTCGGTCGTTTCCGTCAATCGCCAATCTGAAAGTCGGACCAGCCTTGCCAGCCGAAACAAGGGCTTCTTCACGAGTATCAAAAATCACATATCAGGGTTAGCATTGCTCATCTTAGCTCATGGTTACTGGAATTCAGAACTCCAAGAAAAGTGAGCCGTCCGAATCGACTTAACTCTTCAATGTTCTCGATAAGTACAAATGCTGGCGAGGTTTCACAATTTTTTTCTTTTCAGGGACTGAACTTCTTTTCAGAACAACTTTGGCGAGAGCTCTTTGAGCATTTTGGACGATCTTGCTGAAGAAGCGAAACAGAGCCAAATGAACCAGGTTCTGACGCCGGAAGGTGAGGATTTTTGGAGGTTCTTTCAAAGGAAGAGCGTTATTTTCAACCCAAAAAATTTATGATTTATGAAATATTCCAGGGAGAACAATTTTTGAAAATTTGAGATCCTTTTGATGCGATTTTTATCTGATGAAGGCTATTCGCGCGATCTTTTGAAGTAAAATTCTCGAAGTAGCCTAATCTCAACTTCTCAGAGTGTCTTTAAAGCTTCAGAAGTCCATTTTACTCATTAAAAAAAAATATTGTCCAGCTTATTTCCAAGATAGGTTAGAATCCTAAGACCAAGAATAACTCAGGATTCTTTATTTGCGAGTAAATATTCTCTAACTTTCCAGAAATGAGCTCACCCCGACGAACACCAATAGACGTGCCGCTGACGTCGGTGCCAGAAGAAGACGAAGAAGTTCAGCGGACGAAAAGCTCGGCCGACCTGAAGAAGTGGAAGCAGGCGCTGGACAGGGAACTCCAGGGAGACGCCGAGAAAGATAAGCAATCGGACTGATGTCCACTTTGAACACGTTGTTATTGTTGTTATCATCCTTTCATATCTAATTAATCATATCAGTATTACCAAGGAATGGGTTATCATGCACCTCCTGATGATGTAGAAGTTACAAGTGATTCTGAAACGGCGTCTTTTTCTTTGATAATTTGAATCTGTACTTATTGAAAGAAACGAAGCTGTTCGCGAACTTTTTCTAAATTTTTTGTTTTCACGACTCGAAACGCCTGAAATTAGTGTTTCGAATTGTTTCTTGGATGTGAAAATCTTAGGTTCTGCGCCCTACCTTTGGCGACTTTTCTCCGATGTTTTGAGATACCTCCGCGCTCAAGTAGTTCATTGTCGGGGAAAGGGACATCCTGAAGGAACGCATCAGTTCAGACTACTTTAGAGCTTTTTGAGTCATGAAAAACGTAATATGTTTCTTATTTCTCAAATTTTTATCACCCAAAATTTTCAAGTTATATGATTTCTCTACGCAAAAATATTTAACAAAACACGGATTTTTTTTTAGTTGGCCACGCCCCTTATCAACAAATTCATCATATATTTTTCGTTTTGAAACATTTTCCACGCATCATCAGTTGATTCATTTCTGATCTCTATTTTCCCGCCCCTCATTTCAAAGTGATAAATATTTGAACCGAAAATAACCGCAGCGAAAAAGAAATTGGCCAAGTCGGCAAACTTTTTAAGCCTATTGACTGTTTTAACACTCTGGCTGGGTAATTTGTGTTTGTGCGAAAAGCGCACGAAGAACGCCAAGCTTATTTTTCAGTCGAACTCAAGTTCTTTTGAAATGTCCTGATTTTTTGAAAAATTTTTTGGAAGTCTGAATTTTGCTGAATGGGCTCTTTGAGCTGGAAAGGTTTCATGAATGTTCCAAAATCCCTTAAGCCTAAATTTCAGAAAGAGAGTAAGTATTCTCAGGTGGTCGCCGAATGATGGTTTTCTCCAAATTTGAAGTACCTTTTCTCGAAAATGCCGAGTTTTTTTTTCAGGTTATGAACTTTTTTTTGTGTGTTCAAAGAGAGCATGTTCCATTCATAAATTTTTTCGTAATAGAATTTTTTTTTTCATTAATTATTCCAAATTAAAAAAAATATTGTTTTGGAACAATCAACTACGGTTAATCCTTCACATTTCTTTCTACGAAAAACCCTATTTTTAGCTTCAAACTCGTGTTTCCTGTCTTTTGAAACGTGTAGGAGTGTAATTTCATATTGGAGATTCAATTAAGTTTCTAAAAGTTATTGAAATTAATTTATTTGTCTTTCAAAGGGACAAAGTTCTCCAATAATATTTTTCCAAAGTTTCTTGGGTTTATTCCGATTTTTTTAACTTCATGTTTTGAATCGAGTCGTCTGTGTTCTAATTTTATTTCCCGTCATTTCCATCATTCAGGAATTTTCAAAAATCTTTTTTCCATTCAACGAATGTGCTAGGGTCTATCCTTTAGAATATTTTTCATCATAGAAATTCCTTTTTCGAAGATTTTTAGAACAAAATAATCAGAATGACGGGTTTGAAAAATACTTTCATATTAATTTGTTATCGTATTGCTGCGTCTTGCCGGAGTGTCGTTGCAGAAAACTAAAACGAGTTGGTTCTCATTGCACGACCACACATTTTCTCATCATAACTTTCCTATTTGTCTTCGTTTTTTAATTGAAAATCGACATCTTTTGTGAACTATAAACAAAAGGCCTTTCATTGATTGAGAAAAAGAAAATAAAGCCAATAAAGTAAAGATTCAAAACAAATAGAATTTTTTTTAAAATTTAATGAACCCGGAAGTTCATTGCTCATTTCTTTATCTAGTCTAAATGCTAATTACTCCGTTCAATTTCCTTGTTTCATTTGTTTCAAGCTTGCTCTTTACACAAAAAAGAGCCTAGTCGGTCTTTTTCCGAATGGAGCAAGGCGATTATGTTAAATTATGTATCTCACTCATCAATTCTATTCTCTGATTTTTTTGATGATCAAAATTTCTCTATTATACTAAGAATTCGGAAAATATTAAAGAACGGAAATCTCTTCCCTCTTTTGTTTTTTCGAGCTTGTCCCACCAAAACATCTTAAAACCTGGCAATGTTATTCTTTCCGCCCACAGGCTACTTTGATGCATTCTCAGCCCCTCGGAAAAATATTCGGGCCTGTAAAACTTTTTTACAGCTTGAGACGTTCTCAGAATCAAAATCGAACAGATTTCGTCATTTTTGTATCGTTCATGAACGCTCGTTCCAATTCCTTCTTTTCAAAGTTTTGTTCAACTTTCTTTACTATGTAAAACTTTTCTAGTCTTCATTTTTGGAGTTCCTAAGAGATCATGAAACGTTTTTCCTACCTTATTGACTTCTTAACAAGGTTTCCAGACCTCCTAGTCTTCCAGGTTCAATAAATCTTCAAAATCGTCTTTTAAAGAAAACAAGTTTCTAAGGCAATCTGAGACATCATCAAACGTGAACGAGCGACAAAATTAATTGCCGAAACTTGGAAAAATAGTGTTACCTTTCAAGTATCAAGCGTGGAGAGATGTTCGAAAAAAAAGTAGTTATTTACGCCTGGAAACCGTTCCCAGAGACATTCGGACAAAAAGAGTGGTAAAAAATGGTGGACAAGGAGGGGAATCCGATCAAAAGACGCCGGCTGCTGTGAGAATTCGTATCCGCCCCGATATTGCGTCGCGCCGTCGTTACGAGCCTCTGGCGTCTATTTTTGTTCCAGCATTTCAGTTGGTCGATTCCACCGGAAGCGACAGAAATAGCCATGACCGTCTCTTACAATTTGGACGTGTCTTCGGCTTCAATTATTTCTTTTCTCAGGCTGCAGCTCCGATGGCGCGGCTCCATATGGAAGTCCGTTCTCAAGGTTTTAGCTCCTTTTCGATTTTATGATAAGTACGTTTTTTAATGATTAGAAATGAGTTTTTAAAATTTTTTCAAATCTTCTGCAGGTATATAAGTTCTTATCTTTGTCGTTTTTTTGTCACATTTTTGCAGAGCGTTATGTAAAAAACTCAAAAATCTCTGAAAGTTGCTGAAAAAAGGATAAGTTCTGAGACTGTATCAAAAAAATGAAAGTATATTTATGATAAATCAAATTTCAGGAACTTGCAATGTTCGTCTTCGCTTTCTCATGCGTTTCAATAGTTTACAGAACGGACCTCTTCCTCAGCAAACAGCAGAGAAAGTGAGATTTCATTCTGATTAGTTGTCCCAGGACCATTATAAGAATTATTTGAGAGATAAGCTTATCTTTCAGTTTTATTGAATATTTTTGATGAATCTCGAAAATAAATCCATTTTGCCCATACTATTCCTTCAGAATTTGGGACAACTTCGCAGCATTATTCGACCAAACGATGGATTTTATTCCACTCACCTTCATGCTCGGATTTTTCGTCACCATCATAGTTCGCCGTTGGAACGACATATTTGCTAATCTTGGATGGATTGATAAGTGAGAAAAATGATAATTTTGAAGCTAAAAAAAGCTTTTACGAGGAATTTCATCTCACATTGGGGCTAGAAAATTTCTAAAGTTAGGTCGAAGCTTTCTTTTGTACTGTAAGAGAGATCCTGAAAGCCTCAACCTGCAAAGTTCTCTAGTTTCCGAAAAAAAAAGTGTTCAAAGTCGGAGGAAATTTTTTTTGAAGGCTTTTTCGAATTTACGCCGTCTTTCATTGAAAAATTAGATATTTTGCAGTATGAAACTCCAGAATTTTTATCTGGTACGTCAAAAAGTTTGCTGCCCAATTTTTCGAGATTTTTCAACCAAAAAGTAAAATGAGCATTGTTGTCAGTACGGCGATTATGGTGGCGACGTACATCCGAGGGGACGACGACAGGACGAGAATGATGCGACGGAGCGTCGTCAGATACATGGTTCTGACCCAGGTCCTCGTCTTTCGCGACATCAGCCTCCAAGTTCGACGACGGTTCCCAGCATTGGACGCTATTGTTGCGGCAGGTTAGGAATGAGAATTGGACGAAGAAAACATCAAGAACAATTTATCTGAATAACTGTACCTTTGAAAAAGCTTGAGGCTTCCCAGAGATTTTCTAATTTTTCGAGATACCTTTCAAACTCGCAGCAAGCAAAATGTTCACCTCACTTTCCAGGTTTCATGCTGGAAACCGAGAAAGACTTGCTGAACGACTCGAATCTCCGTTACGCACGCTATTTCCTACCCATCGAATGGTGTACCTCACTGCTCTACCAAGCCAGAAGCGAGGGGAAAATCGGAGCAGACCTACTAATGAATGAACTGTCAAAGCATGTGCTCGAGTTCCGAAAGGGCCTCGCTCAACTGTGCAATTTCGACTGGGTGCCAATTCCTCTGGCCTATCCTCAAGTCGTGTTTCTGGCTGTGAGATCCTACTTCCTCATGTCGGTGGTCGCCAGACAATCCGTTCTTATTGATGGACAGCCGCCAGCTGATGAGAACCCGGTGATTGATTTTTTGAAAATAATAGAATTTTCTTTATCTGGTAGCGCTTGGAATGACTCAAAGCCTAAAGGGAGCTTTAAAAAGCGTCCGACTGAAAAATATTTTCGCGCCGAACTTACTGAAAAACTTTGAGCTAGCAGAAGTTTTTGAAAACGGCTTTGAATCTTCAATAAAAACGCAAACCGCAAGGCTCCGAGCCGTTCTCAGTGCGTCCAAAGATGGTAAGCCGGGGCATAGGTCCTTCTGAAAAATCATTCCGCAAGTTTTTCTTTGTAGTTCCATCGAAAAAACTAATTACTCTAAAAATTTGAACTTTTTCAGCTCTATCCTTTGGTCCCATTTATCATGTCAGCTCTTCAATTTGTCTTTGTTGTTGGCTGGATGAAGGTTCTGTCCTTTCTATCAAACCACCTATCTTTCCTTGGCTTTCAGGTAGCCGAGAGCATGATAAATCCATTAGGAGAGGATGACGACGATTTCGAGTGCAATTTTCTGTTGGATAGAAATCTATCAGTAGGCCTCTCCATTGTCGATGAGTGTTATAATCGACAGCCGGATCTCGAAAAAGACGTTTTCTGGAGCACTGGTAGGACTTTATTGCTAATTCGAAGAAAAATGAGGTAATTCAGACGTTGAGCCGCTCTATTCGTCGGATACGGCTCTGATTCCGAAGAATCCACAAATCGGTTCGGCTGCTAATTATGAGTAAGCTGTTTCATATTTTCTTTGAAAGTTTGAAACTCGTTTTAGGATGAAAGATGAAGAGGTTCTGATGATGCCGCATGTAGATGACATGCTGGGAGATGAGCTCGATTTCAAGGACAGCTCGAAGTTGATTCCGAGGTTGCAAATATGAAAAGAAAGGGCTACTGCAAGGAATGGCGCAAGTGTTGTTTGAAAGCTGCGATAAAAAAAAAATTTAGAAATGGGATTCAATGACAAGTTAGCTTTCAGTTGCTGATAGACTTTGAGATCACCATGTCTTGAACCATGATTTTTAACATTGAAAAATGATTAGTTAACAATAGGAAGATTCCAGAAAACACTACTCGGTAATGTCAGTTGCTCATCCGTTTGGGAGCGGCACAAGCTTGCCAGTGACTCGAAAAAGAAGCGCTTTTGCCTTCGATGCCATCACTCGGAAAATCAATAATCGATCGTGAGTTTTTACAATCAAGCTTTGAATTTTTCAAGTTTTCATCACGTTCCTATTGATGGACTATGTCAATTAAAATAATACGCTTTAAAAGTTAGTTTTTACTTTTGAATTTAAGATCCTCACGCGGCCAAGTAACTTGAATATTTATTATTCATCTTAATGATGTCATACTGCAGGAACAGCCGCCAAAAATTGTACAACTCCTGGTCCCAAGCCACTCTCAATGGAAACTTTCAAATGGATGATGTTTCTTATCTTCTTTTTCTTTTTCAAATTGTTAGTTTTACAGAACGCAGAAGAAGGAACAACAAATCGGCATAAAAACTCGAGCATGTTATTGAGGGCTCCTGAGAACCTTTTAGATTACGAAGGTGCATTTTATGAGCCTTTTTTTCAGTTTTTTGAGAGTCTTTTTGACTTTTTCAATAATTCTAGGGTACAAAGTGTTATTTCAATTTCTATAAAGTTTGAAAAGTGTTTCAAAATATCTACAAATCTTTCAGGAAACGACAACTCGATCTCAATGCAAAAGCTGTCGTGCGACTTGACAACAGTCGAAGAGGAAGACGAGGAACGGGCGAAAAGTACTCTGGACAAAAGCCATGGGTCCTGAAATGTGGACCGACCTGAAACGGCTCACGCCTAACGGCGAAATCGTGTGTGATTTGTTTTAACTTATATCGGGTGACCATCAATATTTTATTCTACTTTTTTTTCTGTTCTCTCGCCTTTATAATGAAAATTTTACATACGAGAAATATTAGAATGAACCTCTAAATTTTTTTAAATTCCAAATGGATAATCCCAGCTTCACCGCGGCCATCTGCGCGCTGAAGTTAAATTTAGTGCGGTAAGTCAAAAGTCTGCAAGCACAAAAGAATCTTCATCGCCAAATTTGACGCGCACTTTGCTATTTTTTTCTTTTTTTTCTATTTTAGATTCATAGATAATCATCAAACGGAGACTTTCAATTCAATTCAATTCAATTCAATTTTCAATTTATTCAGTCTTCAGAGTAAGATGAAGAAAATCTCTGCTGAATCATGGTATAATCGAAGAGTTAGTCGTCGGCGCGGGTTACAGTCTATAATCTTTGTCCAATACGTCCCGGAGTGACAGCTAGCGTTGGGAAACAATGTGGGACCGCGGGTACCAGCGAATGAACTGCTTCACCATGTTGGAACAGTACGGCGCGCAGCTTGTCCAGGGCTGACGGGCGTCGGAATATTATCCCATGAGAGAGCGGCAAAGAGGCCGACCAGTCGACGTGATGAAATGAGATAATAATAATAAAACGGAGACTTTACATAAAAATATTATTCAGTTGCAGTTACATCGAATAAAAAGGGTAAGTCTTTTGTGGAATTTTTTTTTGTTAAGTGTGACTTTTTCTCTTCTTTCGGAGAGAAAAAGAAATAATGTTTTCACTTTTTTTTCTGATGAGATAGATGACTTTTGTCTCAAGTTAATCAAACAAAAAAAAAATAAGGTATTCTCTTTTTTATTTTGAAATGCTTGTTTGATTAAAATTTTTTAAACGTTTCTCTGGACAAACTACGTTAGTTTTTAGTTCCAAGGACGAAATAGGGGACAGAGTAAGTCTGAATATGTAGAAAAACAGCTTGGTGGTCAAGAGAAACCGCACTTTTCCTCTACATCTCTGTCAACTTCACGCGCACTTCTCTTTCCAGGTCAAAAGTGTATTTCATTCCTTTTAAACTAGTTGTTCTATGTGAAGTTGCAACTAAGTTTTATTTGAATTTTTTTCAAAAATTCAAATAAAACTTACGCCTTCTTGGAAATAGTTGATTCATGTCGTCTTCAAAGTAATTCCTGTGAAAGTCAAAATTATCTCTCACTCTCCAAAAACATAGTTTTTTTACTTTTTTTCAAACGGCTATTTTTTTATTTCGCGAATCACTTTAAATGCGACATTTAAAAAAATAAATTTTCATTTTTTTATGCTTTTTATTTATTTTTTTCAAAGTTTATGAATTGTTAAAAAGATCAAAAATTTTTTTGTGAACAATGCTTTATGAATATTCACTACTCGAAATGTACGTTTTTCCGAATAAATTGCTAATGATTCGAAAAAAATTTATTCTTTAAAGTATAATTTTTTTGATTTTTATTCCAATTGCATGATAAAAAAAATATTATTTTATTAGATTATACGAAAAAAACCTACACCTATTTTTCGTTTTAAAAATGTCATAAAAGTATAATTTCACAATTTTTTTCTTCGCGGAAAGAGAGAAAAAATACGATCAATACGGCCTCCGACCGAAATTGGAACGGCCACAACAAAAGGCCGCCGGTGTTTTTCTGTGTACCTTTTTCTCTCAGTTATTTTTTTATTTTTCCCTTGTTTTTTTATCTCGTATCACTTTCTTTTTCCTTTTTTTGGGGTTTACTTCTACTTAAGAGGCCTGTTTCAAAAACATATGTGACATATGATATGTCAAGAGATATTCACTAAAAAAAGGTTATTATTTGTTCATTTAACCCATTTTTCTCATTAAATTTATTTGTTCAATCTTTCAATATTTTTTTGACTTAAAAAAATCTTTTTCTGAAATTTTAAGATTGAGAACTTTTTTTCGACTTATGAAATATCGGGTTTCTCGGCATAAAGCACGAGTTAAACAAGTTTTTTTAAAATTTTTCCTTACCCTGGAACTGAAATTGAAGCACTTATTCAGCTCATTAATATTTTAAAAATATTTGAGTTAATCTTTATTTTTTTATCACTTCCGTACATTTATTTTGTTACTGATATTTGTCTATTTTTCTTAAGAAGTTATTTTCTGCCGCATCTGAAAACATTTCTTCTCGATAGTTCTTCTCCCAGATTTTCGAAAGAGTTATTTCTATCGTTTTTATAGGTAAAAGCCATGTCGGACTATAATTACAATGGCGAGGAGGAACAAAATCAAGGTGTCGAAAAATTTCGAATCATAAACATAAGTTTTTTGAGATGATTACGGTTACGGTGGCGGTGATGACTACGGTGATCAGGATCAATGCTATGGCGACCAGGGATACGGTGGTGAAGATTACGGTGGCCAAGACCACAGTGCCCAGGATTACGGTCAGGAAGACGGTGGTCAAGACTACGACTATGAAGATCCACCAGAAGAAGACCAAGATCCACCGGAAAATGAAGACGAACAGGAAGAAGAGCAGCACGGTAGTCTATAGTCTGAGCAATTAATGGCGTCATTACTAGATGATAACAATGACGTCACCGAGGAGCATGATGAAGAAGAAAAGGAGGAACAAGATAACCAAGAAGAGGAAAACGATGGACCAGTGCGTACTGTATGAGGATTACGGTAGTGTTTGAGTTCAGGAAGAAGCGACCAGCGCCGCGGTGACCAACTCCGCAGAAGATACGGCTGAGAATCACGGATTCGGAACTCTGGTCAAAGGTGACGTCATTTTCGTTACAATGACGTCATGAATTTCATTTTTTTCAGGAGCTTTGGATGGATTTGGAGGCGGTGGAATCGATGGCGTCATTGGGCAGATTGGGCAACTTGTTGGTGGCGAGGGGGGACAAGGTTTTTTTTCTGGTTTGGTTATTGTAGCTAGAAAATTACCCTGGGTATTGTAGATTTCTGTCTATGAAGTATGAATGATAAAAAAAAACTTAACTGGCGAAAAAATCGTATATTTTGGATCCAGTCTCTATTCTATTCATTTTTTCTTTTCAATTTCTGATAGGGTTCATTGTGTTCAGGCTTGACGAACATGTTCTCATCGGGTGGAATGGAAGGAATGTTGGAGAATTTGATCGGAAGCGCCGCTCATCGGTTCTTCAACATCGACCCTGTAATATTTCCAAAAATTATTGAAATTCTGAGCTTCGTTTTTGAGAAAAAGGTCAATCAGATGTTACGGTTTCGGTCCGAAGGTTATACAGGAAATTAGGAATTTTTTTATTTCTTCTTGAATCAATTCATGAACTTTCAAGACTCATTAGGAATTTAAAAATATCGACTCATCATTTTTGGGACAAATTAGTCTTCAAAACCTCATAACTCGGCTCACAATGCTCATTCCCCGGTCAGACCGCCCGTGAAGTCTTCTAGAGCTTCAGTAGTGGTACCGCCCTATGAAGCCTCTTCAGTAGTGGAACTCCCTCTGCTTCAGTAGTGGTACCCCCGGGAACCCTCAAGACCCACTAGGAACCTAGAAATTTCGATTTTTCGGTTTGTATTAGTCAAGTTAACTATTCAAAATTCCAAAAAACCATTTCCACTTCTTCGATCGAAATTTCGACTACCCTAGAAATTTCATTGCTTGATTAACCTTGTGTGGACCCAAACCGGCGACCCTGCGGAGGCTAGAAATAAGTCTGTCACGCTTTTTCTGAAAAAAGGCTTACTCCACCCTTTGGAAACCAGTTGGAGTTTGAACTATTTGCATCATTTAGAACTATCAGGAATAATAGTTATTCATTCAGCAAAAATTGAGCTTTTCAGAGCACCGGGGCGATCATCGGAGCCATCGCAGGTAATCTCATTTTCAACATGGGCGGTCGTCATAACTCTTTGAGTTCCATTGGAAAAGTCATTCTCGACAATCTCATCAGCGGCAAATTTCGACGGGATGTGAGACCTTTTTTTGATGAATTCAATGACTTTAATGAAAAATTGTGAATTAACTAATTAACAGAAATTTGCACATCTCCATGACGTCATTCAGATACAACCATTCTCTCCGCCTACCGGAAACTACGCCGGCGACTTCACTCTCGATTTCGCGACGGAACGTCAACGTTGCCTGGACCAGAAAATTCTGTTTGAGGTCGCCCTCTACATTATCTCCGAAAAGAAATGGAAATTTCGCTTCAGGACCCACAATTCCCAGCGGCCGACCGGAGCCTGTACTACAAGACCCCGCCAGATGGCGACGTTGTGTGGCGACGGCCTGGGGTAAATATAAAATTCGAAACTTTCCTTGAGTCTCATCCTGTTTCATTATCGTTAACCGGAAAAATGTTCGAAATGAAAAAAACAAATTTATTTTTGAAGAAAAAAAAAACAATTCCAAAAAGGGATAACTCTGGTGAATGACATAATATTCAGGAAATCGTGAATGACCCGCAACTGATCGTCGGCGACAAATCGCGGTTCGACGTCAAACAAGGAGCCCTGGGCGATTGTTGGCTCCTCGCCGCCATCGCCAACTTGACCCTCAGGGACGAACTCTTCTACAGAGTCGTGCCGCCGGATCAGTCGTTCACCGAAAATTATGCAGGTCTTTAGAGGATATTTAAACAATTTCTGTCTACTTATAAAGTTATATTTCATTAAAAAGAGATTTTCTTATAAAGGAAAGACTTTTGGACAATATCCTGTACATAATCGGACAAAAAAAACCCCCACAGTTAACGCAAACTTTTGAATTAGATGTTTCACTGTCACCTAAAGATGAAATTCCCAAACATGCCTTTTAGGAATATTTCATTTCCAATTCTGGCGCTACGGTCGCTGGGTTGACGTCGTCATCGACGACCGACTGCCGACCATCGACGGAAAACTGTGTTATATGCGCTCCAACGAACACAATGAGTTCTGGAGCGCCTTGCTCGAGAAGGCCTACGCCAAGTGAAGCGCTTGGTCTTGTAATTTGAAAAAGAAATGATTTCAGAGTTTATGGAAGCTATGAGAGTCTGGAGGGCGGTACCACTACTGAAGCTCTGGAAGACTTTACGGGCGGTCTGACCGAGTTCTTCGACCTCAGGAAGGCCGACAAGGCGACGATTTTGGCGACGATGGTCCGTGGCATGCAGATGGGCTCCTTGTTTGGCTGTAGTATTGATGTGAGTTCAGATAATGGTGTTTGAAATCTTCTAAGAACAGCGAGAAAGGGCAGAATAGCTTTGGTTAGAATCAAAAATCAGCCATAGACAGAATAGCCTAGAAGAAAACAGCTCAGAAGATGAGCCGCAACAGGCGATAATGTCCGAGGAAATTGTGCTCCACGGATAATCAAAAAGTACAACTCAAATTTCTTCTTTTTTCATAAATTTGAATATTTTTGCCTCCAGGCCGACGCCAACGTCAAGGAGGCTCAACTCCAGAATGGCCTCGTCCGAGGCCACGCCTACAGTATCACCTCCCTTCACACTGTCAACGGAATCCCTCTGATTCGGCTCAGAAATCCATGGGGTAATAGTAAGGTGGGATGAAAGGGATGAACTGAAAGATGAAGTCGTGAATTGGAGGAATGGAACGGCGCCTGGAGCGATGGAAGTCCTGAGTGGGACTCGGTCGACAGCGAGACCAAGCATTCGATGGGCGTGGCCTTCGCCAATGACGGAGAGTTTTGGTGAGTTTTCTGGCACACCTGAGAGGAGGACGACATGATTTTGTTTGTTTTTCACTGGTTTTTCGAATTTTTTTCCGAACATTCTTAACTATGCTAGCTAAGCCCAAAATGTATTCATCACTTTTAAAAATTTTTTTCTTAATTCGGGCTCTCGAAAAAAATCAAGATTTTCGTTTCATTTGACCGATTGCGACGCAGCGCGTTGAAAAAACTCAACACTTTTTTTCGAAAAAAAAACTTTGGTTAGCTTTTTCTGAGTTTATCTTGAAGCTTTTTTTCTAATTTTGTAATTTTTTTGAAGATGTCTAATCAAGGCGTTTTTTTCTCACTGTTGCCCAGAAAGAAAAGTTTTTTCCAGGATGTCTTTTGATGACTTCCTCACCAATTACACGCAAATGGAGGTGTGCAACTTGTCGGCGTCCGTGATGGACGAAATCTCTGAAATGACCGGGGTAAACATTTGGGAATTTTGTCTGCGCCTTGTTCAGCAATGCCTTGGAACAATATTTAAAGTGGTTTAGGAAAAAAAAGGGATTTACACGGTTTCTTTAGCCATTTTATCCTAAGCCAGCGATGAATGAACTGAAAGTCGTTTTTCTTTCTATTTGTGAAAATCGGGGTCGCAAGTGGAATGGCTGAGCTACATGTTTAGCCATTCTTTTTTTGACAGTTCTGAAATTTTCGACATATGCGTGGGCCGACCATGATGGACGATTTGCGAACTTTTCATTTCATTTCGAATTTCACATCTCCCAGTTTTGGAAACAAACCATTTTTTGACTTATCACTCCCCGATTAAGACATTTTGCGAAAATTTGGAGACACAAAACTTCGAAAAGTGGCAAAAGTTGACCGCTTCGCGACTGCGTTGCAGGCTCATGGCCAGCCACCACACAGTTCTAATTATCAAGAATTAGGTTATCATCGTTTAGGTAGACGTATCGGCGACGCAGCAACATCAATGGGAAGAACAGTTTGTCGACGGCGAATGGAGTACGGCCAAGGGAACTGCCGGCGGTTGTAATAACAATCCAGGTGATTATCTAGTGACTGTAATTTATTACAGTACCTTCAGAAACCTATTACCTCAACCCGCAGTTCGCGTCGAGGTTCACCGTACCTGAGGACACGGTGGAACAAGACGGCAAGTGTACTGTAATCGTGGCCGTTCTCCAAAAGTATCGACGAGAAATGGCCGCAACTGGGCAGGACAGCTTGGCAATTGGTTTTGCCGTTTATCCGGTAGGTTTTACGAAAAATATGACGTCATCAATATGTTGATGAGGTCAGATTTCGAAAAAGGTAAGTAAAATTTTCCTAGGGAGTGGTCGTGTTTGAAAGAATGAAGAACAGTTTATGATTTATGAAAAAGAAAAACCAACTTTTTCTCAAAAAAATTTTTTTCCATTTTTCAAAAAAATGACGACACTTTTTTTCACTGGCCTGGCAGAAAACTTTTTAAAAATTAACATCTTCAAAAATCTAATTCGTTTTTTTCTCATTTTTTTAAAAAGAGAAATCAAGTTTTAGTCTCTGAAAGGTCATCATTTTTTTATTTCATATGCAAACAATCAAAAACTCATTTTTTTAGCCAAAAATTCAAACGTAATTTCGACTTTTTTTAAACTAATTTGACTTGTACAGTGCGACAACCAAAGAGCTCTCGACGCCAACTTCTTCCAGTCGACTCGATCAATTGCCAAAACCAAAGTGTTTATCAACCTGAGAGAGGTGAACACCATAAGTCGATTATTGTTTAAAAACGAATCGATATCCAGGTGACTTGTCGATTCCGTTGCCGTCCTGGGAGTTATGTAGTCGTGCCTTGCACCTTCTCTCCGAACGAAGATGGACAGTTCCTTCTGCGCATTTTCGCCAACGCCAGGCTTCAGATCAAGTTGGTTTTGAGGAATGTTGAAAGTTCAAACAGAAAAGGTGCTAGAGGTGAAAAAAGAGCGATTTTGCATTGAAATTTAATCTAAATGTCTAAATCAATGCAAAATCGCTCTTTTAGTGATGGAAAAAAAGTTAAATCAAAAATAGAAAGAAAGAGGTCATTTTATGTACCAACTTTCGAAAATTGACTTACTAGGGAACGTTTTTTTAACCCTCCTAACTCAAAACCACGTCTAATGCGAGAAAAAAACGTTCCCTAGTTTAAAAAAATTCTGAATTTAAAATGAGTATTTTTTTCAGTTCGACGGCGGCTCCATCGGCACCATATACATACTAATCTATATCATAAACTTGATTGTATATTTTAACATTTATATTTGCCTCCTGTGCCTTTTTGAGTTACCATATTGTGATATTTTTCGAGAATTATGATCTTTCTTTCGAGAATTATGATCGAATTTTTCGAGAATTATGATCAAATTACGGTGGATGCTTGCATAAAAAATTAATTAATCCTCATTTTTCTTTTCCCTGTCCAGAAGTCGTTCAAACCTTCATAGTTTTATCGATAAAAGCGGCAAGGGAAAGACTATAAAATCAAGACAAAAAAAAGTGTCCTCCTAGGAAAATAATCGTAGGACAGGTAGGGCAGATAGTGTAAAAATCGAACATTTCTATCCATTTTTTTCTTCCTTAAGCGATCCATAGAACTTTCGCCGAAACTTTTCTCCCCTTGCTTTCCAAATTGATAGCGCTTGCCAACACACGAAACACAAGAAAAAAGACGGGAAAAAGGTCTTTCGGCCGTTGTTTTGCACTGTATTTCCGTGGACTTGATCTTAGTTTTCCGTTCCTTTGGTTGAATTTTCAGACTCTCCGAAAGGTCCGCGCTTTCTGTAGATTTGATGTTTTGGATGATTGCCACGGCGCTTTCACTTATTTTTTTTCCCGATAAAGCGAGGGACACTTTTCGTTTCCATTGACCTTATAAGATATATGTGATTAGAAAATTAACTTAAAAAGTATTAGGTTCTAACTTTTGACAGCTTCAGAGCGTTGGAAGTCTTCAGACAACTTCTTGAATCGAGTCGAAATGTCTTTGCGAGGTATTTTCATTATTTTTGAACTTCAAGTTTTGATATCGTCTATCCTGGTCCTAACACTTTCTTTTCAGCTTTCAATCAGCTTCAAAAAAATTTAAATATTTCAGGAAACGTCGAAAAATCTCATTGATAGGAAAAAATATGAATTAAAGAAAGGATGTGATTTTAAAATTTTTGAATATATTTTTCATGGCTTCATATTATTAGCTTTTCCCAATCTCATGGCTTCATTTTATTGGGCAATAAGTAGTTTTTTTTTTTTTTTATCTTTTTTTCAGTGATTTTTTTTTTTTTCGGACGGTGTTTCAAGATAAAAGCTTTTTATTTATTGGAAAGAAATGTTTATAGTTCCTTCGCTTTTTTATCCTCTGCAGACTGAGATTTTTGGTCTTTCAAAAACAGTTATCTTTTCCGAAAAAAACTGTTCTTGTAGAATTTCATTTTTCCTAAGCGGAACGTGGCTCTTTTTTTTTCTTCCGCTATTTCCAATGCTCGGCTAGTCTATTGAAACATCTCCTCTCGTTCAGTAGAAAATTAAAATCTTCTCTGAAAGTTAAAAAAGAGCTGTTCGAATACCCAAGGCGTCCGCACTTTCCAGACACCACTCTGCCGTTGTTTTTGGCACGATTTCAGCCAACAAACTTTCGCCTACTTCTAAGAGGGACCTGGATTTCGGAGGAGACAAGTAGTTTGTTGCCTTCTTTCGACGGCCAAAAACAGCTGCCTGACATATACCAGTTGTGCCCTGGGTGTTGCTTCTTCTCTCCTTTTTGCCAATGGCAGATCTATCCCTAAAAAACAACCACTTCTTCTTCTTCTTTCTGTTTCACTTTTTATTCGCATTTCCTCGCCGTCGGTGCTTCTACTCCATCATTTTCCCCTTGTTTTTCTAACTGTCTATCATTTTTTTCATTCAACATTCAATAATCATTCGAAAAAGTTTGATTGTCGAAGAATTAAGGAAAATTCCCTTTTGAATTCCTTAAGTTCTGATTTTTTTTTTTCAAAATTAGTTCAGAAGTACAACTGAGAACTTTGATTCTCCCTTCAATTATTGAAAAAAAATGTAACCTGTTATCAATAGTACCAAACCCTTAACGTAATGTAAGCCTGAACTTTTTTTCAAAATTCAAAAAAATTTTTGATGAAATTATCCTTAACTAGCCGGAATAAAAAACTTTTTCTTTATTGTCAAAACATTTTAAGGAGATAACGGTAATTCTGATCGCGGTAGATTATCATTTTTATATGATTCACATAACTCAGAGACTTTTTTTCTTCAGAGTAACTTCAGTAAAATTTGTTATCAAAAAGCCTATCAAAAAAATTAATAGCAAATATTTTTTTAAACTTTTTGAAATCGCAAAGCTCAAATTCTCTTTTTATAAACCATCGCGGAATTTTTCGAAAGTTCAGTCTGAATTCAAAAATTTTTCCGGATGATTCGTTTTTTCAAAAGCCCCTACAGTAACAGAACGACTTTAACTACGTTATTTCCACACCGTAAATCTTCAAAATGACGTCATTTTCCAGCCGAGACCATTGATGGAGACGTCGTGCTGCTGTGTCGAGAGCTGTTCCAACGTCATCGACGTCTCGACTCCAGACACGCTCCGTCGCGACTTCCACAATTGGCTGCACGTACGTGAGTTTTTGTAGAACTTCTCTCTAGAATGAGCTTCGGATTATTTTTGGTAAATATAAAAATGAAAAAATTTTCTGGAGCAGATAACTGGGTTCTGAGCTTCTGATTAGGATTTTTTCACAAGGAATACTACTAGTAACATCATAATTTTCCGTGAGTATCTTAAATTAAATTTATGACGTCATTTGTGCGCAACTTTACAACAACATCTATGAAGAAAAATGACATCACATTTTCGCTGACTTTATGAATGACGTCACATTTCAAAACAAAAAAAAATATTTTGAAAGTGTAGATTCATTCTGAAACGTGAGTTTTAAACCTGTCGAAAAAAAAAATTCAAATAACCTGTTCAAAACTTTCCGCCTTTCGACGCTTGAACAACCTGTTTCACTTACAACTTTAATAAAAATTTTAAAAAAACTCAGCCATCTTAAATTGTAGAGCACATCATGTGCCTTATACATGAAAATCGAGAAAACGAACCAAAAATTGAATCAAAATTTCTAATGAAGCGCGCTTAGACTAATTTTTCAAACACATAAAAAAATGGTTTCTTTGAGTTTCTTCGTCAGTCATATCTATTAAGTGGAAACCTTCGAGCTCTTTTTTTCATAAATGGATCATGAATTTGCCTAGTTTTTCCATCCCTGATCTCTCTACACATTGAAAAAAAAAATGGAAGATGAAAAAATTTGACATCAACGAGATACTCTCCTAGTGATCATGTAATTTTTCAAGCAAATTAACATTCTCATTTTCTTCAATTTCCCCTAATTTTCTCCTCTTTTATCTTCCGAGTTAAATATTTTATTCTTCTATTTTCCAATGGACGTATATAGATAGTTTCTGCATGCCGAATTCTTATCTTTGACCTTTTTTCCGTTCTCTATCACTATTTCCATCTATTTATACGCCGAAGATCGGCTTCTCAAGACATTTTCGGGGGTTGGCAGAAGGAGCTTGGCAGCGGGGCGGACGAGGAGAAAAAAAAAGCTGCGTTGTTCGTTGTTGGCAGCCGACGCTGTTGCGAAGCAAAGAAGAAGAAGAAGAAGAAGGAAGTGTTGGCTGAAGGGGAAGGGACGCCTCGTCCGCTATCCAGTTCGGCATGCTCGTGTCGCCGACGGCGTCGTCCTCGTCGTCGTTGGCAGGCGTCGACTTTGCCCTACGGCATTTCCCTCAAAGTATTCACTATCATGTCGGTTATCCGGTCAGTTTCTGATATTTCATGCTCTTTTATTCGAAACTACTTGTTTCTCGCCATTTCGTTTGACGTGACTTACAGTATTGGCCATAAAGATATGCCTATTTGGTTTTTTGGCTATAACTTCGCTTAAAAAGATCAGAGTTTGCTGAAATTTCGATATTTTGAGCATGACAACGTTTCACATAAATAAAAATAACATTTTGTGATGCTCGAAACGAATTTAAAATTTTATCTCCCAAAAACCAAAAATGGCCAAATTCTGATTTTACATTTTTTTTTTTTCAAATTAATTTACAATAAAGCACTCTTTTTACAAATCTTTAAGCAGCCTATCTTTATTGAAAATAATCTACAGCTGGTAAACTAGTGTTTTACCTCACTATCTTTCTCTTTTCAGAGTCTAACCCTTTGTACTTCTGTTAAGTGTTTGAAGAAGCTTTCAACTATTCAAATCTGACTTTTTCGTCTTTTGCGCACTGTTTGGATTATTTTGATACATGGGAAGATGATTGAAGAAGTTACTCGAGAAACTGCTCCTACCTGTTATCCTTGAAGTGAAATCTCACCTCGCTGTTTCTTTCTACAAACTCTCGAAAGCTTCAAAGTCTTTCTAACAGCTCAATGTCTATTGATAATGTTTGTCAGATTTCAATCCTTTCTTCATTTTTGAAAACATTTCAAAGCTTCTCTGGGATTTTGTAAAAGTTGGAATTTTTCTGCTTCTTTTTGCTTGATGAGAAGTTCATTTTAAGACCTACTGGGAATGTATTCAATTATTCAAAAGAATGTCACTCGAATGTTCAAAATGACGAAGGTTAAAGAAAAAAAAAAGTAGATAGTTTTTCAGGACGCTTGAGTCGCTAAATAGTTTTACTTGTGGTTTTTTCAGGGCATCGATGCGTCATCGTCCACGTCTCCGTCGTTTTCTCCAGAAGCAGATCGAAGATCCCAGAAAAGTGAATCTTCGGATGAAAGTCAGTCGTCGAGGACGTCAACCGCCATGACCGATGGCCGGAAAAGTCGACGGAAAGGTGAAAAATATAGGAAGTTTGAGGGAAAAGTTAAATTTTGGATAATTAGATTTAAGAGCGTCATAACCATTTTCCATTGATTGATTTGAAAAGATTTTTAATCCTAATTAGCTGTACCAATTTGAAGTTCAAGAACCTCCAGAGATGAAATTTCTGTGTGATTTGAGATGGAGAACATTTTTCCTGTTTTTTTTTCCTCAAAAAGTGCAAAATTGTTAAAACACAGTTGTTTTCGCGAAAGTACCGTGAACCGGTTCGCTATGGCGCGCGAATCCACGAAAGAAAAAAGCCTTTTCCCTTTTTTTACGTCCTCTTAATTGATAAGACTTTTCGTGCGAACAGTTGGCTTCCTTTTTTTGATAGCTTACTCTCAAACACGCTCTGAAACGCCCTGTTTTTTTGGGGTTTTTTTTATTAATAAAATCGATTTTTTTCGATGAGAATCTTAAAGAAATTTTTCTTCAGATGGTTTATTCAAGTTATTAAGATATGAAATATTAAAAGAGGCCCACTTTAGGGACAAATCTTTACGGAAGACCTTATTGTCCCGGTCGACCACTTTCCATGGAAGAAAGGACCAGAATCATCGAACTACATACTAGTGGAATGAAGGTATTCAAAGTGTACAGAAGAGAATTTTGAGATCAAAGATCCAAACTTTTTCTCATACGACCTGTTCTCATCTTGAATTATTATCCTCTTCGCAAAAGTGTTCTTAAATAACTTTGTAAATTATAATTCGATCGAGGGTTTTGATTTCATTTTTTAATTTCAAAAAAGCAACCGTTTTTGAAAATCTATCAGAACACGCTTTGAAACTACTGAATGGAATGAAAACAGTTTAAGTATTACTTCTGATGGGTTGAAAGTTTTTTAATTCATGTTCCAGTTGCAGTTCGCATGCAGAAAGGTAGCATCGCGTTTGTGGCGCGAATCAAAAACTTTTTTCGTGTTTAGAAGAATCCGTTTTTTTTTGTTGCAAGCCTCATTTTTTATCCAGAAATGGCAAGGTTCGTAATTTGAGGAGTGATTGATGGAAATTAATTGGAAAAGTGAGTTCTCTTAACAGAAAGATCGAGCGATTTTTCGAACAAGTTTTTTAAAACATTTTCCGACCTTTTCTAAAGATGCATTCTGACTTTTTTGCTTGAAAATGAGATATATTACAAATTATTTCAGGTGAATGCAATCTCCAAGTCTTTATGCATATCGCACGGGTGCGTCAGTAAAATAATAAGCAGGCTAGTTTTGAGCATTCTTCTCTACAAAATAAGAGACCGAGTTACTGTAGGTACCGACAAACAGGAATACTGTCGCCAGCGTCGTCGCCGGAGCAACGACGGACGCGTCGGAAGAAGCCGGATTCGCCTCCGCCGGCGCCGCCTCAGCCGATGCTCATCGACGCGCCTTATATGACTTATATGGAGGTTTGTAATCTACCAAGTGATGATGTAAAATACCAAACATCTCATATTTCCTTTCAATTCGCGAAGAATTGACTATAAAATGGACTAGAATGATAGACGCGTGTTCTCGATGTTTTTCGACTAGTTTCCTGAAGGGATCACTAAAGTAACCGGTTAAAACAAATTCGAATCACTCCTTCAAAGCAGTGTGAAGTAGCTGAGCTTCATAGCCTCTAGTGACCACTTGCAAATATTTACTTGATGATTTTTAGGAGTGTGATGAATAGACATCAAGTTATTTGACTGAAAAGAAAATAATTTTATTAAAGCAGTATAATTATTGGATAATAGTTTGATTTTTTTTTTCTTGAAGCAGTCCTTTCTATTATTCTTGCACTTGAAGATTCAATAGGAACGATCGGTATTATTCATATTAATTATAAAAAAACCTAGAGGACCATTTTGAGCGACTAAATGGTTTTTTCAGTAGTATTGTGTAGAGTTCATTATAAGTAGCTTTTAAATCAATCAATCAATCAATTTTTTCATTCAAGACAAAAGAAATGGTTTACCGGGAAACTTTGCTAGAAAATAATAAGCTTTAAAAAAGCTTTTTCAAATTTCAATTTGCTTGAAGCCCCCTCTTTTTCTGTTGTTTTTCAACTTATTTCATTTTTTTTTACCAAGCATGCTCTAGAAAGTTTTTCAGGAACCTGGCGACTACACTCCCAGAATGGACTACCAAATGCACTACCACCATCCGATGTACACTTCGCCGCCTCCAGAACCTCTCTCCGCCGCCCAAGAATTTTCAATTCTGCTCTAAGTCACGCCTTCTGATTGTAAATACTATGTCTATCCCTTGTGTACGGGGCCAGGTATCGCCTAAATAAAGTCACAGTTACAAACATTTTCCCAATCCCACAGCTCAACTTGCACTTATTAAGAGGACGACGTCGAACTAAACAAACTGGTTCTGGAAAGTGACCTACTAAAAAAAAAAATAGTCGGCCCGCTGCACAATAACCGCGCCATGATCCGCTGTTGCAATTTTTTTCGGACGGATGTCACAATAAGGTTTTTTTCACTTGTCAGTGATACTTTTAATGTATTTTGTAAAAAAAAAGCATGAACTCAAATAGTAACATCAGTTTCTTTTCTCAAACAATGTCCAGACTTTCGAAGTTCCCTAAAAAATCATCATCGTTTTTGGGCTGAGTCATGATGACGACGAGCTGTGACTAAACGTCGTTTATGGTGTATGGAAGCGAGTTGGCGGTCAGGAAAGGTTTCCTCTTTCTTTCTTGGCTTTCTTATCGTTTCTCTAGCCCTTTTAAATGTGTTACAAAACCTTGGAAACTACCAGTATTTTCCCGTAAATCCAAGACTTGATTTGTGAGTGCCTTTTTCTTGAAGGCTGACTACTATATTATTTTTCTGGAAGAGGAAAGATCCCATTGAGTTTAGCGTTAAGTTCTGTAGTTGTTTCAGTTGGAATCATTTGAAAAAAAGAAAGAAAGCTTCCAATAAAAAGTTATAAGTGATTTTTATCCTCAGAGGCTTCAAAGTTCCTTTATAAGAATGCTCGTTCCATTTTATTATAAAGTTACCAAAAACCGAACTCTCGAAAAGATCGTAGAAACCAGAAACTTCTTGGGTTTTTTCGAGAAAAAAATCAAGTTCTAAAACTGCAATCGTACAGACTTTCTCTGGATCCAGAAGGTACTGTTTTTTTTTCGAAATTCGATTGGGAATATCTAGAAGATTTCAGGATTTTCCCAAAATTCTAGTGACCATAAAAAGTTTTCCACATCCAAGCTTAAACCTAGCTTTGTAGGATTCACTTTTCCAAGCAGTGTAACTTCTCTAAACCCCCAAAGGTTAATTAATTATCTTTCAATCAAATCCAAGTTTCCAGACGAAGCCAGAATGTGTTACTACTCGATGTAATATCTAAAAATTCCTTCTAAATAAAGAGAAGATCCCCTTCCCAACAGAACTTCTGCCTCAACACCTTTCCGGAATTTCGCAACCTTACCTAACATCATCGAAATCCTAGGCCATTTGAATGTTTCGCCATGGACGACGGTCCGTCGGCGGTGCTGCTGTTTGCTTTCGCTTCGGGTGGAGTAGAGCTCTCTCTCTCTCTCTTCTCTCTCATTCCGTCTTTTTCCCCATATTGCGCACGGCTGACCAACCTCTGTCCGTCCCTTTTTCTATTTAATGTCTATTTTTGACCACACGAGGAGCTTTTTTCGCGCCCCCGAGGCGGTGCAAATATTGCCCCCCACCGACCTTTCTCTACCGTCCATCCTGTGAGACGTCTCCTTTCAACAACCTTTTTTCCCTACATTTTTGGGAGTTTGATCGTTTCCCTTTCGTTCCTTGTTTATTTCCATTCTTGTCTATTTTTTGGCTTTTGAATTGTCTTCCAACATAGAAGTTGACCATTTTTATTTATTTCTGTCCTTCTACCAAACATTTTTCTTTTTTTCACAAGTTTGCAAAATTCAGTCTTTTATAAGAACCGGAAGGAGTTTTTTGAATTTATTTTCGCTCTAGTTCTTGCCCTTCTGACAATATTGGTTTAAAACAGGTTTTTTCATTTTTTTTTTTTTTTAGAAAGAAGATTGGATCCGCAAAAACTCTTTCTATCTATGAAACCATATGAATACATTACTTGAGCTTTGAAAAAAGTACTCATAATCTAAAAATTCTAATCAAGCTTGCCAAAAGCAAGATCACTCGCAGAACCTCTTAATCTCCGAAAAAGGCATTATTCGGAAATTTTGAAAAATATCTGAAATCGGACTCACTTCAATTCAGTTAGATTTTGTCTACCACCTGCCCACTGACCATTGTTTGATCTTATCCTTTCCGTCACGCCTCCTCTTTTTTATTATTGACTGTTTTTCTTTCCCACTTTCCATATTTTCCTTTGTTAAATCACTTTTTTTTATTCAAATCAACGGTTCGAACCAGATATGAAGATATAAAAAGTGGTGAGATATAGAAATAAATGAAATAAAAGTAGATTTTCCCGTCGTAAAGTGTAATTCTCCATCAGCCTTTCTTCCTTTCACAAACAATTTCATATTCGTTCGAATACAATTTTATATCTTTTCCGTGTGGCAAGACGACTTTTCCTTTCTTCTTTCAAGAGATGAGAGTTTTTTTCAACAGTTTTCATCCCCCCTTTTATTCCATAAATATTAATAAAAGACTGGTTCGAATTTTGCGCTCAACGGCTAATAACTGAGCATCAACTCATAGCCCCTAAATATGCGGATCTTTTCTGATGATTTTTTTTAGTTTTAGTTTTTTTCTTTCATTCCTTTCTTTTCTCACTAGAGGACAGGACCTATATACCCTCCAATAATGAGCTCAATCGAAGAAATAGAAATTTTCGAATTTTGAGAGCTCCTAACTCTTTTTTTTCACAGGCCTCGGCGGCAACTTTTTGAGACAGATTCGAAAAGTGCGTAAAAAACTATATCTATTTACCCTTGTCTCATTCAGAAGTCCCAATGTGAGCTGAAACCATTTCCTGCTTTGATTTATCAATGGAGCGCACATGATTACGAAGTCATCATTCTTTCTTGCATTTTTTTTTCTGTAACGTAGTTTTTACCGATGAAACGTTTTTGAAACCCATAGTTTTTCTTTCGAAAGAAAAAAAAAGAGAATTGCTGCTTAAAATATTTTGGAATACGAAAATTAAAGTCTTCGAGGTTCTTCGTGATCTTGCCAATGCCGTGTTCAAAGTGATTTCCGCAAAATGCAAACTAATCTCTGCAGATCTTACTCTCCAAAATTTAGTTGTCTTTTTCACTCTCTAACAGCTTTTTTGATTTCTGCGGAATCACTTTACAAACGGCATTATATTATAGGCAGCTCTCTTTTTTTCTAATATTCTTTCCATGGAACAAACATTTCTAATGAGCTCACTCATAAAATATCTGAAAATGAACCATTTTTCACCCATTATACTCCAAATTTCGGGCTGTTTCACAACTTCCTTTCAATACACAGATTGCTTGAATTTCGAAAAGTTTTTTGAGCACCATGTAGCTTTTGTATTGCTCATGCTAGCTCATAACCTCAAGCTTTTTCAATTCTTACCTCTTTTTAGACTTTTTGACAAAAAATGAACTGAATGGTTGATGACGAAAGTGATTTTTGCTTTTCTCTTGGCTCACATCCGGAAAGGCATGCAATGGAAAAAACGGACACGCGCCACGCCAACCGACGGAAAAATGGCTTTTTTCCTCGCGGCGAGCGAAATCGGCGCCACCGGACCGGACCGGTTCATGACGTCATTTTTGGTGGCTTTTTCTCGCCTCCTCCCGAAAAATTGGCCCATTCCACCAATCCCCAATCGTTCTTCGTCAACTTTCTTCTGAATTGATTTTTTTTCTCATAACTTTTTTTGGGCGGAAAAAAATGGTTCTTCAGTTTTTATTGAAGATCTTTTAGGATTTTGATTTTTTTTTTCGCTTGTACTCAATCGTAGCTCTTGTAACTTTATTCTGCTTTTTTTCTTTCTTTTTTCCTTTTTTTATAATTTCGTTTATTATTTTTTTCACAGGCTCAACCAAACATTTTTTTCAAAGTTTTATGAACCCCAGAGTATGTCTTTGAATTTTTAAAATCATTTTCGTTACTTCAAATATGTTACTCGAATCTCGAAAGGCAATATGCGTTGCGGTCGCGCTGCGGCTCACCTCTCGAGTATTTTATTTCAAATTTCTCCAGCCTTGAGGTGTTCCAAGAAGCGCAAACCGTTTATAGGTCGGACGCACCTTCATAGTGACCGCGTCGCAGCCGTTACGCGTTTAGTCATTCATCATGCGAATACTTGGTTTCAATTTTGAGAATCCAATTAAATGTTGCGCTAATTTAATTCATTTTTTATTCTCTTCTTGAAATTTTCACATTTAACTTCAAGAAATTGAAAGAAAAAGTTTTGCCCGAAAAATTGTGGCGTTTCGCACGCAAGCCCTTGGACTACAATCTCTCGTATTAGTTTTGGGCAGTCTCTCTTGTCAACTTGCTTGTCCTTTTCTTGTTTCGTAAGAATTTCCTTGCTTTTTTTTGCAGCTTTTGCATCAGGTCGTAACCTTTCGCAATAGTCATCCCGCGCCATTTTCTTTTCCTTCCTTGTCACCTTTTGAGGATTCCGAGGATTTTGAAATAACTTTTTTTGAGATTCAGAAAAAACTATTTAGTATATATAGTTCAATTTTTCGTTCAAATGTCGTTCATCAGGCTTTTTAGCACCCACAAAAATGGAAATTATTATTTTGACACCATCGGAATTCATGATAAAAAAAATTATTATTTTGGTTTTCAAGTTGATTTTATTTTTAATAATTCAAAATTTTTTTCCAAAAAAATATCTGTTTCAAATTTAAACTCATAAAATCGTGTGAAGTTACAAAAATCAAGAACAGAACAGCCATTTTTGTCTCGAAGAAGCTTTCCTTCGCTTTTTTCCATCTTTTTTCATGAATATAAATCGCTTCGAACCTGATTCGATGATTTATCATCCGAATGTATCAAGAGACTCAATCAATCAGAATTCACTCCAATGCTTTCACTTTTTCACAAGTTTTCCAGAGATCAATGGAATATCATCCTTTTTAGTCTTTTTTAGCTTACGCTCGAAAAAAAAAGCTATGGCTTCTATTTAAAATTTTTTTTTAAAGTCTGAGTTTTTTTTTCAACTTTTTATTTGCTTTTTTTGATTATTTGCTTCTAATTCTTAAAAAAATCAGCTTCCTATTCAATTAATATAACTTTGAATTTTTGATTGAGAAAGTATTTTCCGGTGGACTATTTTTGAATTTTACGCTTCTTCTCATTATCATGCTATTGATCTCGAGAAAATCGCGATGATCCACGCTAATTTCGAATTGCCTCGTTAGGTTTTTTTCTCCTTCTTGTGTGTTTCTGTTTGCTGGATGGACAGCAACGAGGACAAAAAAGGCTCGGCTTGCGCGGCGGGCGTCGTTTGCACAAAAATGTTTGCGGTTGCAAGTGCTCGAGGCATTCAAGCCTCCACCATTCGGAACATTTTTCGACTGTCCTTCTTCCAGGGGCTTTTGGGAAAGCTGAGGTGCATTACTAGTTGAAGTTTCAGTCCAAGCGAGTTTTGTCACGTCCAAGGAATATTTCTCTGGTTCAGAGCCTGCTCATTTGCTTGTTGTTTGATTTGGAGTTTTTGAGCTCTTTCAAGGAAGATCAATTCATTAAAGGACTAGAAAAAGATTTCAACTTGAACAGCTTCCAAGTTTTCGAGAAATAAAGACTCAAAGCCTCAAACTATCCTATTTTTAAGAATTTGGAGGTTTTCTTTGACTTTGAGGCGTCCTTTTCCAGAAACTAGAGAGTTCTGCAGGCTGAATCATTGTCTGGTACACCAAAGAGTTTTCTGGCCGAGTTTCAGGAAATCCTCAACGGAAATGTGAAATGACCTCTTTGTTAGAAGATTCGGAATGGACGAAGAAAACTAAAAAAGGAAAAAAGTCTTGGGTTTCTGACTTTTCTTTCAAATGAACTTGCCAATTTTTGAAAAGAAATACATTTTTCTCTACAACCTTCCTTCTCACAAACTTTCAAAGTCGAAATTTGTAGTTTAGCCGCAGACAGTCGATTTTTTTTCTCCTTTTCCGTCCCAAACAGCCGAGACGATTGTCTCAAATTGGCTTCGCGGCGGCTAATTTGAACCTCGTCGGTAGGCGTCACAAGGCTTACAAGACCAACGGAACGGTTCGGCGGGTCGATCCGTCGGCGCGTCCCAAAACGGGTTGAAGGATCAAGCAGCACGCTCGGCCAAACACGCAACACACACTGTGCCCATACACACACAAACAATTCTCTTCCATCCGCTGCTTTTTATTCCAAAATATCAAGTCTGCCGGAACCTCTGCTATCCACTTACTATTTTTCGATTTAATTTTTTTTTAAATTTTCAAAAGGAGTGAAAAATCGTTTTTCAGCAGTAAAAGAGCAACCTAGCAGTTCGAACTTTACGAGGGAAGTGTTGGAGGTGAAGATCTGGTTCAAACTACTGTGGTATTTAGTCCTACTGAGTATTCGAATACAAAAAGAAATATCTGCTAAGCGCCATAGGGTACTGAGAAATAGTCTGTCGAAAATGTACAGGAAAGACTCAAAAACGGATTCTCTCTAGAATTTTGTGGAATTTTTCTCGTGTTTCTTATGATGTAGTGAGTAACAGTAGACGTTTAAAAAATCGAAAAACCGAAGAAAATCAGTTTTTGAGCTTTTTCCTTACATTTTCTCAGGACCTTATCGGGCTTCGTGAATAATTCTTTTTTTTCGAGTATCCATACCGGGTTGCCTACCACAGAAGTTGGGACAAGATCTTCGACGTTCACCTTACAGACTTTCCTTGAAAGCTTTCTTTAATTTTTAGTTTAACTAGTAATGACAAATGGACATCCTCGTCCTCAAAAATGACTCGAAAAACCCTGAGCTCTAGGATAAATTCCATTCGTTCCAACTTTAAACTGCCTGATTTCTCTGGCTCCTATTCTTTATCGACCACGTCATCTATTACAAAGAAAGTTATTTTTGTTTGTAGTCGACAGTTTTTTTTGGAAATTTTGGGCTATTTGAAGACCTTCTTTCCGAAAATTAGAAATTTGTGCCGAATGAACTTTTCAGAGGCATCAGACACCAACGAATACTCAGCGCAGTTTGAAGAGAAATATAGGGTTTAGCTCAAGATAAACCTTTTTGCTAATGAAAAGAGTGTGCAGTCAGGTCAGAAAACTTTATTCTTTTGCAAGGATATTCAAGCCTCAAAATGAAAACTTCAAAGCGGACTGACGTTTCTAAACGTCATATTTCGGAGAAAATGCTTTGATATTTTGTAGTTTGCCACATTTTATACGAATACAAAATTTTCGAAGTTTTTATTGCTATATCGTGAAATCACCAAATTTTTCAAAAGACCTTTAAATGTTTGCCAGCTTCGGTTAGCATGTGGAATGGCTAAAAATGTCGCGATCGCGTCTCGATTTGAAAAAAGTTTCTACAGTCGAGTTGACGTTTAGCATCTGGCTTGAATAGTTTCCGATTTTGGTCGGTCGAAGCAGCCGTTTCGCACCTGCTACGCGTTGAGTCATTCCACGTGCGGCATCAGACTATACAAGTTGAAGAAAATCGAACATTAGTCTGTTCAAATTTCCTTGCTCTGCTGTTTAAGAGAGAGTAGACTAATCTTTCCAGGACCTCTTTCATTCTCTTTTCAGCGAGACGATGCATTTTTGAACTATCTGAATAAAAATCATAGTCGAAAGTTTATTTTTTTAATCTAACTAAGTTTTTTTGAAAAACCTTAACCTTTGTTTTCAAAACTCAAATGTTGCAGTCGCCAGGTTCCACTGCAGATCATAAAATCTATTAGAATTTAGTTTCATGACGTCACAGACCAAAAGCGCAACTTCATTTCGGGTTACGGTAGTCAGGATTCTTCAGCGTTTCTCTGGTTTCACGGTGACATTTGCAATTCATATTCATAATGAACATTGTTTATTCTATCAACTATATTTTCTTATCACCGTGTTCTTTCTCCGTTCCCGTTCGAAACTCTACTTTTCTCTTTCATCTCTCCTTTCCATTTCTCCCATTCTCTTCTTCTGGACTTTTTCTTTTCTTTTCTAATAAATTGACTTCTCACTCTATCCGTTCGTTTTTTGTTTTGTTCATTTTCGTCTTGCATTGCTGCCACAGACGCTTCAGTCTATAAAGTGAAGATTCCTAATTTTTATCTGAAATTAGCCCAGGAAAACGAGATGAAAATTTTGATTTTTCGGGAAATCTTTGAAGTCGACTCTAGCGACCTTTTTCGGGATCGAATTTCTCAGTCTGATCAATTTTTTCTCCTGCTTTTCACTTCTCTGACATCAAAAGCCCGGTTTATCAAATTATCCTTTGTTTTGTTATCATAAAGCGCGCCGCAATCCCAACATTTGCTCGAAAAAAAGGAAAGTCGAGGTTTAAATTTTTTTAAATTTTTTTACTTGGTGAAATTATCATAATTATGATCAGAAAATGTTCAAAAAGTATTTTTGACCTTATAAAGTAAAAAGTTTTTACGTTTTCCTTCGGTGGAAAATTGAACTTGTGACCTCGAGAACGGTAAATGGCCCGCGAACCACTAGGTCACGGTTATTTTCTCTTGTCATTTCACTGTGTATAGTTGACACAAAACTGCTTGAAGGAGTTATTGAAGGTGCTGGAAAGGAAAAATTAGATCTTCTACGGAATTTTGAGCCCACATTTCTAGGATTCTTATCTTCATACTTCATTCCTAACTATCTTTTCCTGAAAGTGCGAAACTACTGTAAAAATTTTCGAGCTTCTGGCACACTCTTGCACTGAATTCAGAATCATATCCGTTAAAATTTGATGATACTCGAAATTTGCCTGAAATCGGCAGTGAATAGGCTATGAAGCTTCCACGAGCTGACCGTCGGGGAACTTTTCCAGAGGAAATCCCGGAAAAAAAGCCTTCGTCGGGCCGCAATTCTTCCCCGGCTGGTGAGAAGACGTGCGGCACGACGTCATGGCAGACGAGATTCTCGGAGACGTCAGGAAGAAAGGCGGTGGGCCGAAGGGCGTCCAATTTTCCCGAAGCGATCGATAGAATTCCTCGAACATTCCGGTTCTTCTACAGGCGCCCCGATGCTTTTCGCCATCGATTCGTCGACGCCATTCTCCCTCTCGGCGTGTTGCCTCCCATTTCCTAAAAGCTTTTCCCTCCATCACCTTCGTTTTTTTGTTGTTGTTTCGTCCGAGCCGACTCAAATGGTTACGGTAAATGATCAGGTGATTGCAGACCGATTTTCGATGTCCGATGGGTGACGACGAAGTCTCCTACGAACAGCACGTCCAGCGCAACAATCAGCGCCTTGCCTCTATCCGCCAGGTGAGAAGAGAATCTGTTTTTTCCCCTTTTTTGAAGTTGAATCATCGAATAGAGCGTTTTTGTTTAGAAGCTTCTTCTTATAGTCCTTTTTTCTAAGCTTGTATCTCAATAGTTCCTAAGGGATCTAAAATTAACCAACTTTTTTTGCCTGTAATGATAATATTTGCAGTTTCTCTGTTAATTGAAGGTCTCTTTTGCTATTTGTGTAAAAATTATCTTCTTACGGTCATATGTCTAATTTTTAAAAGTATTCAATTTGTTTTCTTTTCTATTGTAACATGCAGCTGTGCTGTAAAATCTCGTTAGACTACGGAATTTTTTTTTTCTTTTCCGTTTTTCTCACATTTTGTCGAGCTTATATTTTAGTTTCATTTGAAAAACGTTTTGAAGCCGTACGTTCCCGCCAGAACAGCTTTGCGATCTGATTAATGAACATAGCTTCCTTTTTCTCAATACTTTTCACTTACCGTAGTCTCAGAGTACGTGACCACGGTGCACTTTGATGTGTTTTGTTACATTTTACTCGACGCGCAGATTCTGCTTTTTTTTTAACTTTTTATTTGACTTGTTACTCTTTTTTCACTGATATTCGAATAATCAGTTTTGATTCCAGTCTCTGACGGATCCGTTGACTTTTGCTTCATCATGTGTGGAGCTGACCAAGTGGTGCTCGGATCCTCGAGCGTTCACGGCCGCTTTCGAGGACAATCTTATCGCTGCCTTGCAGGTTTTTTTTTGCAATTTTCTTATTCGTTGATTTTATAGTTTTGAATCCATTTTTGTTTGCGTATTTCTGGTTTTCTAATCAGGTTTTTTTTTCATTATTTTTTAACCTCTCGAAAACTCCTTTGAAGGTTTAAAGATTTTGGAAACACTCAATAATTTTTTTTTTCCCAATTTCAGAATCGAATTTCCTTTTTAACCTGGTATGTACTGAGAAACTGTATGGAATTTTTTTTCACACTTTTTTGAGGGGGTTTTTTTTTTGGTAGATCTCTCATTTTTCGTTTTAAGATTATTTCGATTTAAGTTTCAGTTTGGAGTTAAAATCTGATTATAATGTGAAATTCATATCTTTTCGGTTTTCTTTTTGAAATTTTCAACATGTCTGGAAATCAGAGAATTATTGATGTTATTTCTGTGGCACGCAAGCTGACGGTTTTTAGATCGCGATGGAGAACGGAGTCAAGGAAAACTTTGACTTCAACCTGGCCCATCAGCTCATTTCGGCCTGCTTTTCCCACCGAAAGCTTCTTTCCAAGCCCAGTGCAAGTGAGTTTCACGTGATATGGTGTTTAAAAAAAAACCCAAGTTGAACTTGGAAGGTTTCTGTTTTTTGTTTTCTGTAAAGTCTATACCTATTTCAATTCATTCTTCTGTGAATTTCAACAAATTATTGTTCTTTATCATGAGTTACGGATCGAGTCCCCAGTGTTGAATCTGAGGCGCCAACACTTCGTTCTGTTTGACTCCATTTTAAATTTTCAATGTTTTTGTTCGAATATGTTCTGACCAATATAAGAGATGACAACAAGCTCAATTTTTTTACTTCAATAATTTCTTTATTTGAAAAATGAAAAAGAAAAAAATTTCATATAAACTTTTAAATTATAAAAAAATCATCTTCAAGAATGATTTTTTTATAAAGACGTCATGATCCTTGTACAAATGACGTCATCAAATATTTTTTTGTGAATCATAGAGGAACCAACTCGCTTCAACTAAAAATCAGAAGTCGTTGAAAAGATCATGACGTCACTTTAGCTCCCTATAGTTCGAAGAGACTAGTCCCAAATGACGTCATCGAAATTTTTCGTTTAATTTTTCACGTTAAAGCAAAATCTTCGTTTTAAACTTTTCATGAAGAAAAATTGTTCTATATTAAATTCTTGAATCTTTTTATGTTTTTTTTTACTTCTGTTTTATCGTTTCAAAAAAAAAGTTTTCATTTTGTTTGGGACCATTTTTTTGTGAAAGTTCTCCGATTTATCTGGATGATCTCTCATTTTTCATTCCCGACTCCACTAAGAAAATTTCATTTATATATATATATATATATATATATATATATATATATATATATATATATATATCATGATAAGAACAGAAAGAACATTGATTGAAATCATTAACAGGCTTGTAGGTGCTCTCAAATTTATTTTGAAAATTGACTGAAAAGAGCGAGGGATGAACTTCAGTCAATAATTTTGTTACAATATATATTTTTTTTTGATTAGATTTTTCGGGACTTCATAAAAGCTGAAGCAGGGAAATGGGATCTTCAGTGAACTTTTCCGAAGATATATGAGAAATTCCAGATCGTATCAATCGATGGTACGAGCAACTGCGGCGTTTGAAGAAGAGCGGCGGACGGAAAAAGAAGAGGCCGACGGCTTCAGACGCCAACGCCGTCGGCGGGGTCGTCGATCCGGCGACGTCGTCTTCTGAAAGCGTGCAGCCGTTTGTCGGCGAGGCGTGTTCAGTTGAGAGGTGCGTCTTTTTTCTTTGTAAAACTCTCTTTCAAGCTTTTTTTTTTTCAAGGAAAGTTGACCGCCTAGTGTCATTAATACTTCAAAAATGGAATAGGTTTCTATAAAAAACGCGTAGGAAATTAATTAGCTTTCTGATTTATTTTTTTCATTTTGAACGTTATAAATAAGCTTTCCTTTATTGGAATTCTCAACGTCAAAGGCCTTTAGTGACGTCATTTGAAACTACTGTAACATAATCGTTCATTTTTTGAGTAGAAGTTTATGGCAGGATTCGTCAATCTTCAGTTTCAATGACGTTATGGATTTTGAAAAGTTTCATAGTGTCGTGTCTTCCATAAAGGGCAAGTGGGCGTGGCCTAATTTGATACAAGTTCAAGCGTCTGTGCTCATTTTTCAAGTTAGACAGGGCTGTAGATATTGTTCCTGAAATCCTCAAATGTTAACCAAGGGACGTCTTTCCGGATCTGTATCGCTATTAAAAGCGCATCCAGTGGGCGTGGCCTGCTTTATTGAAACTTTGAGGATTTTCCGAGCTTACAAGCTGTGGAATTCGTGTTTCAATTCAGTTGATGTCATAGAAGGTTGAAAATGACGTCATCTCTTTGGGACCTACAGTATCAATATCAAAGTCGCAAAAGATGGTGTGTCCTCAATTAGGGAAGTTGTATAGAAATCTCTATCTAGTTTTTCTTTCGAGAGATTTCCAGTTGACTCTGAATGACGTCATCATGACGTGATTCTTGATATTTATGACGTCACTTTTGACATCGTGTTCTAGCCGTTTATTCCTTATCTGCATGACTCATTTAGAAAGCTTTTATGTTTTATTAGTCAGAGTTAATGATTTTTTTCCGTATTTTTTTCGAAATTTATCTTGTATTGCGTTTCGTGGAGCGCTTTCTGTGAGCGAGAAGAAGAAAATTTAACAAAAAATTCGAAAGGTCGTATAAATGACGAGAGAAACGTGAGGGAATTCGTGCGTGGGACAAATTTCAGTTTTTTCTTCTTCTCCTTGAAATTGATCTTTCAAAATGACGGGAGTTTCAAGAATATGTAAAAAAAAAGTAGAGTATTGTGTAGAAATAAAAAAAAATAAAGTAAGAAGCTGAAAACTTTGGATTTTTGCAGGCTATCCGATTGAGAACTCATGATTAGTTTTTCAAGTATTCAGTATAGGGTTTCAGTTTCAAAAATGGAGTTTTGGGTAGCTTTCAAATTTCGTGATCCGATAATTTCATTTTGGTATGATGAACTTTGCCAAGTTGAGTTGTTTTTTCTCAACTTGGCAAAACGTTTTTTTCTCGTAGATCTATAAATAGCTTCTGGAGATTCTAAAAAGTTTCAAATCGACAATGCCTCGATAAGATTCGATTCAATCATATTTCACCTCCTCAAAGATTCTTTTTACAAATCACGGTCCTGAGAAACCGAGAAGGACATTATCTGCCCCGAAGGAGATCAACCATGTCCACATTTGGTGGTGGCAGCGGCTGGTGAGTCTGTGTGTGTATGCGTGCACATGTGTGTGTTTTTTATCGCGACAATCGCGGCGCTGCTGCCGAGCCAAACCAATTTGAGGAGCAACTGCCGAAACTGCACTCACGCTCACACACTCTCACATCGCATATGATTCTTCGAGGAGACGTCCCATCCATTTGTGGAGAGAGAGGAGGCGACACCGCGGCGGCTGGTGTTCCCACGCAATGAGATCTTTTCGGCGTCTCTCCGATTCACGTCGACTCTCGGCGCAGCGTCCAAAATTCCGGGGCAAGTCGGTTTGGACTCTGACACCTCGCAGAATGCCGCGCTCCCTCGTCGTCGTCGTCGTCGCCGCGAAAAACCTGGCGGAGCCTCCGTCGAAGGAGCTCCCAAACCTGATGGCAACACTCACGCTCACGCTCACAAGAGTGTTCTTCTTTGCCATCTTGCCTTCTGATGTCGACGTCGTGGATTTAGCCAAAATATCCTCATGTATTAATATTTCGTCGCTGGCCTTTTCGCGTCTCGCTCCTCTCCACACCTCTCTTCGCGTTCCGCCCCTATCCTTGCAGCCGTTTGGCGTTCTTCGGATTTGAATTTCGAGGAGGTTTCTCTCCGCGTTGGTTTTTGAGACTTTTTTGACTCCTCGCGTCCTAGGATCTAGGATCCGAGATCTAGAAATGATCATTCTTTCTAGGTTATCCCCAGGGTCACGCTTAGGACACTAAAAGCTTACAAATTTGAAACTTCACTTTTTTTTACCTTGGGAGACCATTCTTTTTCAGCTTAAGATTGAAAAATTGGTTCTTAGGTTCTGTAGAGGTTTCGCTTGAGAATTTTCACGTTTTCGCGTTCTTTGGATTCGAAGTCCGATCTTTAGGAACTCTCCTGGAGATGTTTCTCAGTTTCTAGGTTAGTCCTAGAAGTGAGTTTCCGGCGAACACACGTCTTGTGAGGCCTTGGTGCTTTCCGATAAAGATCTATCGCTCTTTGAGCTTCTATTGTTTTCAGAAAGAAGTCTCGAAAGTGCTTTAGGGTAACTTCGTGTTTAGCTGGAAGTTCTAGAATGAAGATTTTATCCTAGTAATAACGTACTTTGGGCAGCTTCTTAGCTTCTGAAGATGGTCGAGTTCGGAAATTATGTTACAGAAGTTTGAAATTTTTCGAAATTTTTAACGAGTTCAAACTTTTTAAGTTTTGAGGGTGTCAAGAGAGTTGGAATCCAAGCTTCATATCTAAATAATCATTGTTAAGGCTTTATTCATTTCAACTCAAAGCTCCAGGGAAGCTTTTCGAAGGTTTGAAGAATGCTCTAGTTTTAATTTAAGAAATATTCTCAGAAGAGTTAAAAAGCTACTAATTTTTTGGTGACGCTTATATTTGAATAGACCATTCAAAAAATGTTTCCAGGGCGTATGAATGAAGCTTTTCCTGATTGGACAGATATTTCTGAAAAGAAAGTTTTTAGGTGGTTTAGCAGCTTTAAAAAGTATTTCAAATGTTCAACTTATTTTTTTTTACGATTCACTGAATTTCTGTTTGAAATGAGAAACATTCGAGTTTGAAAGTGATGCGGTTTTTTTCAAATATAAATAGAGCTGATTTCGAAAATTTCGGGGCGTTCGAAAATAAAAAAACGGATTTAATCTAATTTTTTGTGTGAAAATGGTCTGAAAAAGCTTTCCACCTTCAAGGAAAAAGCTCAAACAGATCCGTTCTATTTTTGATGGCTTTTTCCCGTCTGTAACACACTGATAAAATCGCGACGCGGGTTGGTCGGCGTTTCCTGCGGACGCCTACCGTAATCCTTCTTTTCTCTCTCTTTTGATGCCACCCGCGCGCGCGAAAAAAAGAATCACTTATCACTTGTGTTGTTGTTTCGATTTGATGCGTTTTCTCTTGAACTTCAAAGATTTCGAAATGGCTACTGTAGAAGAGAAGTCTCTAATTTTTAGATCAACCAAATTCGATTTGATATTAAAAAGTTGATTTTTCGCAACCAAATATGATTGTAATGGTCTTGACCACATCAGAAGCGGAAAAAAGTTTTTTGGCTCTTACCTTGCTCAAAACAAGGTCTCTGGTTAGCTCCAAAATATGAGATCAATCATATAATCTTCGCGGTGTTTCGAGTGAACCACGTAGACTTGTGTGAGGCCAGATTATGGGGATTAATTTCAGGTAAGCCTGAAGGCAGTTCTGGTTTGAAGTTCTCGGAAAGATTTTCGAGTTCCTTTTCTTTTTCTTTAGTGAAAGTCAAGAGAGCAATATCATATGTATTAATAGAGATATCTGTAATTTCTTTCGGTTCCAAGGATCACTCGAAAAAATTGGATGTTTGATTTTGAGCTTATCGGAATCTTGAAATCTCTTTGAGGTAGAGCTACACGGTTCCGAGAAAATCAAGAGCTTTTTTTTCAAAGTTCGATTTGACTTGAAAGGACTAAACTTTAATATGTAGGGTTCTGATACTTATTTGAAGACTTTTCATAAGATCAATACAAATGAAAGGTTTGAGCTCTACAAGTCCTAGAAACCTTTGAAGTAGATAAAATCATTCTTTCCCCAGAAGAATATAAGGTCTTCTAAAGGACTTTTCATATAATTTTTCTAGTTCGGACCTTTTCTCCGGAATCGGCATCCCCAGTTTAGCGGAACTGTTAAGACTTTCTTTTATGGTTGTCACTGAGACGCGTGCCGATTCTGTCATGAAAAGATGATGATGATGATCCCAGGACACGGAAAACAACGGCGTGTGGCCGATCGGTTGACGATTGGTTTATATGAGGCTGTTTGGTGGTGGATGGTGGAGCGAGAGGTTGGCCGGTGGCTGAGGAGCCCTAGATTCCGGGGAAATAGCACGCTGATCGAGGAGGTCCAGCGCCGATTTCGGTCCGCGCGCGTCTTCTTCTTCGTGTCCACACTCTCCCCCACACGCACATACAGCACAATCGCGAATCCGGCCTCTCGCGCCTCTTCGTTTTGAATCATTTTTGACACCTAAAACGTGCCATTCTCTAGATCTGAGCTTTTACTTCCGCTTTTCAAGGTTTTAGTCGCGTTTTTTTTTGTATTCCAAGGTTTTAAACTAGATTCGCTTCAGAGACTTTTAGTTGAACTTCGGATCGCCTAGCTCACCTGAAAATCGATTCTTCTGATTTTCTCTTTTGCTGCTCAGCACGTCTTTTTTAAATTTTGTCGCTGAAAAATTTACAAGTTTGTCTGGTAAATTCGACTTGTGAAACGATAATGCCGCTGTTTTTAAAAGAATTTTCAAAATCCGTGCCGTTTTCATCATTCGAAGCCTCTTCCTCGTTTTTTTTCGAATCTTTTTTCCCTGAATTTTCTCATTTTAAACTGAAACAATTTCTCGTTCTGTAGGTGGTCTAGCTCGTTTTTCTCTAAGATATTCTGAATCCGTTCTGCCCGTCTTCTCCGATACGCTATCCATCTGAGTTTTTTTTTATTGTCGCTCTCAACTTGGATTTGTAGTTCTCCTGCTGCCTTTTGATCTTTGGAGTCATTGAACTAATTCAGCTCTTTGATCTAGTTTTGAAGTCTTTTGTAGGTTTTCCGCTGTATCCTATTTGAAATTCAGGTTAAAAGACCTGAAGAGCTAGGATTTTTTGAACGTTTCGATCATTGGTTTCTTCTGGGTTTTAGTCGTGTTTAAGCCTTTTTTCTTACCATTGGAATATCAGAAAACCTGAGCATGTCTGGTCGGTTTCTACAAGATCTATGCATTAGGTTTTTGAGCCTTTCTGAGTGCTCAGCAAGGTTTTTGGCTTTCAAGGAAAGATTCTCACTGTGATGTCAATACTTTGGGAAAGTTTAATCAATGTAAGTTAAGTTGCCTTCCAAAAATGCGCTTTGAAAAGTTTTTCTTTCTTTTGTGTTGTTGTGTTTCGATTCCTTCATGTGTACCTTGTCGCGCGTGTAAATTAACTTTACATCCAACTCTGCTGTCAATAGGTTAATTAGGATATCATGTGTGTTGTTAGGCTTCACTAAAGGATCCATGTAAACAAGATTCTAATTAAAATGGTTGGGATTTTGAACTTATCAAGTTGAATTTAAAAGTTCCGCCTTGAGTAATGAAGTTTTGTCAGAAGCAGGAAATTTCGCCTTTTTTTCGAAAAACAAAGTTGAGGATAGTTCTCGAACTGCCAGAGCTTGATGCGATGAAAAATCGTTATGAAATAGGAGATGAGATGTAAAGTCGTCGAAACTCCGACTTGTGTCTTCCATGGATGATCAGGAGTCCTATTAGCGGAAACTCGAAAAAAAGGACTCTTATCAAGATTCCTTTGTCGTGTACCGAGTTTTGTCACAGTAAAAAAAAACCTCTACGGATCATTTTAAAACGAAAAAGAGCAAAATCCAGGCTCGTTTGTTACTTGGATAATATGGTAAACTGAAACTTGGTCACAAACTGGTTTTTATCATAATATCATTTCCATAAACTTATTTGTTAACTCTTATTCCGTTTAAGAAAATTAAAAAACGCTTAAGAAAGCTTTAGACCTTAACAGTAACTTTTGCTTCCATGAACAAGAGGAATGAGAACCATAATTGGAAGTAGAATAAAATCTGCCATCAAGCTCCATACTTCATAGATTAAATGAAAAAAGCTTTTCTGAGCTGTTAAGACTCGTTGCTGTCGTCCAAGACGTTGCTGGTTCGAGCTCTCCTTAGGTCAAACAAGTCTGTAATCTTCTGGAAAAATCTGAACTAGAAGCTGGACGCGATGAAACTTTTGCCTCTGGGAAGCAAGCTCCCTTCCGATTTCTACGATGACTCTGGACCTTGATCTACCAGCGATTTCTATAGCTTTTTCCGTTCAAGATTTCATTCGAATGAAAACAGTTCCGGGAGATCAACCTTGGGCAATTCGAAGTATAACTTGACCAAAGGCTCCACGAAACAAGGAACGATTGCTAGTCAGGAAGGGGAAATCTGTCGAAATGTGCGCGCGGCGCAAGCGTGTTTGACCTCCAGCCGTCCCTTCGGTCGGCTCGTCCAGCAGATTGACCACTACTTGTCTCTGTCTGTCCGTGTGTGTTGTATGTGAGAGCGAGTCGGTGAGTGCGTGAGTGTTCTCTGTGCCATTGGAGCTACGGCGTCCTTCCTTCCTCCGCACGGATTCTTTCCACTTGGACAACAACATTTCCTTCTTTTTCTTCCCTTTTTCCATGGCTCTTTCAGTGTTTGTGACTGTTTGATTCGACTCCAATAACATCGTCAGATTTTGGGATTTTGATCGTCTCTTAACGCCTCTCCCATTTTTTTTGAGATTTAGGAGTTTGAGTTTTCCCCCTGCATCTCGATTTTTTCTGCTTCTATAAAATTAATCGGTATAATTGGTCCTCAAGGACATTTGGAAAGTGCAATCAACTAATTTCAGCGAATTTTTTGGAAATTAGGAGATTGTTTAGTTTCATCATTTTTCGTTTTGGTGAGGAGTTGAGACAGCAAAAATCTTGAATGTCAACTTTGGCTCCATTTTATGTTTTTTTAGGAATGAAAGTATCTCGGAAGTTTTTTTTCGACTTTTATATGTCTTAGAAAGCGTCTGGTCTCGTCAAAAGTAATTATCTTTTTTTTTTTGCTTTTTCGGCTGTTTTCGAAAGTTTCATTGACTTGAGTTGTGAACCAATTTTAAGCTTCGAATTTGAAAGCAGAAGCTGGTTGTTAAAATACAGTCCACTTTAAGAAAAATTGTTTTTCGAGTAATGAAGGATTTTTGAAACTTGTTAAAAAGACTGGGCAGCTTCCGCAATTCTGTAATTTATCAATTCTCTGAGTTTTGTTCTCATTTTCACCCAATTTGAGTTAGCATGTCGCTGCAATGAAGGTTTATGTCGTGTGTGCGTTCCTTCGTGAGCGTTTATTTTTTATTTTTGTTCCGACGACTGCAGAAGCCACGCCTTTCGCTCCTATTCTGCCGGTTGCCATGGGCTCAAATCTTCTTAAATTCATCTTTTCTCCTTGTCGCTTCACTTGCAACTTATCTTCCCCACAGTCGTTTTTGCGATGCTGAGTTTTATCATTTTTCAAAGTTGAAAGGGTTCAAAAAGAGTTCGGAGAACGACTACATCTGCATCAAACTACAATCTTATTGTATTTTAAGGTTGATTTGAGGCTAAACTTATTTCACTCTTAACTGGGCACAAAGTTTAAAGGATGCTTTTTTTGAGAGCAAGTGTCCGGAACTATCATCGAGAGAGAGAGAGTGCACAAATAAAACGAGTTTTACAGAAATTGAGCTTGGGTTTTTTTTTTAGGTTTCTGAGATAATTTTTGTTATAACTCAAACTCTCATCTCGGTAATACTTTCTTTGGTGAATTTATCTTCAGTTTTCGAAGATTTTCACCATCATTGATTAGTTTTCATATGGCAAAAAATAATACTGGAGTTCTTTTTGAGCTAGAAATTCGAAAAACCTTTGGTAGAATGTAGTGAAGCTTGAATGTCTTCTGTCTAATAACTATCCTCCTTTTCTCCAAGAATGAATAATACCTAAAGTATGATTGCGTTTTTACTTTTTCTATGGTTGCTGGAAAAGCAGAAGAACGTCAGAGTGTTTTCATTTTTCCTCCAATGTTATTTGCCTTGGAAGGCGCCGTGGCGCGAGGCAGGACCAATGTTCGCGGGAAACAACTGCGAATCGAGCCCGTTTTGTTGACGATTTTCTTCTTCTCGAGGCCTTTTTTCTGTTCCATGCGTTCCTTCACATTTCTTTTCTTGCACACATTGGATAATGTTTGATGGAAATGGTGGTGGGATTTTTTTCATTGCTCCATGGGAAAGCAACTTCTTTTTTTCACTTTCTGATGTTTTAGTGCTTTGAACCTCTTATTTTCTACTCTTGAAAGTTTTCTCACAAGTTGGGCGCGATTCGAAGACGAGTTCAAGATTTGATACTCAATAAATCTGTTTCTGCGACCTCGATTAAAGGTTTTGAAGCAATTTAATGTCACTAGAAATTTACGCAGAATTTCACATACAAGAATTGTAGTTTCATTTGAAAATTGAGATTTTTTGAACTTCGACGAATTGTTCTTGTTTACAGTTGCTTTTGAGGCTATTTTTTCGAATTTTTCGACTTTTCCGATTTTTTCTTACGATTTCTGTCATCCCAACTGGCGATTGAATTATCTATTTTCAATAAATCTCAAAAATAATTTTGTTCCTCTAGAGTTTGCCTGTTATCAGTTGAATTTCGAGCTCGATCTCCGTTTTCAGGTTTCCATTCTTGCAGTTCTTTTTTCAATCGACAAAATGAGATTTTTTTTTTTGATATTTTGAAGTGGCTATCTTTTTATTTATTTCGAACTTCGAAGTCAGCTTTTACGTTAATCTCAAGAATTTATTCTCTTTTATTCTTAGTTATTTTTAGTGATCTCTATAAGGTACTTTGACAGCCCGAAGATGGATATTTTGATTAATTAAATCTGCAGATTAGTTCAGATGATCTGAACCTTGCATGGGAAAGTGTGCTTTGCAAGACTGGAAGTGCTTTGCAGGCGACTTTTTTGTATCTATTATCCCAATTAGGGAATAGCTGTTTATTTGTAGTCATGATTTGTATTTGTGTCTGTAGAATGTTCTTCCGGGTGTTGTAGATGTTTTTTTTTTCAAATTTACCTCAACGTTTGTTTCTCTGATCAGAAAAACAGAAGTTGGCTTTGATAGCAGATGACTCAAAAATGACCGTGAACAGGTTAAAGTAGGGGAATGCAATAATTTTTATTTTTTAATTTTCATGAGATTTTTTTATGGATTCAAATGTTTTCTGAACTAGGAATGAACAAAAGCTCGGATATCCTTTTTCACCTGCAAAAAAAAAGTCTGGAGTTTGCAATACCAAGACTTTTTCTGACAGCCGAATAGCTCTTTGATACACGATGAGAAGTCTGAGAAACCAACAAATGAAGATTTTCACAAGCGTTTCTTGACAAGGCCTCTCTGCCTAGTAATTAACGACGAAGACGACAGCGAAAACGATGATTTTGGGCTGGAAATGGGTAGGAAGAAGAAGGAGTGTGAGGTGCGGAGGGCGAGACGAAGGGCAACGAGTGGTGGACAGCGGTTACTCGATGTTTGTTCGGTTTGGTTCGGCTCCTCGCCTCCTTCTTCTTCTTCTTCGCCTTTCCTATTCTCACACCCCGCGCGCCAACCAATAGCCTCTCACTTCAACATGTATAGGTCCTTAGTGGATGTTCATCGCTGTATCGATTACTTGATTAGTTCTTTCGGACCAGCTCTCAATTTCACCGGAGACAGCTTGATTTTGAAGCCTTCTGTGATGATGGTACCTGTCTGATGATTGGTTAATGAGATCCTTGATTAATTGATTAATTTTTGATCTTCTCCGAGTTTTCTGCTCGAGTTGAAACTGCATAAAGGTAAATATCTAGAAGTTAATTTTCGGAACCTCATTTCGTAACAAGTCATTAGACAGACTGAATATGAATTCTTTCGCTGAATGTTGAGCTCCTAATGATATGGGAAGGAAACATATTTTCTTTTGTTTTGCAGCGAGAAGAAGTTTGAAGCTTTACTGACGTTTTATGATGCTCTTTGTAGTTTTTGCATGCCTTTGGATAATGTTTGATTGAATATGTTTGATTTCTGAGTCTTGAAACGTGTGAAACGTGTGAAACGATCGCTTAATAAGAATTTCCGCTTTTCTCAAGTTGTTCACGGCTTCCAGGCCATGTTGCGCTCAATTTTAGACTTTTTGAAGTTGATATTTTTGAATCATTAGTGTAATATGTCTTCTGGTCTCATTCTGAAACTTTCAAACGATTTCAGCTAGCCTTTTAAGAATTATATCATTTTATCGGGTGTCTAGTCTACTTCTTCCAAAAGGCGTTCATTTCTTGATCATATAAAAAGTTTATTCCAATAATTAGGTGGCGTTTCACCTACTTGGTACTTTTCATTTTTCTTCTGAGGACTTTCTTTTTCACTTGAATTTTGAAAAGTATTAGAAAAATATCGATTTAAATATAGCTTTTTTTGTCTCAAAAGACTCGTGAATCCATTCCACTTTTGTTTTCATTTCTTAATAGATTGTTTTTGACTAATACGTTCGTTTTTTTAGTGATCCGATGTGGCCTGGGGGCGCGATGGCTGGTCCGTCGATGCATCCGTGCTCGTCCTACGATCCTTTCATGCATAATATGCACTATGGTCGGTTTTTCAGATTGTATTTGAAAAGAAAGTAGCCTTCTGGCAAATGAGTCATGAAGTGTTTTTTACAAGAAATATACAGCTACTAATCGAGTTTAACAACAACAAAGCTTCAAAATTTGAACGATATCCTATATTTCGACAAAAGACTACATCATGTCTAAAAACTGATATCGCAAAAACCTCTATTTAATTGTGGAAAAGGGGTCTTCGAACGTCATCCAAAAATTTGATAAATTTCGAAATTTTCGTAAGCAGCTTTTCTAAAACTGGGCCAAAGCTCTCTTAAGTTGTCTACAATTAAAATGATGAAGTCGTCTATCACTAAAACTCATTCATTCAGCTTGAAAAAAAAAACCAGCAGCATTTTCCAGGGATGCAACCGTTTCCGATGGACCCCACGTCGGCTGCCGCCGCCAACGCCGCTGCTCCTACGGCTCCGATGGATTCGATGATGGAGCAACAGCAAAGAATGATGCGCCAACAGCAGCAGCAACAGCAGCAGCAAGCGGCGGCGTCTCGTCGCGTCGGAGCTCAACCGTCGGCGGCAGAAGCCGCGTCGATGGCCGCCTACCACAACATTCCGATGGGCGCGAACACGGTGCCCGGACAGACTCGTCCTCTGATGCGCTATCCGTCCGCCTCGGCAATGTATCCCAACAATCCCGCCGCCGCTGCCCAACTCCAACAGCAGCAGCAGACCTCGATGCGGTCTCCCGCCTATCCCGCACCCCATCAGATGGTGCGGATTTGATGATTGATGTAAAAATAGCGGAAAGCAAGTGAATTGAGCTGAAAAGCGTTGTTATTCTATATGTTATCGCGAACATATGAAACATTCGAAGATTTTGAAAAAATTCCGAGCAAAGTTTCCCATTTTTGATTTTTGAGTTATCAAGTTCTCATTATGAAAGTTTTATCGTGCCCCTCATCAAATAAAAAGGAAGTATTATAGAAGTTAGGAAAATGGAGGAAAGGGGTTTCACTTTTATCCTGCATTTTGATGATTTTTGCAAACCGGAGGATTTGTCGAAAACATCTGAGAGAATCACTAAAGACTAGTCATACTCCATTCGTCACGACTTCATCTTCTGCTCGCATTTAGAATTGTTCAAACGGTTGCTTTCCCTTTAACAGCGATAGCCATTCAAAATGCGACCTACGTCTTTCAAATGACTGCAAACTGAATTTTAAAAAGATAGTGAGGTATTAAGGCGAAATGTAGAACTTCTGACCTGACAAATCGAAATCCGGAAAAATTTTGAAGTTTTGCAAAAAAAAAGCTATCTCAACACAATATCACCTCTAAAACTCGCTTTTCAGATTCGCGCCGGCCCCCCGATGCTCTACGGAAACCTACAGAGCAACGTCCAACAACAACAGGTTGGCTTGAACTTGCCCAAGTCGTTGAATGATCGTTCAGAACGGGTTTCAGGTCATCTCCTACCCCAACCCCAACATGATGCCTCCGGTAAATTACCATGGCGGGCCAGAGAATGGACACATCGCCGTTCCAGAAAGGGTTCGAAGACTTTGAAAATTACTTCTGAATAATGCAAATATTCAGATTCTGTTGAACGAGACGCTCGACAAACCGTCGATGAAACTCGAATTTGAAGTTACCCCCGACATTTTGGCGTACATGCAAAGGTGGGTTACCTTATCTTTAATCTTTTCCTGAAGCAAGTGCTTGACTGAGAACTTGCGAAAAAAAAGCCGAATTTCGGGAAAGAGGGAACGATTTCAGCTTTTTTTGTACCTCATGATCTGGTTCATTTATTTTTCAATTTATTTTTTGTGTTTGCTGGGAACGAAAGCAAAAAAATATCCTTAAAAGTCCTGTTCGAAAAACATCTTCGTCGATTTACAGTAGTCCAACGGACATCCTGATCACGGTGTTCATCCCGAACATGGCTCAATGTGCACCGGAAGATCAGAAGGCCCCGATGAAGATATCGGTGAACGGCCGACAGCCGTTCGACATGACCGGCGCCATCAAAACTCAGGCGATCCGTCCCTACGTCGTTGGCGGCAAGAACTCCCTTCAAATCGCATATCATGCACGTTTCTCGGTGAGAATTCGCCAAAGAATAAATCTGATGTCATCGATTAGCTCCATCGGATCACTGTCGAACTGATCTCACGTCGGTACTTCGCCCAAGTCACTCAACATCTTCTGCAAACCAGCGAGAACAACCTTCCTACTTCCAGAAATCGAGGTTTGTAACGGATTTGAGGTCGTATGCAATAAGGTAGAAAAGGCTTTTTCTGAAACTCGGATATCACTTGAATCAGTTCTTTTCCGACTTAAATATTTTTCTTTTCTATCTGAATCTTCATAAAAAGAAACCGTAAAACATCAGAAAAAAAAATCGAAATTAATGAATTAAGAGCGGGTTTCAGACTTTTTCTACTTTCAGGAAAGTGGGGTAAAATCGTTTCTAAAGACTGTCATTAGACTTTTTCTCAATCCACTGAAATATTAAGATTGATTTTGCAGTGCTGAGCATCGCGAACACGCTGGGCGGATCAGTACGAGTGCCGCTGATCTGCAGCTTCTCGAAGCGACGGATGTCGACCCCGGCGCGGCACTCGACGTGCAACGCGTTCAGCTGGTTCGACCTCAACACCTTCCTCACGGCACACGCCAACACCACCAAGTACTTCTGCCAGCTGTGCAAGTAAGTTGGCGAAAAATGCGAACAGTTGAACAGGGATAAAGAATCAAGAAAATTTGATTGAAAAAGTTGACTTTGAACGCTTTGAGATCCAGTTATCAGAAGTTGCAGTTGCAAAAAAGTTTCATTTTTTTTGGTTTACTGAGAGAAACAAATCAGAACAAGAAAATAGGCTTAAATAATGAAAAATCTAATTTTTTTGCTTTAATTACGAATTGAACACTTTTTCAACGGTTTTGACAACAAGCTTGGTGTTTTCAGCGTGAACATGGCATTTTCCAGAAAATTTCTAAAAATCTAGATGAACATTAATCATATTCGCGACCCACAAACTTTTAGTTTTGAAAACATTTCTTTCAAAGTCGGCCTTCTGAGAAAAATCAGTCCTGCAATAAATCTGAGAATCCATTATTTTTGAAATGCGTAATTTGGCTAAACACTATATTTAATTATCGACCTGTAAAATTAGTTCGTACATTTTTTCTGAAAGTTCCAATATTCACTAGTAGCTTTTCCTTACGAAAAAAGTAGACAGTTACAAATATTCTATATAAAGAGGATTGAGTGCGAGACAACGTGAAAACCTGTTTAATTTCTTATTATAAACTCCATGAAACGTACTTTTTTACATTTTCAACTCATTCAACTGAGAAAATAATTTTTCAGCACGTGGTTCACGTTACGCGACATCGAAGTGGACTTTTACATCGGCTCCTTGCTGACCGAGTACCGGAACATGCCGCAACTCAAGGAGATCCTTCTGGACAAGTCTGGAGCTCATCGACCTGTTGATTCGATGCAAATGGAAGGATTCGGCGGACAACAACCCCAGCCCACGCCGGCAAATCAGAAGAAACGGCAGCTCCAAGAAGACGTCGCCAACCCCATCAAGAGGATCAAGAGCGAGACTTTTGCCACTTTCGCTAAGCAGGTCGGTATTGGATGAAAAATGGGAGAAGTGATGAAGAGAACACTCAAACGGGGAAGGTTTTTTGAGAGAGCCTAGCAAAGAGTTGACAATTTGACGGTGATAAAATACGTGCTCGAACAGCTAAGAAAGACTCTGAAAACGATTCAGGCGCTCAACATTTGAAAGAATCATTCTGTGCGATAATATTGGTCCTTAAAGAAGGTCTCCAAGTATATTTTCAATTTAAGAAGGCCATAGTTCATTAACATCCAGTTAACTGCAAAAAAAGACTCGAGAAGAAAAAGTTCTATCCAATTTTTGTGATGACATTTCGACTAGGAAGCGTTTCTGACTGAATTTCAGATCCATCTTCTGCTCTTCAAGTGCAGGAAGTTCTTCATATTTAAATTTCAGCAGGACCCATTCTCGATGGAGCGAACTCACGACGATCATTTCGCCAACATGCCGATGCCTGGATCTGTGCCCAACTGCATGAACTACGACGCGCTGCCCAAGATGATGAGTCCATTCCAAGGCATGGGAAGGTGAGGTTTCTCCATGAAAAAGTCCATAAAGGATAGTTTATTTCAATAAAATGTAAAGCGTGACGGACTGTAAATAATTATTGCGTTCTGAACATGATGAAAATTTTTCAACTCATTTCTTAATACTAAAATCTTCAAAGAGATCAGAACGCTACTGGGAGTATTTTAGAACTTGATCTCATGGAGTACTGCTTTTCATATGCTGATCTCATAGGGAAGGTCTCTTTACTTTGTGGTTGGGTAATTTCTAAAAAATCGACCAGAACACTCTTAGATGTGCCAGATGAAAATCCTGAAAGTCTCAACCTGCACAACTTTAAAGTTTGTGAAAAAGGGCATCTCAAAATAAAAAAGAAACCCTCACAATCCGTTAAAATAAGCTTTTTAAAAGGCTTTACCCTTTTTGTTGAAATTTGCTCTCAAGTCTACAGAGGACTCGAACCAGCATTCTCTCGAAACACTGAAATCGAAATTCAAAAAAAATTTCTAGCCCAAACAAGCCGACGACGAACGTAAACCCTTCGACGCCGGCTTCACTCGGAAACAACCCGCCGTCGGTCGGTTCAACCTCGGCTGCTCATCAGATTCTGTCGTCGACGTCGCCCCGACACGGAATCCACCCCCAGGAACAGCCGGCCTCCCTAGCCGGTATTGCTCATCTCAGCGCGTGACGTCACCTAACCGGCAGCTTCAGGTTCAGCCCCGTACACACCGGCCTCTGTCGGAATGTCAACGTCATCCTCGGCCCCGAGCTGCGAAGGCGGCAAATACCACGACGGCAACCTGTCCTCGTCGAGTCTGAATATCGACGTCGTTGAGCTGTATTCTACTGGAGATACGGTACTGAAACGACCTCTTTGCCACAGGATGACTTTCATTTTCAGTCGCTGGTCGACAATTTTGAAATCATCAAGAAGTACCTGAACGACACGTCGTTGACCAATTTCGACGATGTTCAAGTTAATGTGAGTTTAAAATAAAGAGACCTCATAGGAGCCCTTTTTTTGTGTTTTTTTGAATTTCAAAACTTTCGTAAGGAAATTTAAGGTTCTAAAGCTTTCTTTTTTTCATATATCAAGAGAATATTCAGAGAAATTGGTATTTTTAAAAAAACTTTATATGATTTTTTTTTGGAAATTCTCCATATATAGTTTTTTTGGGATCAAGAAGTTGAGATTGAAAAGTTGAATTTTAAAAATTGAACAGATTTGATGGTGGAAGCTTATGCCGTGATTCCGCGAAATTCAAAACAGATTAGTTTTTATTCTAAATTCAAAAAGTAGATTATAAAAATTTTTCAAGATTTTCTTTTCGACTTCCTGAGCGCCTTTTTGAAATGTTGTTCAGTTAGCGGTTAGTTTGTGCTCGAAAAAATTACCAAAAGCGGAAAGTGAGAAAGAAAATTAAAAGAAATAACTTCAGTGAATGATGTCCTAATTGTATGTCAACTGCAGGACGAGGGCTACAATCCGCCTTGGGAAGACATTCAATCCCTCATCAGTGGAAAATGACCCCCAGGTCCTTCTTCTTCTTCTTTCTTTCACCTTTATTTATTCCACCTTCTCCTCACCTTTGATATTTATTGGTTGATAATAATTTAGAACAAATAATCTGTTATGGGTAGTCGCCCATACATATATGTCCATATTTTTGAGCAAATCAGAGTTTTCCATTTTGTTTTTTTTTTGTTTTTTTCTTCTTTCTTGTTCTTTTCAGTATTAGGGGCATTTCTTAGGCAATTAAGATCTCAGATATTTCTAACATACTGTAGTTGATCGGAAATTAAATAATTATAATGCCCCCTTTCCATATCCTTCATAGTGCTTTAGTCGGTTGATGACGTCATTTTTCAAAACTTGTGACGTCATTTCGCCAGTTCTGCCAGACGTTAACTTCATACAAACTCGCATCGAATGTATCCCAGTGACACAGTTTGAGTATTTTTTGTTTCCTTCCTTGAAAATTTACTTCTTCCTCCCTTTCTGAACTAGTTGTTGATTTATTCTTTCTTTCTTTCTTTTTTCCACTCCCTCTACTCCTTTCAACAGTACGTACACAACTATTTGTATATAACAGATTGTCAGTGTCCAGATTCCCTTTGTGATTTATTTTTCCCTGGAAAGTTATCCGCCGACCATAAAGCTTCCTGATTAGTTATGGCTTTTATGTTTTTTGTTTCGTGGAAGAAATAGGGCAAATCTTGTCCCTTAAGTACCGTTTTACCGACATAAAAAGAATGGCGTCCATTATAATGATGGGATTGACGCCTTTTCGTGACGTCATTCCGCCTGAATTATTGTTTTCGAAGAAGTATGAGGAAGAGTAGCAACTGCGAGACTTGAGTCCAATACGAAATGGTTTTGGGTGACTTTGCTTGAGGATAAATTGGAAAATTTTGAAAGAATATTGAATTTTTCATAAGGAATGAAAAAAAAAAGAAGAAGAGAAGAAGTGAGGATTTTATTTCGAGAAGCAAATTGAAAAGAGTAAGTTTTCTTCAAACGTAGTATTCAGACTTCCGTCTTTTCTGAACTGTACTCTTAATGAATCGATTTTTCGGGAAAAAAATTCACTTTTTATTTTTTTGAAACTTTCAGAGTTCTTTTTATGTGCACACTTCAAGCTTTTTTACTATTTCAATGCAAAATCGAAATTTTCTCTTCGGGAATTTTTTCTCAAAATATTTGTGTTGTTTTCCCGCCATCAAACTGAAAATTAAGGAAAAAACAAGTTTATCGTTTTTAGAGTGACTCATTGGAAATTCCTCCGTCTTGCTAATTTTTTGTTTTTGAGGTTGACACGTTGAACATAGAGTGGATCAGACTATAAAGAAAAAAATGAAGCTTCTAGCGAAAATTTTCTGTGATTTAATTTGAACCGAAAAATTTCAGAAAATTAAAAGAAATAAAAATCTGGGGGAAAATATCGGCGAATTGAGCGTGATTCAGATTCTTTTTTTATTTAGAGCAAAGGTTGACAGAAAAGGAAATTTTCTATCGAAAACTCTGTGATTTTCGATGGGAGTTCATGGAACACTATTACTTTCAAAGAAGTCAATTATTATCGAAGTCTGGAATTCTCCAAAGTTTATGTTGATCAGCTTATTGTGGTACCGACTAAAGGTCCCGAAAATGCCAAAACCAGGACTTTCCAGAATTCGAGCGGGATTATCACCTAACAGTCATTAAAAAAAAGAAGACTGCTCAAATATTCGGTTTTGTTACTCTCTTTTGTGTTCTTCTCGTTTCTCGCTTCTCAATAACAAACCGAAAATTACAAAAAATTACAGTGACCGTCGGCCGATGCCTATCGCTAGCAAAACGCAAGAAGCGTCGGTAAAAAAAAAAGAGAGAATGTCCCCCAGGTACGCAGGAAAAAAGAGAGAAGAGAAGCAAAAAATCGGGTTCTTTCGTGCTAATGAACACAGGGCAAGACAGACTTGATCACCTTCGGCTAGGGGCAAAAAGGTATTTTACAGCGCCTATTGGCACGTCGACGCCGCCTCCAAGGAGGCTTTCACCTATAAAAGGGCCGCCGAGCGGAGGACAAGCCAGTGCCAGACATGGACCTCGAACATCGCATCAAGGCCTACCGGTTCGTCGCCTACTCGGCGGTCACCTTCTCCGTCGTCGCCGTCCTTTCGGTGTGCGTCACCCTGCCGATGGTGTACAACTACGTCCACCATGTCAAGCGCACCATGCACAACGAGATCACCTTCTGCAAGGTTCGCCTTTTCTTTCATTTTTAAGCTGATATTCATTTAATATCGAGAAGTTGGTTATAGTAAAGTTTTGGAGCTGTCAAGACTTTTTCTAAGCTCAAAAATCTTTGCTGAACTGTTTGTAGAAACAAATTTCTTGCTCGTAGGCCCGAAATTTCACTGAAAATTTTCCTCTTCCTCCAGTTTTTTAACAATTGAAGCTTTCAGGGATCCGCCAAGGACATCTGGTCCGAGGTCAACCACCTGAAGAACATCCCATCCGCCAACAGAACTGCCCGTCAAGCCGGCTACGGTGATGCCGGAGTCAGCGGTGGATCCGCCTCTGCCGGAGGCTGCGACGCTTGCTGCCTTCCAGGACCAGCTGGACCAGCCGGTACCCCAGGAAAGGCTGGACGCCCAGGAAAGCCAGGAGCCCCCGGACTCCCCGGAAACCCAGGCCGCCCACCACAGCAGCCATGCGAGCCAGTCACCCCACCACCATGCAAGCCTTGCCCAGCTGGACCAGCCGGACCCCCAGGACCACCAGGACCAGCCGGAGACGCCGGATCCAACGGAGCTCCAGGAGCGCCAGGAAACGACGGAGCTCCAGGAGCCCCAGGACCAAAGGGACCATCTGGACCAAACGGACAGCCAGGAGCGCCAGGAGCTCCAGGAGCCCCAGGACAGGACGCTCCATCCGAGCCAATCACCCCAGGAGCACCAGGACCAGCTGGAGCCCCAGGACCACAAGGACCACCAGGAGCCCCAGGAGCTCCAGGAAACGACGGAGCCCCAGGACAAGCTGGACCAAAGGGACCCAACGGAAACCCTGGACAGCCAGGAGCCGACGGAAACCCAGGAGCCCCAGGACAAGCTGGACCACCAGGAGGATCCGGCGAGAAGGGTATCTGCCCCAAGTGCGTTGGTTTCTTTAGAACTCTCTCGAAAAACCTGAAATACATACCTAAAATTGACTTTTTCCAGGTACTGCGCCATCGACGGCGGAGTTTTCTTCGAGGACGGAACTCGGCGCTAAGCGGTTTCTCTCCGCGGCACTTCTCTTCGTGCTTGCCAACTTTCCCAAACAATACCAGAAATGAAAATTCATTTCCTATACTGTTTTCCTTTCCATACACACAAAGAACACAAAAAAATGCAATAGAAAGAGAGAAAGATGAAAAAAAAAAAAACATTTCCTTCATACAAAAAAATTTTATCGAAAACTAACGAAAGGATCCGATTATTTCACAATTCTACAAAACAGAATGATTGAAAAATTTGTAGAAATAACGAAAAAATGAATTTTGAAAAATTTTAAAAAGGCTTCGAAAGGTTCCGCGCAACTTGTGCAAACACGCATCTTCACAGAAGACATGTATACAGTAACCCCAAACTTTGCAGAAAAAAACCATTTTTCATTAACTTCATTCAGTTGTATTTCAAAAACGAGAGCTGAAAACATAGTTAGAACTGAAAAATTTGATATTCATGAACAAGTAAATTACTAGATTAATCAGAAAATTAGATGAAAATGAAAAAAAAAAACAATAAAAATCATGTCCTATTATTTTTTTGCTATATTTTTAGAATGCCTCCATGCCATTCAGCATGAAAAGAAACTTGTTCTTCTTGATTACCCATCAAGTTGAATACCTTGCTAGCAGAATTAGGAACGATTAATTTTGAACGAACAAAGAGGTGCGGAATACCGTTTACACCTGCGCAAAGATCTCGTTTTTGATGCTTCCTTCCTCCTTTCTGCCGTGTGATGTTTTAACGCCACTGGCGCGTTTTTTCGACGCGCGATTAGCTGCGAATGGATCGTATCGCTTTTTTCGGGCAGCAACGCTGAAATATTGCAACAAACTATGCGAAAGCGTTTGGAAGATTTAGAGTCTTGATAAGACAGGTGGAAAATGTAAAAATTATGCAATTGTGAGCACGCTCATCTAACTTGTTGTTAACTAAAACTAACTCAATTGACTCTTCCTCGGAAAAAAATTTTTAGAGCTTCTTAATAAACAGGAAATTCCTGGATTTCACAATTCAATTAAAAAAACTTTTTTTAGAGGTTTTTTTACACTCTAGAGTACTGTAGGCTAAGCGTTTGTGATTGCACACAAAGCGTTCAACCTGACGACGATGCCGCCGTAATTTTTATTTTTAATCTTGTTTTTAATTTTTTTTTTTTTAATGAGTGATTTATTTTAAATCATAACTATGATTATTTTTTTGCAGTTTATGAATTTGTTCCCGTCGAACAGTTTCCCATTTTCATTTTCAGCGGATGAGAAAAAATTACCACGGGTTCAAAAAATACAGAAAGGTTTGAGAAACATTTTGTAATCAAACTTTTATGTTAATTCAGAAAATGAATGTACAAATTTGGAAACGGTGACACAGCTGGTGCTACGAGCTTTTTTAGCAGACGCTATGAAAAGCTCTAATCGGCTGATCGAAGGCGATTCGCCAATGCTCACCGATTTATTGCTGATGTTGGAACGGATAGTTGCGCACGGGTTTCAGGCTTCAAGTAAGATTGATGAGAATGATTTTGTAAATCTTATAATTCAGTGAATACTGCATTATTCTCTTTCAAAGCGCCTGAAGCTGATGTGTGGGAATTTTTGAAGAAAGTCGGTCGGTCGGATGCAAACATGCACGAAACTGTCATGTGCGTGGAAACGATCCCATCGTTGTCGTAGGTTTTTGATTTTCTCTCTTAGTTTCGAAAAACGATATTCAAGTTTGGAAGTTAACGAATTTTTGTTATTTCAGAACACCTCTTGCCAAAATTCGAGCTTTTTTACGCATGGCCATCATGCAGAAGAAGTTGAGCGAGTTTCTGGAAATTATTCGAAATTGCCCTCAGATAAAGTTAGATTTCCATTTGGATAAACGAATAAAGTTTATTTTCAGAGATTTCTACGCGACTTGGGCTTTTCTACGACAAGAAAGGGCCGTTTTTCTCTGTGGTTCCTTATTTGGAATTCATGTTGTTGAGTGCAATTTATCGATTGATTTTGATCATTTGCAGGTTCGAAAATAGTTCAGAATTTTTCATCGTGCTATTTTATGGTTTCAGGAACAGCCATCAAACTTGGATTTGTCGTTTTATGTGAAATTGCCAACGACGCCTACGGAGGAACAAGAAGAAAATGAGGAAACGAGCCATTCTGAATTGAAAAAGGTGATTTTGAAGTTGATTTTTTGCGCCAAAATCGTCGTTACTATCAAAAACTAGTTTTATTTTTCAGGAACGAAAAATCATGTTTGATCAAATGCAGTTTCTCGAAGAGCGCAATCGTCAATTGGAGTGAATATAAATATTTTGAAAGCGATTTCGAGTATTATTTCAGGACAAATTGGCAAATCGCCAAACGGAAGTTGTCTGAAATCGAAGCGCTTAATAATCCATTGCCGGTTTCACCTGATGAGGTTTTTCCAAATTTTTTTATATTTCGAAATGAAAAATTTGCAGTCAATATCTTTTCGAAAGCTTGAAGCGGCTCAAGTTGTTGATGTCGAGGAAGAAAAAAAGGTTCGAAAAAAACGCGAAAGTTGAAGATTTAACGAAGGAAAAGGAGGTTTTGGCAGTGAAGGTTCGTTTTTTTTTTCGAAAAAAATTCAACTGTCGCCAGTTCACTTTTTTATTCTTTCTATAAAACTTTTTAAAATAATTTCTGGCTTAATTAACTGTTTTTTTTTTTTTCACTTTTTTCGCGCAGTAATGTTCCCTTTGAAATTTTCAGGTCGCCGAACTGGAAGACACCATTAAGATCAATAATCAACAGTTGGAAGATCGCCAAAAATTAAACGTCGATTTGTATCAAAAACTTCGCGATAGTGAAACGTACCTGCGAAAAGCCGAGAACGACTTTTTGATTTTGAAAGAAAGATTCGATTTGGTGGGTTTCATGCGAGTAATATTAGATTTTACGATTGCAGATTCCAGGAGCGTCAGAATCTGCTCAAAACCCAGGAAAAACTTGAGAAAAGGTGCGCAGAACTGGAAGAAAAGCTGCAGGCGAAGGAGAATTCAGATGGTATCTCTATTTGAACTTCTAGAATGAAGATATTTGAAGACGGCGTCCGGAAAGAACTGAAGAAGAAGTGCGAGCAGTACAGCAGCATGATCGCCGCGTTGGAAACCAAGCAGAAGGAGTTGGCGAAGGTAAAATAAATATTAAAATTTCAAAACTCGGACAAAACGGACAGTTCTTTGAAACCTGTTCTGAAAAATAAATCTTTAAAGGGTGCAAGTCAATCTTTTTCATATCATTTCGCATCTTTTCCACATATGTTTTTATAAGGATGGTGAAAAGCAACTAAATTGATTTCAGGCGATTCAAAAATAATTCTCTGAAAATATTAAAAGCCCTTATTTCCATCATTTTAAAACCTTTTAGCGGAACCTTTCCAGCTTTTTTTGTGATGGCCCACAAAGAAGCTTTCCTTTTTCATTGAAAAAATAGTTAGTTCAGGTTTAATATCAAATATTGAATAAATAGCTGCTCATTTGACAAGAACTTTGTTAGGTTCAGCGGAAGAAAATTCATTATTTTCTTATTATCAATCGATTTATTCGATTTTTCAGATAAAAGACGACAATGAGAAGCTTCACAAGGAACTTCTCTTGGCCCAGCGCGTCGTCAAAGAAGTTCCCTTTCTGAAAGACGTTAGTTTTTTTGAAAATCAGTTGGAAAGTTCAGCTAAATGTTGAAAAGAAATATATTTTGTGGTCACTCCCTTTATTTTACTCAGCTAAAATTACTTATGAGAAAAAGATAAGTGTACCTGACTAGGGAACGTTTCTACCCCCAATTGAACCTAAAATTTTAGCCACTATCCTCTTTTTTTCAAGTTTCTATTTTTTTCAAATCAACAATCGAATTTTGATGAAACTTCGCTGAAGTGTACTTTCGGACCCGCTTATTTCAGAACAAGGAGAACATTTCTCGCAATAGATCTTTCAAGTTAGGACACTTCAAGAGCTCAAAATAGCGCTTTTTTGTCAGAATTCGCGTATTTTGCGGACTTTGAAGCTCCATAACTCGGAAAAAAAAATCTATTGCAAGAAATGTTTTTTCTTGTTCTGGGGTCAGGGGTCCTAAAAGTGCATTTCAGCAAAGTTTCAGTAAAAGTTCAAAATCTTATCGGAGAGTTTTTTAAATAGAAGTTAAGGATTTGAAAGAGCTCGAAGGCAAATTTAATGAGGAAAAAACCCGGGCCGAGCAGTATGAGAAGACGATCGAAGAGTTAGGTGGACATTTGAGCGAGTAAGTTTTGTCTTGGATGCAAAGAAATGGAAGAATTTCTGAAGATCGAAGCTCCGGATGGTGGAATTGACCGAGGAGCTGAGGCCCTTGAGTGAAGCCGAATGGGCGAAAGACGCGGATGTCGTCGTCTGCACGGCCTGCGCCGAGAAGTTCACCATGGCCAAGAGGAAACATCACTGTCGGTGAGAAAAATCGATGAAGTAATGAAGGAAACTCACACGTCATCGGGGAACCTCCGGGAAAAATTAGTGAAATCAATATTAAAATTATATTTATTCACAGTCAAGAAAAAAATTTTTGTAGAAAAAAAGCACCTACCAGAAAGCTTTATTGAACTTTTGCGGACGTGATCTTTGAACTGTACCCTAAAAAAATAATTTTTGAGACTGTATGCAAAGGTTTTTTTCTACAATGTGTTTCAAATGCCAAAAAATATTTTTTTTTGTTGAGGAATTATTTTATTTTTCAGCCGCTGCGGCTCGATTTTCTGCGCGGCCTGCAGCGACAGTCGTGTGAAGCTGCCGTCGAATCCGAAGCCGGTCAGAGTTTGCGACAATTGTTTCTCGGCCCTCCAAAATGTCAACGCTGTCTTGCTCCATTGAGAAATTTCCCATTAATTATAAAATAAAATCGATAACACCTAATCTTCCTGAAAATTCCATATTTCTAATCCTTTCAACGCCTTTTTTTTCACCCTGTAAACTAGAATATCAGAAGCTCGCTCTAAAGTTGTAGGACGCTTATTTATATATTTTTTTTCACTTGAAAAAAGTGCCTTCATATGTAAATTATTACCTCTCATGTGATGGATTTCGGTGCCTTGTTTTTTCTAAATTATTGTCATAGTATTTTCACTTATTTCCATCTTTCTCTGTAAATTACTTGTCATTTAGAGATTTCTTGTGTACATTGTTTCAAAAAATGATTGTGATTCAACCTTTTCGTGTTCAAACCGGTGCAATATAAATATTTGATTTTTAATCGCCGTTTTTATTTGATTTATTTTTCCGTGTTTTCAATCACGTTTTTACTTTTTTTCTTGGAAGTTCTTTTAAACCATATTTTGTGTTGGATTTGGTTATTGAATGACTTAAAATAGCTTGGAAATGGAATTTCTCGAAGTTAAACGAATAGGGTTTGTTTTTTTGCGTTTTTAAACGATCAGGCAGAAAAAAATCTAATTAAATTTCTTTGTTTTTTTATCGTTCCTACATTATGTGGAAAAAAATTACAAAGCGAATCATTATGCGATTATTTTCTAAATTTATAGTGAAACCCAGTTATGAGTTATGAACTGCTACAAAATTACTTGGTTTTTTTTATTTCTTATCGAAAGAACTCCCTTTTCCAAATGAGTTCATTCGGTAAAGCGATCATAATAGGAACTTTTCCAATAATTTTCCAACAAAATTCCTACAGATGTCTCGATTTTTGCGTCCCTCCGCACTGAGAACACTACAACAGCAGCACAGGAACTTGTACGAGAACCCCTACATCAATCGCTACAAGGCCAAGAGCAAAGTTTCCGAGGGTTTCCACAAGAAGGTTGCTTTTTTGATTTGTTTCAAAAGCTCATTTCGAAAATGACAGACGACTGGTCTGACTGGACTTTTCGTCAACGAGAATCCTCATCGCGTCCTGACCGTCGTTTACGGAAGAATTCTTCGCGCCCTGGAGCAGATGCCGAAAGACGCCGCCTACAGGAAGTACACCGAAACGGTCGGTTTTCGAGTTGAGAAAGGGAAAAAGGAGGATAAAGTCCTAAATAAAGAATCTAACTTTTAATGGACATTGAAATAGTAAGTCGAGCTATCTCTCTTCAGATCGTGAAGCAACGGCTGGCCTTGGTTCAAACCGAGACCAATATTGAGCGATTGGAGCAGAAAATCGGAATGGGACAGATTGAGGAGGTCATCGAACAGGTTGGATTTCAAATTTAAAAAAATATTAGTTACAAAAATCTTGTTTTTTTGCTATCATTAATTGAAAGAAACGGTCGAGTATTAAATGAAAAAAAGAAGGAAATACATTTGGAAAATTCTTTTTGGAAAAACTGTTATTATCGTTTCTGGTTATTTTTCAAGTTTAAAAAAAGATAAAAAGGAATAAATATATTCACATGTAACAATAAAAGGTAATTTTTGAAAAAAATAAAACTTCATTCAAATCTTCTATCCTATAGTCAATTTGGGCTTTTTCTCTTACTCAGCATTAATGGGAAAAAAATTCGGAAAAAAATTGTTTTGTGTAGTTTCAACGATGCTTTTTTCTGTGGGAACAAGTCTCATTGAAATTTTAGATCTATGGGGATTTTCTCCCTTTTTTTGCCTTTTTCAAAATTATTTGTGAGAAAGTCATATTTTTGATCAAATCATCCAGTTCAAAAGATTTTTATCCGTGGAGAAAAAAAGCCGCCTTGCTCTAAAAAAATATTATTTTAATTTTACGACTCTGTCAAGTGCTCCAAAAAAAGTTTGAGAGTTTTCCGGTATCTTATTCATAGATTAAACTTTTAGCAGAGATTTGAAATAATTTCAAAATGTTCTAAACTTTTTTTAAATTTTCTATCAATTTTTGAGGAAAGTCAGGTTTTTATCACTAGATCGTGTTGTTTATTGAAGAAAAGCTGTTCCGCGTAGTTTTGCTGCTTTTAGTTCAATATAATAATTTTTTGATGTTTATTACGGTCTTTTTCATCAACTTTTTCAAAATTTCAATTGGAGTTTTAAAAAAGCCGCAGTTCACATATAGGTCATTCCGCGCCAGCTTGTCACGATTTTAATTCTCCTCGGAACTAGAGAACCCCTTTCGGCGCTTCGCTTCGATGCTCTCGGTGTTCCCCCTTGCGTGCGCCTTTAATAAAACACTATTTCTGATAAAGATTTCCTCTACAATTCCCTCTATCTCTTTTATTAATTTACGAGGTTGTTTTCAATGGATTGATTTCATTTTTCGCTTTAACTATACACACTCAGATTCTGTGCTGAATTTGTAAAAAAAAAAAGAAAGACAAAAAGATTGAATTATTACTTTTTAATTGTTATTAAAGAAACCGACTGTTCGAAATTTTCTCGCATATAATTTTTGGGTTAGTTTGATATAAAATTTGTTGTTAAAACTGTTTTTGTAGAATGAGAAAATTCCAAAGTTCGGAAATAATGAGTTTTTATTAAAGGCGCACGCAGGGGGGCACACCGAGAGCATCGAAGCGAAGCGCCGAAAAGGCTATTGGAGCTCCAAATAAACTGGAAATTGTGACAAGCTGGCGCGGAATGACCTATATTACTGAATTTTTTTTTCGATTTTCATGAGACACTTTTAGTCAGAAAAGTATTATTAAAAAATTATGACTTTTTTAACTATGCTTAATCTTATTTTCAGGCCGAGTACGAGCTGGAGGCGACGCGTGCGGTCCTCGATTCCAAAGCGTGGGAGCCTCTCGTCGAAGCAGCCCCTAAAGGGCAATGGGCGTGGCCAGTCTAAGCTCCACCTCCTTTCGAAAAACCTTTCTGTTCTGTAATTTCAATTTGGCGGTTTTTTTTTAGGATGTATGATGTTAGACTATTTGTTTCGCAACGATAAAGAGATTTTTATCAAGTGAAAATGGTGTTTGTTTTCGGAAAATTTGATGAAGATCTCGATTTCTCTCACTATTTCACGTGGTTTTGTGGGTTTCGGCGATGTCGTCAACCGCAGAAATTGGGTATTGATTGCCTTTTTTAGTGTTTCATGAGGTTTTGCAACATTTTTCCAAAAGATTTTCGTTTGAAAGATCCATCTTTATCGTATTTGAAGTTACTTTACATTTTCAAAGGATCTTATAAAGTTAGATTTTGTTCAGTTGACGTTCACCTAAATAAATCTCATTTACCAGAACTTTCTCGTTCCCCTCTAAGGACCACTTTACCTATCCCTATAGGGGCCACTAAAGCTTGCAAAAGTAGCCCCTCTAGGGGTCATGCCACTGGATTATTGCTATGAACTCTATGAGAAGAAGAATTTTTATGCGAAAAACTTGATGAATTAAGGTTTTTGAATGAGAAACATTAACAGAGGATTTTTGAATAAGTTTACTTTTCAGTTTTCGAATCTGAACGAAAATTAATGGTCCCTAAAAGGACCACTTGACCTTCAGAGGTTAGGGCTTTAATCCGTAAAAGGATCTGATGAGGGGCTAACGAAATTTTATCCCGTATAGGGGCATTTTTTTTCCACTGTAGTGTTTGTTATTTTCCCGTAACCCCTATAAAGACCACTCTGGCATTCCTATGATATTCTCACTTTTACTCATTAATAATTGATAAATAACTAATTGACGAAATACACTTCTGAACCAACTATAGCCTCGACATTGTAACATTCGAACACCTTCAGACAAGCGAGATTTCCAAAGTGCAGACAGTTTTCGGCACTCTCTCGTCGATCTTTCTCTCTTACCCATTTTATAACCTCTAATCACTACACTTGCCTTTCCTGCGTCTCCGATTATCTCGAAGACTCTCGTCGCCGTCAGACCGTCGAGTTTTCCCTCGTCTAACGTGACATTTCCCCCTTGCCAATGATATTATCAACTTCTTTTCGGTCTTTTTCATTTTTTTATTTTTTCTGGTATTTTTGCAAATTTTTCGAGTTTGGAAGTTGTTCGGATTAATCTTTGAGATGTTCTCCGATTTTCTGAGATTTTTCAATTATCTTCTATTAAAATTTCTCCAGTGCTTTGAATCTATTTTCACAATATTTACACCCTTTATTGAGCACATAAAGTTTATGTTTTCTAAAATTTGGCACCGTCAATTTGGGTGTTTCACATTATTTTTCTAAATTTTTTGCGATGTTTTCATAATAAAATAAAAAAGTCGTCAAATCTTTATTTTTCATTTTTTGTTCTTGAAATTTTCCAAATTACGGCTAGCTCTTTTCAAAAATTTGTAGGATGGTGTTGGATCCCTTATTTTGCATAATTTTGATAGGAAAGGGCCAGGAAAACGCCTAATTTTTCCATTTTGTGGAAAACTAAGCGTACTCTGAAATTTTTGATAGCTTCTCATTTACACTAAATATCGAAACTATATCGAATTTTCAATGAGAAGTTCGAATTTAAATCTTAGAAATTTTGATCCTCAAATCACCAACTTCAAGTTCACTTTTTTTTCCGAATGAACTATAAAAAATACCAGTTTCTCAGAAAACCTGATTTATGGATTGAGACAAATTACGCGATGTGGCTAAACAGTTGACAACTTATTGCGTAGTTTGTACTATTCCAAAAAATCGCCAACTTATCTGCTGATGAACAGGAAAGTTATGTCCTATCAGTTTTCTATTTTCTCACGTTTCTCTTCGATTCCTCAAAAGTTGCAGGCTGGACTCAGCACCTTTTTGCATGCTTAATTAGTGCTTCTTTTAATAAGAAACGATGTTTCTCGCCCACATCCGCTTGAAAAATTAGTTTCGAAACTTGATTGAGTCTTGTTTCTGTGTTTTAGACGAACTTGGGGTTTCCTGACGCAGAAGAAGCGGAAAAATAATTTTCTTTGATCTCTTCTATGGCTTCTGCTACGTTTGAATTTTTATCCAGTTTTCAAATTACTAGAGTCTTCTTCAAGCCTCAATGTTCAGAGAAAAATTTTGACCGCTTTTTCAAACTCCAAGTATTTTTTTGTTGCGGAAATTCATCTAACTTGTAAGTAAGCTGTCCATTTTTGTGAAAGTTGAATTTTTTTGATCAAAAACTTGCAAAAAAAACGCTAATCGTAATGATATACTAATAACCAGTAGATTAGAAAATAAATTTTGATATGTTTAAAACTCTTCTTCTCAATAAATGTTTCCCTATCTTTGTTAAGAGCTCCATCAGGATTTTCTCTAAGGTGAATAAATAGAAATTCTGAGGTTTCTAATTTTCTAAAATTTCAGTCTTCATGATACAAATCAGGAATTGATTCGATTAGTGAACTTTACGGGTTCCATTCGAAGTCCTTCTCAGATAAAAACTAATTTTGAACAATTTCCAGACACCATTCTCCGACCAAAAACTTGAAATTTCCCAAGTTACCGAGCTTCGAACTTCTCCCCCGGCTTTATTTGCTCTTTTCCTCCCCTGAACTCGGCCAAAAGATGAACCTTGCAGAAACCTCTTCAAAAGTGTGTAGTTTGTGTGTGTTTCTCGTATCTTTTGCTCTTTTCCCACCTGCTCTCTACGCAGTATTTCGCGAAACAGGAAAATAGACTTAATGAAAAAGGTGCCCTTTTGACGGAGACTCGCCACGTGGTTCCTGGAAAATTGGTGTTTTTTTCGGAAGTGTTTTCAAATAAACGGTTTTTTTCATGTTTTTTACTGGAAGATGATTCAAATATACTATTCCTTGCTCTTGAATGAGTTTTTTTCCTTTAAAATTTTTTAAAGCACTCTCCTTTTATCAAGTTTTTTTTCAGCCGATCTTATAATGTCGATCCCACCTGCTTTTACCTGGTGGCGAAGTTTCGTTTCTTTTTTTGTTTTTGGTTTTCAGACTTCATGAAAGGGACAGTTGCCCTTGGAGATGCCTTTTATTTATTTTTCTTTTTCCTTGATTAAAAAAATTTTTCTTTAAAAAGGTTAGAATTACATATAAACTCCCTTTTTCTACATAAGTCTTTGAAAAAATCCCTGTGATAAGCTTTTTTTCGCTCATTGTTTCGTTTTGTATTTATTTTTTTGTTCCTTTTTAATTAATAATTTATTAATTAATATGAATTATTTAATTAATCAATTAGTTTCAGAGCACTGCAGCTTTGCGATGGAGCAGAATCACTTCAATCAGTTAGTTTATTCATTTTTGAATTAGTTCTCATCTGATTTAAAAGAAGCAAATAAATGAAGAAAAAGTTTTCTTAGTTGACTGCTACTTTGAGAAATCTCAGAGGAGATCTTCTGGAAAACTAGCGAAATAGTGTGCAAAACGGAGAGTTTTCAATGTTTCTGACTAGGAAAGTCACTTTGCTTTGATGAAGAGAATTTCTTTAAAACTGACTAGAAAACTCTTGATGCACCAGAAAAAGTTTATGAAATTCACAACCTGCCCAACTTTCTATTTTTTGAGTTATAACGGCTCAAAACCCCAATACAGCCTTTCAACGATATTTGACGGCTTCCTTCGGTTCCAAGACCTTTTTTTCTTGAAAACTAGGAAGTTGGGCAGGTTGAGATTTTCAGAATCTTCAACAGGCATAACAGAAAGTTTTCTGGCCAATTTTCAGGAAAATCCCAACCGCCAAGTGAAATTATCTTTCTTGTAAGTGCTTTTCCCAAGCCCAAGGTCAAAGAAATATACCCTATCCGGATGATTAATTTGTACCTTTTCTTTTCATTTCTCATGAAATATTGACCTGTCTTCAAGCTATTCGAAAAGAAAAGTCAAAGATTGTGACCAAAAGAAGCGTTTTGATAGGTGGGAAAATTGATTGGTTATCGATAAACGATGGACCACCGGATCATTATCAATCTTCGCCTTCTCTGATAACCGGCCTTTTCCCGCTTCTTTTATCGAAAATTCTACTTCTATTTTTTTATTTTGAGAATAAAAAAATTCATTTATATCTTATTTATAAATGTTCTAGAGATCAAAAAAATTGTTTGGTGTAATCGGCTGATTGAGCTTCAGCAAAAATTTGAATTTTTAAATTATTTCTGAAAAGGTTAAGGTATCTTTTTGAATTCTTGAAATTACCGTTATATTAAAGGCGCATACACAGAAAAAAGCCGAGCGCTTCGAAAGGAAGCTTCCCCGAAGAGATTAGTAGCTTGGAGGAATACAAAAATCGTAACAACCTGGCTCGGACTGGACTATTTGAGCTGGTTTCTGATCACACCGTCCCAGGGCCTTTCTTTGAAAGTTACCGAGTCCATATTTGAGTTCGCACTTTACCCGTGTCAACTGTCAACACCGTTACCGTTCAAATTGCATTTATCCACAATTTTTTTCCTTTTTCGGCAACGCCACGTGACGGCTTTTGTGCCGCTGGCCAAAGAACCGCCGAAAGAAAAAAAAACCGGTTTTTTCCTCCCAATTCTCAGTTTTTCCAGTGTTGTTTGGCCTCGAATGTCGTTATTTTGAGTCTCTTTTTCTCGGGCTCTTGCCGAAGTTTCTTTAGATCATGATTAGATTAGTATATGATCGATTGCTCGGGTAGAGTTCGTTTGAATTTACTGAAAGTTCAAAGTTTTCGACTCTTCTTCAGGTTTTCAAGTCTGTTTCAAAGGCGAAATCCTAGCTTTTTGAGTTTTTAATGAGGTATATATTTATCTCAGAACAGTTTTCTACCTTATTTGAAATAAAAAAAGAACTGCTTATAGACGTGACAAGAAATTGATAAGGTTTGATGTTTCGAGGACAAATTTTTCATTTTCTCCACCCAAAAGGTTCATCTCTCATTTTTTTTTTCTTTTCGCTTCACTTTGGCTACACTAGTTCCTCTTATCTGTCGATATTTTTCTTTCGAATCATCAAAATGATCACTTTTTCTCAAAGGTTTGTCATGGAGTTGGTCAAATATCAATGATGTTTGTCATAACTTTTTCCAGTTTAATCTAGTTTTCTATTTTATATTTTATTTTTATGAAGTACAGTTCGTTCGAAATACTTTTTCGAGGTGTTGAAAGGCAACGAAAATGGTTTTTCACATCTTGAACTGAAACAATTTTTATTTTCGTGTATTTAATATACCCATCAATTCAGAAAACAATCTTTTTTTGTTTTCTTGAAAAGATTTTAGGACGACTTTAAAGTTTTCAATGATGACCGTATTGAGCATACTCTAGACTTCGAAAATCCGAATATCTCCTTTTTTCCTGACCTTTTTTTCCATAAACAAATGCTACTTTTTTCACTCCCTGCTCTCACTCGAGTCAGAAATTCCGCGAAAACTCGTCACCTTTTTCCCACTGACATAGAACAAATGAAAAGATATGCAGCTTCGCAGTATAACCTTCTATTCAATTTTTTTTTTGTGCGCCGTTGGACTAATCCTTATTTTATTATAACTTCCCGCCTTGCAATAATCTTGTTGGCTTCGTGGACTTATAAGTCTCTTTTTTCACTTCCTGTGCAGACGTAGAGGCTCTTTGAGAAGTTTTCAAGTAGATCGAAGATCGTCATTCAGATATATGTATTTCTTTTTTTATTCTTGATTTAATAAAACGAAGGACAAGCTTCAAATTACTGCCTGGTAAGGGTACTATTATGAGCAATAATAATGCAACTTCTCTAAATTACGTTCTTGAATATAATTATGGTTCTCCTCTGTAGTTTTCTTTTTTAAAATTCTAGGACTATCTGAAGATTTTTCTCTTTTAGCAGTAAGTGGCAGCTTCGCTACTTTTCAGGACGGTTTTTTTTGAATATTTCCTTTTTCAGCGATCCACTGGCGCCTTCAAAGAAACGTCCGCGGCTGTCGCAGTCTTTCCGCGCCGAATCCATCGAAGCTACAACACCTACGAGCATGGAAACGGCGTCGAGGCGTATGTTTCGAACAAATCCTCAGAATGATCATCAATTACCGAGGAAGATCCCCATTCAATTCCCTTCTTTTTCTTCTTGTTCTGAATTAGTTTTTTCGTCTTATTACTCTAATGAAAATTTTTTTTCAATAACTTTTCAATCGGGAAATCTTGCAAGAGAATTTTTAGAAAATGCTCAAAAATTTTTAAAGTAGTACAAGATATTTTTGAAAGTTTATGTAGGTTCAAACGAAGAATAAAGCAAAACTCACCCTTTTCAAGTTATAACTCCAGGACTTCATCGAATTTTTGAAGATAGTTTCCTTGATATGTCGCTTCTTTTTCGCTGAGATCGACTTTTCACGATTTTCTATGAGCGAAAGTTTGTTAGGCATATTGAGTACGCTTTTCATGTTTTTATTATCAAGAAAGCGCAGCGCGGAAGCAACTTGAGGTCCGACGCGCTGAAACGAGGAATATTCACCTTTTTGCTTCACGAATCTGCAATCATGACGTTTCGAGTGGAGAAGAAACGACTATATCAATTTTTTTTTGTCTTTTGCGTAAAACTGATGAGATTTCGTTCCGATGACGTCGCAATGAATTTATTGCGCCGCCCATCGGGTCGAGACATCGAGGTCTCTCCAATTGACGCAGTAATTGAGCGCTTTGTTTTTTTTTTTTGTAAATCTTATGAGTCCAGAGAAATTTTTTTGTAGGTATTTTGCCCTAAGAGATCATCTGAAAATATCTTTGTAGCTTTTTTTCTTTTATACAATTTTCATTTAGACTTGTCCTAATCTTCAATTATTCTTCTTTTAAAAATGTCTTATTTTTTACGTGTTAAATTTGTAGACAGCAACGAGGAGATGGTGGCGACGTCTTCATTGACCGGAGTCGTCACGGCGGCTGGAGCGGCGGCCATGTCTTCCCTTGGTCATCAACACTCCGTTCAACAGCAACATCAACAGCAGCGCGTTCAGCCGCCGTCCATCGAGTACATCCATCCGAAGGCCGAGAACGGCGCCATCCTCGAGATTCCCACGTCTTCGATGGCTCTTCAAGCTGGTAGCCCTAATAGTTTGTTTTTCCTTCTAACCCTTTGAGTTCTGTTTAAAATCTTCTGTTTTTTCTTCTCAGGCTCTAGATTTCTGTAGTTGATCTGTGCCAGTTCAGTGGAAGATCAAGTTTTAAAAATTAGCTTTCTTAGACAGAGTTTTCAAAAAAAAAATTTTTTTGCCGCTTGCAAAAAAATTTTCATCTATTCCAAATTTTTCTTTATTTCTATTAAATACTTCATTGTTGAAATGCAGTTGATTTTTTTGATCTAATTCGTCACGCTATGTCGAAACGTTTCAGTGCAAAAAGCCGATTATCCAATGCAAATTCTGCTGAAGGGTGACCTTTTTTTAAACTCAATTTTTTATGGAAATTTATAACGCAGCCGCAGTAAGGTCAAATATAACACGAGTTGTTCGGAAAAGATCGATAGGGGCTGCTGAATAATAAATAAGGACAGAAATGAAATAATCACCTGCTGAGAATAGAAAGTTTCGTTTGAAGTTGTTATAATTCGAGTTCTGAAGAACTTTTGAAAAATCCACTCAAAAGCTTAAACTTCTCTATACGATTTTCCCCTTCAAGAGGTTACTGTAACATGTTCAAGGCCGCAACCTTCTCTACGGAAATTGCACGCGAATTTCCGAGTAATTTTAATATTATTTTTTTTTCATTTTTTGTGGAAAATAAACGGTCCCTTTCTATTCTCGTTAAAAACTGTTTTTAATTGGAAAAAAATTATAGAAAAAGGCAAAAAGGTATTCCAGAAATTCATAAGTCAAAAATACCTTTTCAGTTTTTTTAGTTTACCGAATTTTTTTCGTTAAGAGGTATTACGCTTTCTGCGGAGTGGCTGTACACTAGTTACTGTCTGAAAACATGATCTTTATCTATTTCTAGTCTCTTAGTACAAATTTTGGTCACTGTTTAAAAACTTGAATCAGCGTAAAATTTTACACAAAAAGCATATAGACTTTTTTGATTCTCGAAAATTTGAAAAGGGCTTCTAGATAATGTCATTGAACTTTCTTTCTTCATGACGTCATGGTCAGATACCCATTGACCTCAGAAAAACCAGTTCTCGGGAGGTAAAATAGGCGTCTGATGTCATTTTGGAGATTTACAGATTTTTATCTTTTCTGAGGTCATGGCGAAGTTCTTTTATTTTTCCCTCCAACCACTTTACCCTTTTGATAATCAATAAAGTCTTTTATTGATATTTTTGAGGCATGAAATGCCGAGTTTGCGGCGATTCCCGCGCTGGACGTCACTATGGAACGATTGCATGCAACGGATGCAAGGGATTTTTTTAGAAGAAGGTTTTTTTTTAGTTTTTGAAGTTAAAAAAATGAGAGAATAATTTCAAAATAAACTTTAAAACTTCTGAATTAGAATAAAATAACATTATATTTTCGTTATTTAAAAAAAAGAATAGAGGTGTTCGAAGTTGAGAAGTTTGAATATCTTGCAGGCTTTTTTCGAGCTTCGTGTTTTCAATGAAGTTCACAATTTTTCTCAATTTTTCATTTCCTCGATTTTTCATTCGAAAAATTGGGGTCGATTTTCATGACAAAGGAAGAAATAATTTTTTTTTTCAGCATTTGGGAGCAACGAGATTACGTGTGCAGATTTGGCGGCAAATGTCTGATCGTCCAGGAATACCGTAACCGTTGTCGGGCTTGCCGATTAAGGAAATGTTTCAATGTTGGAATGGATGCCAGGGGTTGGTATTTCTGAAAGAAACAAGTTTTTCTAACAGAAATGGAAGAGAGAGCGGTAATTGGTAATAAACTTCACAAAAAATCAGATCTGTGCAGTTAGAATACTTATCAAGTCCCACAAAATGAAAATTGAAGAAAACGAGGGGAATTTCAAATTGTGATGAGAAAATTTGTGACTTCCTGATACATATCTTTTTCCCTGGAAAAGCAGATTTTCTGGAAGTAGTTTCGATTTTTTTGTATAGATGATAAGAAATTCCAAGCTCTACAAAACTTCTTTAAAAAGTTCTGATTGGTAAAAAGTTTGTGCACTCTATGAAAAATATTCAGAAAAGTGAAGAGTTTCCTGAAATAATTCAAAATACTTACAGCGGTCCAATCAGAACGAGACAAGCACAAGAAAAAGCCGAATTCGATGGAAGACGACCTGACGTCGCCATTCCAAGACGTTCCCATGACGTCACCGACGGCTTCGACGTCGTCGGCTGGATGTTCTGCGGCCATGACGACGTCTTCGGCTGATGCTAGGCTTTTTGCTCATCACGTCCCAGGTTCCTTCCTTTTTCAAATTCATCAAAGTTTTTGAAGTCCTAACAGTATTTTTTCATCACCTGAACATAATCTTTCGGAAATTTCAGGGGTTGTGAACCGTTTCAACGTTCCACTGAAAGAAGAAGATGACGAAGTCGTAGAAATTCCCCAAACTGGTCCCTCATCCAGTATCGTGAAGCACCTGTTGAATTTGGTAGGAAGTGTTAATAATCCGAAGAAATTTTGATGTTTAATATCTGTCTTGTGAAATTAGATTGACTTCATTGCTTGAAAAGAAGATATTTGGAAGTTAGAATATAATGAAAAGCTTTCTCCATGGAAAAAATTAAGATTGAGACATCATTTCTAACGTCCGCGAGGTAGTAGGTTCGTGTTCCCCCGAGGTCGACCAAGCCTTTCATTCCTCCGCGGTAGATAAAATTGGAAGCTGCAGGCAGCGAAAAGGCTCAATTTCTGCCATCGGCCTTTGGAAAGCCGGCACCGTACTTCTTCCTACGACCTCTCTTGTACCTTATATCATTTTTAATCTTAAAATGTGATTAAAGGTGCTTTCAAACCGACCCTTCTTATGCGTATAAATTTGAAATTACGAGAAGTGAAACTTAATTTTCATAAGTTTTTAGGATTTATATTCGAAAAAGAGCCTAGAAAGAAATAGAGATCAACACTTGATAGCCAGTCGGTCTAGTCTCTTGGAATGCGATCTCTTTGAAAGATCTTATTAGTCAAATTTGTTCAGTTCTTATTTTTCATTTATTTCATAACAAAAACTTCGCGAGAGTTTTTTTAAGCGCGAAAAAAATTTTTTTAAGATATCCTTTTTCCTGTAAGTTCGAACAGACTCATAGATCTGAAAAATGCTCCAAAAAAATGTCTCTCATTTTTGTTAGTTTTTTACAAACAAAAATTTTTTTATATAATGATTTAAAAAAATGTTTCAGGAAAGAAGGACAGACAATTTGGTAGACGAGGACTGCGACATGATAAGTACCCAGTTCGACAAACTCTGCCGCGTCGACGTCACTATAGAAGCTGCTTTCAATCAACCCGGCTTGGTCGCCAAAAGGACACCGGTTAGATTGGAAAAGATTATTTAAAAAAAAGAACTATTCAAAAAGAAACATCACTTGAAAAAAAACTCTTTTCCTTTTTTCAGATAATTTTTCAAAACCAAGACTAGTCCACTGTAGGAAAAGTTTGAAATGTTGGTCTCAGATTTGAGACTACAGTATTCTTCTTTTCCCGCACATCCAAAGATAAATGTTTATGGTTTGTTCTCGAGACCGATTTGTCTCGTCACGCGATCAGATTCTCTCTTTTTCTTCTCTTTTCACACCCAAAATGGGTCCAATGACGTGATGTCCAAAGATGGTAGCGAGTTCAATGTTCCTTGACTTTTTTTTTGTCGAATCGGAAGTGGTGGCGACCAAAAAGTGATAGCCTTTTGGGGGGTCGTTTTAGATGTGTCTGACAAGTTTTTAGGTTTTGAGGGGCTTATGAGTTTCCGAAATACCAACACTCAATTAATTTTGCTGCTGGCAGGTCTTCTGAAGTGTTTCTAAAATAAATGAATAATTGTAAGATGCAGGTGATCCAACAAAAAAGCTAGTGGAAGGAAAATTTTTTCACTACAAGGAAGGTCATTTTAATTTACAGTTGGAAATTTCCTGAAAATTGACCATACTCTTTGCATTGCCAGAAAAAAAATCCTGGAAGTCTCAACCTGCACAACTTTTCATTTTTTAAAGAAAGAACACCTCAAAGTCGAAGAAAAACTTTAAAAATCCGAAAAAATGGGCCATTCGGTGCTTCAGGTCCTTATTTTTCAAAAAAGTGGACAGCTTGAGTCTTTCATAGTCCTTTCCGAGTACACCAAAGAATGTTCTGGCCAATTTTCTAGGAAGTTATCAACAGTAAAGTAAAGTTACCTTCCTTGTAAGAAACTGTAAATTTATTCAGTAGCTTATAAGTCACAATGAATTTTCAGCCCCGATGGCTTGCCTTGGAGCGTTTGACGACCCTCGAAGACGTCCACATCGCCTGGTGCAGATCATTTGTCCTCTGCCTCGACTGGGCCAAACTCCTCCAAGATTACACCGTAAATACTTCGTTTTTGCTCATTGAAGCTCTTAGAATGATGATCACAGTGATAGATCAAGTAATCATATAACAGCTTGAAAGATTCAGTTGGTTAACCAAAAAAATTGAGGGTTGAAAAAAGCTTCTGGAGTTAAGTTTTGTTAAAATACGGATTTCGCCTTTCAGGATTTTCTGTCTGCGTTTGCAAAGTCAGGACATTTTTTACTTTTTTCTTTCCTAATGTTTTTCTTGAAAATATTTCTGAGGTTGTGAGTTATCGAAAAATGAATTTAAGTCAAAGGCGCATGACCCTTTCCTAGAAGCGACTCTGTAGCCATTTTTGCGAATAACTCTTTCCTGAAACTTGAAAATTTTCGAAAACGGAATTTTTCAGGACCTCACGCCTCCCGATCAATACACGCTACTTCGGAACCGTGTTGTGTCCGTAAATTGGCTATGTCACACGTATAAGGTTGGTTTATCAAGAATAGAACCGAAAAATGGGAATTTTTCCAGACCTACCAAAGCGGTTGCGACGGGGTCGCGTTGGTCAACGGCAGCTGGTATCCGCGCGATAAAAACCTTCAGAAGACTCTCGATCCGGGGTGGGTTTGTGGGTTCAGCTTTGGTATTATAAGCTATTGATTAGATTTCTTCTTCTAGGCTTCCACTAATATTGAAGTTATTTTTTTTTTAGTTAGAGAAGGTGTAAAAAATCATCAGGAATCTGTGGTTAAAAATATCCCTAAAGAAACCTAATTCACGAAAAAAAAACTTTAACTTATTCAGAAAGGACCAAAATTTTCAAAAAATGACTTTTAGGTGCAATCATTATTTCCGGCTCCTGAGCGAACATTTAATGGAAGATTTGGTCGTCCCGATGCGGGAAATGAAGATGGACGATGGAGAATTCGTCCTTCTGAAGGCTCTCATTTTATTCAAAGCTCGTAGGTTTTTTTCATACCTACTTTTTCAAGACTATTCTATAGATTTTCTGCTTATTTTACAGGTCATAGGAAAATTGAACGTTTCAACTCTGTGTTATTATTCAAATTGAATTAATGTAGACGGTCATAATAATAAGGTAAATTGAGGCGTTGATTTCTAAGTATCTTTTCAGCATCCGTGAACTAACAAGGGAATCTTTTTTTAGCCCCTGTTGAAATTTTGATGAAAATTGGTTAAAATTTATTTCAGGACTCCCTGACTCCAAAACAAGAATCAATTTTTCTCAATGGGCCTTGTTTTTCAACTTATAATTCTTGAAAAAAATTCAAAAGAAAAAAACTTTTTTCCAGTATTTGTGTAATTTGCAGATTTAAAAAGGCTCCAGAAACACGATCTATAGCGAGAAAATTTTTTTCCTGGAATTATAAGGTCCTAAAATACATGGCTCCTGATGAAACAAGTCGCCTGGAGCCGGCCCGATCCGTGAAACGGTCAAATTTTCGAAAGAACCATTTTATCCTAATTTATTCAAGTGTCTGTTTTTCATGCACTCTCAACGTTTTTGTTCATTATCAACTTTTAAGTATTATTTTCAGATCGGCGACTATCAGAAGAGGGCAAAATTCACGTAAATCGCGTCAGGGATCGTTATATCGATGCCCTCTACCAACACGTCCAAAACCAACACAAGAACTTCTCCGCCATCGACGTCGCCATGCGAATCAGCCGTCTTTTGTTGCTCTTGCCCAGCATTGAGGTGAATATTTAGGATTCAAATGAATTTTTGGTTCATTGAGGTATAGATATAATGAAGAAAAAGAACTTGAGTGAATTGTTGAATTTTTTGTTATTATTTTTCCAAATATGTGTCGCTTTTCATTGTTTCAATCGTGAAGACTGGATGGTTTTATTTTTAAACTTGCTTCAAATTCTGTTAATTTTCCCTTGTTATAACGTATCCCCTACTACGTCTATAAGCTGATTAGATCTTTTTTTTTCGAATCAAAAACTTTTTTGTTTGCAGTTGTAGAAGCAGACAGACGCTGATAAAAAAAAAAACTGATAAGGCCTGTCAAATAAACTTTTTTCGCGAATATTGAGCTAAAAAATTTGTGTTTTGATAAGAGGATCGTACTATAGAGATTATAGCCTACATTCAATAAATGAGCGAAATATTAGAATGAAACAGTAAAGTGGGGAAATAAACGGAAAAGTTGTGAAAGTTTTTCTTTCGCCAAACGTGTTTTTTCGCAAGAGTTTGAAATATTTAAAATTTAACTTTTTCTGCTGATTTTCCCTCAAAGTACTTCCAAGTTTCCTCTGTACTATCCTGATAAAATGTACGGAATTCCCTGTCTAAATTTCTCGACCTTCTTTGACTCAAGCTCAGGCACAGTCCAGTTTCTCAGAGCCCAATTAAATTTAAACCAAAAGAATTTTGGTTTTTCAGCATTTATCGCAACAAGAAGACGACAACGTTCAGTTCCTGGCGCTGTTCAACTTGGCGAATCTGAACGGCCTTCCCTACGAACTCCATTCTTCGATCAAACAACATCTGCGACACGACGACGACACTCAGGTGAAGCGTGATCCTTTTCAATCACCTTAAAAACATTATAATATCATCTTTCCTGCTTGATTATTTAATAATTTTCGGTTGTATATATGTATTTTTAATTATTTTGGTTTTTTTAATAAATCCTTTTTTTCCAATAGAAAGACGTCAAAGAAAGGCTGGTAATCAGTTCAGTTTTTTGGTAAAAGATGAAGTTTTTCAGACAATAATTAACTTGCTTATGCTAGGATTCAGTTATTGAAAAGATTTTCTTCACTAATCAGAGTGGGTGAAATAAGTCGCTCAATTTTTGGTCTCTGATTCTCAAAAAAGTATTGAATGAAAGCAGATCTGCCTTTTTATTCCCACCTCACAAGGCGCGATCGGAAATTTCAGTCGTTTTCCGACGCCCATGCATGTTTTTTTTTTTTTTCCTTTTCCCACTCGCCCATATCAATAAAAACCGGTTGCAAAATCAAAAATGATGTCCTGAAGCGAAAAAAAAATATTCGTTTTCCTTTCCCTTCCAACGGAATCCATTTTTCGCAGGTCAACGAGGTGACGTCCAACAATTTCGGGGAAGCGATGGCGGCGACTTCCATCGCTCGTTTCGGCGTCAACGACGTCTTGTGACCGGAGAGCAATCCCTTAAGCGACCCCTCACTTCCTTGACTCATCATTGCTCATGCTAGAGATTCCATGAAGCTTATCAATCGTGTAGAAATATTGCACTAGCTTTTTACAACTTATTTGAACTGTTGGAATCGTTCTCAAAAGTTGAAATTGAAACTTAGAAATTTTCACTGGGTTGGAATAGTTCATTCGGTCTTTTCTCACCAGAAATTTGATTTCATTGTTGCTCGTTCGAAATCCTGTTAGTAGTACCAATGTTCTTTTTCTAGCGATTTTCCTAGAGGAAGGCAAAGATGACTAAATAAATTAGCACTCGAAGGAACCCTTAGGAACCTGAGAAACGTGATATTTTTCAGTATCGCTGACTATATCCTTAAGATTATTCTCGTAATTATACTATAGTTATCTTATTCTAATTTTTCTTTATCTCAAAGGAAAAAATATCAATTAGTGTTATGAAAAACTGTACGATGCTCTGAATTTTTTCATTTTCTCAAAGTTCATCCTTCTAGATTGATATTATTAATTAGGTAATTTTTTACAAAGAGTTTATTAATTTTCTCGCTTAGCTTCGCCTTTTTCGTTCTCAAAAAAAATTACCAAAACAAGACATTCCTGACTTCTTTTCCTCATCGTTGAATTGATTTTTCTGTATATTGCTTCTAATTTTAGGCATTGATTTTTTTATTTTTCTTATCTCTGAAATGTTGTCTTAGACTAAAAAAGCATCTGACCTGGATCAATTTTTTTTTCAAAACATTTTTTTTTACTTTTCAATCTGATTTCATTCATCCTGTTTAATGTCAGTTCTTGTTTTACCTAGTATTTGCATCTTCCAAATTCAAATTTCCCATAACCAGATACTTCTATTGTAAATATCGGAGATTTTATCAGTTCCTATGAGCCCAAATAAAATTTTTTTATTAAACTTTCTTTTTTTTTTCTTGAAAAATTTTCATGTTTTTTCTTCCTTTTCCAACGTTGCAAAAGCTTCCAAGTCAATCAAGGACAATTGACATCTGAAAAACTTTTTTCCGATGAACAAAGATAAAAAGAAAAACGTCCTTTAATGGTCCAAGAAGCTCTTTTTGCAAGTTTGGGAAAAAAGAAATATCTACCCTACAAAACGGGCGTTTTTATTGACTATAAAATTGCTACGAACATTTTCAAAGAAAAAATCGAAAAAGTAGGCGGTTTTTAGATTTTGAGACGTTGCAGACGAATCAGAGAGTATGGAGAATGAAGAGACGTTCAGACACGGAAACAAGCTTCAGGTATGATTTTTCTTGTAGCTTCGCTTCGATCTAAACTTTTAGAAGTTAAAAAGGCTGTTATTAAAAAGTATTTTCTTTTTGAAATTGAGCAAAAAGCTCTGTTTCCCTTTTAATTTTCCAGGAGGAATAAAAAATTAAGCCGAGTTTCGGAAGTTTTTTGATATTCGAGCTATTGTGAAACTCTATTTTCAAAATTCAAGCCTGCTTGTTTTTCATTCGAAATTAACAGAAACACTTTTAAAAATACGATTTTTGATCTCAAACTCCAAAACTTTGAACCAAATAGGCGAAGAACTTTTGATTGACACCTGAAAACTCTTTGATAAATCAGTCGAAAATGCCCAAAACTTGCACTTTAAGGGTCCAAATATTACTTGTCTCTCATTTATTTCTGTTGTCGGGGGCCTTTTGCCGGATGGCACCAGAAAAGAAATGCGCCTCCTCTTCCCAAAAACGGACGAAATGGATGGAAAAGACGAGAAAAGGAAAATGAAAAGGGTGTCCTGAGCATAGGAAAAAGGACACACACAAAAAAGGAACGAACGAAAACGAATAACTGATTGCGGCGTCGACGACCGTTTTCTGTCATTTTTCGCCTGCCTCAAAAAGAAAAAATGGGCAGCGATAAACTTTGCCTCGTTCGCCCCATTTCCATCATTGTTTCGTCTTGTCTCCTTTTCCTGTTATTCCTCTTTTCTGGACACCTCACTCATATTCTCTCCACTTTTTGAGCCGTTCGGGACCCGTTAAGATTATAGCAATTCGGTGGTCTGAACTAGACTCTATTCGGCGCGGGGTTGCGACAAAAATAATACAGAGACTCATAAGCTTCTTCTTTACCCACACTGGTCCGATATAGTCTCAGGACTCTAGTATTATCACAAGCCAGAGTTGAATGAATGAGTTCTAGTTTTTTTTTTCTCAAACGGAGAGCGCTACCACGTGCTCTTCAAATTCGCTGCGCTCCAACCGCTTGGAAAAACTGAAAAGATTTCGAAAGTTCAAGATTTGAATGCGCTAGAGTACAGATTACCGTGGAGGTGTTCAGTTTTCAGATACCATCAATTTTTGTTTTTGGAGAAAATCTAAAGCTTTCTCAGACAGTTTCATCTAGGATATTTCAGAAACGGTCAGCTCTCAGGAATTTTTTTGAGTTCATCATGAAGGACGTTCACAATAACGACACTGTTTTCTCTGATTATCGCGGATAGTTATGAAAAAAGTCAAGGGAAGTCATCTTTCTATCATAAACCATTGAGTTTCATTTCATTTATCCAGTTAATTAAAGTTTTTTGGACCCTAAAAATCTCAACCACGTAAGAACTCAACTTAAGTGACCTATCAACTCCCTTTAAACTCTTGAAAATCGGAGGGATTTTTGAAAGGCGTGAAATGTTTGACTGTGCCGATAAATTCATTTGAAAAAAAGTTTGATTTTTTTGGTATTTCAAAATGAGCTTTCGAATTTGTCAACAGCAGTGCAAGCGAAAAAGTTTTATTCACTTTGAAAAAAGTTAAACTTAAGCTCGAACTTGTTATTTTCATTCTAATATTTTTTAGAAATAATTTTTCGAGATTTTGATCTTTATTTTTTTGTCTGTGCAGTGCAATATTATTCCACAAACGTTACCTTTTTTTGAACAACTATCTTCTTTTTTTGGAGTTAAAATTTCAAACTTTCATGGTTTTCATGAAATTCAAGATAATATTCAAGAACCTCCAAAAAAATTTCACATTCTTAGTTTGTTTACCTCACTATTTATAGATAATCATGATGTGTGTTTTTGAGATTTCCATGAGAAAAAATTAGAAAAAAATTGTTTTTTTTCTTGAAATTGCGTTTCATTTTATTCAGCAAGAAAAGTTCACTAGAAACTATTAGAAAACAGGTTTCGATCGGATAAGTTATTTCAAGACTTCTGAGTTTTCGAAAGCCTCCGAATTGATTTTTAAACTGACTTTTTCATTTATCACGTTTGGAGAGTTTTTAATTTCAGATGAGATAATGAACATGGCGCAACGCATGTGTTCTTGATCATCAGTTCAACGAAACGATTTCAATCCTCGCCATTACTTTTTTGGCCTTTCTCGAGCTAATCACATTATCCTAATGTTTTTGAAATGATCCGATCGAAACACTTGGAATAATTTTGCAAAATGCAAAAATTGCCGCATGACCGTCTTATGATATTCACAAGGCGTGACGCATATTGCCGAGCCTTTTGTTCGATTTTCTCCGTTCTTTCCGGTCGCGCTTCTTTTTTCCTTGTTCCTACAGTTGATTGCACGTGTTCCGCTTCATTTTTCGATTTGAATTTCTGGAAATGCACTGATTCTCTTCTTAAAAAGACTCCTTGATCTTCCTTTTTTCAGATTTAATTATAAATAATGTCAGGTGTGGCCATATCTTTGAATTCACTCGAGTCGATAAGTTCCATCAAGGAATCAGTAGAGTTGAAGTTTGTATCCAACCGCAACGCGGCGCCGCAGCGCTGATGACGATTGTGGCTCAATTGATTTATGAATGGCCGAATAGTTCTCCAGAAATAGTCTGGAAAATAGTTCACACACTTGTTTACATATATTTTCAGACGTTTCGAAAATATTTCTGTTTTGTTGATGCATGTTTATTTATTTGTTCTCAACAGGATTTTTGGATATTTCTTGATTTAGGCTTGGGAGATTATAAAATAATTTCATTCAAGATAACTGTTCTCTTCAATAATTTATTTTCAAATATTTGAGACGAAATCATACCAACTTTATATGTTTGAAATTAATTTCATTCCGACTCATGAAATTCTTCACGAAGCTTTCACAGCACTTAAGAGTTGCAAAGTCCAATATTCCGCCATATAATCGATTTCATTTCCCGACGCTCCAAAAAAACCACCCATAAATAAAAAAAATCACGATCAAAAGCTTGTCTGTCCCTTTCACCGCATAATAAACGTCTATTTCAACTTCAAAGTACATACTTTTGCCCTTTTTCCGAGGCATTTTTCCCATTGCCTCCACTTTTTGTTTCTTTATGCAAAACCAGCCATTTTCTCGTCGTTGGACGTTATTTCTGGACCACCCTAGGTTTTTTTCCAACTTTCTTGTTGAGGAAGTCGGATTAATTAAACAACCTTTTCATTAAAAGGCCGTCAGACACGTTGGTCTTCCCGTCTTACGGTCGTCCTCCTGGGGCAATATGACTGAGCTTCCACTCATTTCAAAGTTTCAACGAGCATTTTTCAACATTTCCATAAGCAGCCACAATGTGAATAAACAATGAAATTAATCAGTTCTAATCACTTTTCCGGGAACGAGCGGGTTTTTTTTTCAAAGTTTTACCGCGTGTTCTTTTCTTTCGCTGCGCATCAACTGCTTGGAGAAAAAGAAGAGATTTTGAAACTTTCATCAGTATACACCGAAACTTACAGAGTTTCATCATTTTTTCATTTTTTTCTTATTTTTTTCATTTCTTCTCAATAAAAAAATTCTCGTAGAAAATGAAAAAAATTTGATTACGTATCCAGTCAGAATCACTGCGCATCGACTGCTTCGAAAAAAATTTGAGATTCCGAAATTTTTTTATCAGTGAACACCAAGAATTTTTTTCAAGTTTCATAATTTCTTTTTTTCGAAATTTTTCTTCACGAACCTTCTAAATGACTGCGCATCAACTGGCAAACTTTTTTTCAGGTTTTTCAACCATTTTTTTATAATAAAAAAAGTGTTACAAAGCGTTTGATTTCGTAAGAGAAAACTTACTTAAAAAAATTTAATATACTTTTTTTAGTTTCGCTGCGCATCAACTTTCCCTGTTCTTCTATACTGGAACTTCCTGATAGAAATGGTAAACTGGGTTAAAAAATATTCTTAGTCACATCCATCGTCTTCGCTTTGTACTCCATTTTTATTTTCATTTTTTATTCTCATTTTTATTCCAGTCTAGTCAAACTAAAAAGTTCGATGCGAAGCGGAAAAAAACAATTTATACGCGACAAAAGTTTCTACAGTAACCCACAATTTTTCCAATCAAAGAAAAAAGATAGAAAAGGACAAGTGGGAAAATTGTTCGAGGCGCTGAAAAAAAAGGCCGAAAATCGTCTCGCGCCAATCTTCTATGATTTTTTCTCATTTTCTGCCAGTTTCGGTCTGGAAAAATTCTTCTCTTTTACAATTCATACACTTTTTTTCGCATATTTAGATAGTTTCCTTATTGGATAAATTAATATTTTAGAGCCTTCAAATTCTCTCTTATATCAGCCTTTTTTTCAATCTCGCTGAGTGTCCCTATAATTATTTTAGGCACTGAATTTCGAATGACTCGATTATGGTTATTAATATCTTATTAGAAATGCAAAGAGGTTTTTTTTCTCATTTCCCGGGAATAAATTAATTATGAAATTAATTCCAGACCAGACCTGCGACAGATTGCTCAATTTCTGCTTTTTATTATCCAATAAATTTGGAGATGATTTTTTTCGCGGAAGTGATTTTTTTAAAAAAATTTGGTCTTTGAATTCCTAATTTGATTTTTTTCGTAGGTTCAATCCTGAATATACTAATGTCTTCTCAGGGAAAAATTTTTAACTAGATTTAAAATAATGACAAAAAAAGTTCACGTTTTTCGCTAGCTTCAGTCATTTTCGGTTAAAAGAAGGCGGGATAAGAATTGAATGAAAACTTTTTTTACATTTACATCGACCATTTATGGCCATGGATATTTCCACGTTGGCAATTTCCGCCACCCGAAATTCTTTTTTTAAATAATAACTGCCACCGTAGTTCTCACCAGCCAATTTTTCGCCCCTTTCGGCTGGAGACCGTGTGAGGTCTGTTCACACTTTTTTGCTCCTTCTGACAAGGTTCCTATGGGAAATGAAAGTGGACAAAAAAGTGTGTGGAAAATGCCGGGATATCACGCTTTTCATTAGTTTGTTTTGTATGTCTGGCGTAGGTCGATAGGTTCCATTTCTCGCGTGAAACTTGGCGATTAGCGACTGGGAGGTCTGTCTTTCTTTTAATTTGTTTCGAGTACTGTAGAAAACCTATAAAAGGCCGTTCCATACCTGAGTTCCACTAAGTTTTTCTTCGAACCTCCCCGACTGGAATTTTTAATTTTAATTCTTATTTTTTTTTCTCGAATATTCAGTTAAATCCACTTAGAAATGTCTCGATTTTTTTTTACTGTGATTGAAGAAGAGTTTTCATAGATTTTTCGTTTTAATGCTCCGAAAATCAACACTTGATCTTCATTCCCATTTAGGCCTCACACAAATTCAAAAAAAGGGCTTTTGAGTTCAAAATTCCATTCTTTTGGCGCTTGTATGAAAAGCCTCACTACTGGGGAAAATGGATTTAAATTCCCAGAAAAAATTGCAGAAAAGTTGCCCCATGGACAAATGCATCGTCATCTCTAGAGTTTTTCCCTCCGAATTTTCTTTTTTATATTTCTCTCCTGTATTCGAGACTCCTCTCTTTTGCATAAGACCATGAAAATACAGATTTGAATTTCATCAAAAAAGAGACTCGAAGATGGTTTTAACCTTAAAAATTGGGGAAAAAAACCTCCTTTTATACGCGAGAAGCTAAAAATTATTTCCAGAGCTTGAAGGTTCAATTTGAGCTCCGTTCTTTCAATTTTTCCTGAAAAAAAAATGTGGAATCCAGTCTTTAGAGCTCCTTTTTTTTTTCTTCTACAACAACCTTAAGCCTCGAAATCTTCCTCTGCACGAAATAAGACGTAAAATTGGGACCAACATAAATATTGCCAAATTCATGCTTTCTATCTCTCCCTCTTCAATTATCCCTTCATTTCGCCCAAACGACAACCATCATTCCTACCAAAAACACGTATAGATGTCCAATTTAGGTCCCAACAATTTGCAGAAAGAAAAAAAAACACAGAAAAAAAAAGAAGAAGAAGAAGAAGAAGACGAATTAAGGGGCGGTGCAAAGAGGGTAAAGCAGATAAAACACCCAGAGCTTATTGATTCTCTCCTGGAACCTCTCTTCTCTCTCCCTCTCTCGTCCAAGGAACACGACAAACGAACAGCAAAAAAAAAAAGAAAAAAGAAAAAAAAAACGAACAGGGAGGCGGAACCTTTCCTTTTTTGCTTTTATGTTTTACCTTTTTCGTCGTTGTTGCTCGAGGAGTAGCTATTCAGTTGGCGGTTTCGAAGCAGAAGAATGAAGACGTCGACGCCGCCGTCGAACTTCGACCAGAAGACGTGCCTCGTCTGTGGAGATGCTCGAGCCAGCCGCCACTACGGCACCATCGCCTGCAACGGCTGCAAAGGCTTCTTCCGTCGCAGGTCAGCTTGGTTACTGTAGATACGAGTACTGTAGTTTCGAAGGCTAGACCTCTTTTTTTTTTAGATAGAATCGAATAGTTAGGGTGATTTTAGGCTACAGTAATCCTTAGGGAACGCTCCTGGTGGTCACTTTGGTTTCCTTTGCCACTTCGACTTGTTTAAGCTAGAATGGATTACTGTAGCCTTGCAAGCAAGAATCCTTCGGGATGTAGTGATGGTGTATTTTAGATGGGCATTCAAGTATACAGTATACAGTCTCTCAAGTTCAATAAAGTCAATATGACTTTTCAATTTCCTGTTTGGCTTCAAGGTTGATGAAAAGAAATTGTAAATTATAGTATACTTACAGAAAGAGTTCCTTTGAGATTACTGTAGAGTTTGGTACTGTTCTTCGCAGAGGATAAGATCTAAAGAGATAGAAGAATAGAGAGAAAAAGGCCGCAGTTCGAACTCTGTACTGTTCAGTCTAAGGTTACTGTAGTCAGAAGGCAAGATATCTGTCTGATCTGATAAGTGTTTTGAGAATAGTTTCACGCTGCAGGTGTTGTTCGGAGAATCATTTTATCATTCTAATTTGGAAACTCTGAGGTTACTGTCACACGAGGGTTACTGTATCCGTTTTCTGAGAAACTTACAAATGTACTCAGTTTTTTAAAGATCTGGTGCGGGCAGTTTGTACTTTATTCAACAACAAAAGAAAAGTAAAATACATCTCAAAAATAAAATAAACTATAAATTGTTACTTTTTCCATACTTTTTGTAGTATGGATGCGTCAAGGTTTTGGTAGACGATTTAACGTCATGAAAATGTGTTTTTTTCTATCAGAAGTGTTGCCTTTTTCATTTTTTTGCAAAAAAACTGATAGAAAAAAATTGTGAGAGTACAATTTTGATTGTTCATTAGTCAGCTGTATTTTTTTCGGAAGTTGGAAAATATTGAAAAGAAGGAATAAAATTTGACCTGAAAAAAATTTGTCATTTAATCAATGCAAACCATGGCGCGAAAACCGATGACAAAATGATTATTCTCATCTTTTCTGTCATAACACAAAAGTTAGGGATCTGCTTTCAATTTACACCTCACAAGCTTTTCTGGTGAGAAGATGGTATAGTCGATTCACGGCTGGCCTGAGCATCGCAAAAAGGGTCCTGACACGATAAAGGAAAAGAATCCTCATTAGTAGAGAGAACCCCTTTTAGCACCCCAATCTATCCGTGAATCGGCTATATGATTCCAACTCTTTTCAGTGTTTGGGAGCACCGTAACTACAAATGCGCGTTCCACTCGAAATGCGACGTCCTGCAGCAGTTCCGCAACCGTTGCCGCGCCTGTCGCCTCGCCAAATGCTTCCGCGTCGGAATGGACGCTCGATGTATGATATCATTATGAGAGGCGGTCAATTAACATTTCCAATCAAAATATCATAGAAATAAATTTATGGGTGATTTATCTTATTAAAATGATTCACAGGTGTGGGTATAAGAAAAAGTTTGAATTATTTTGGAAAAAAAAATAGCTTCTCTTAATTTAACATCGCTCGAGATTGGATTAATTTTCCTTGAAAGTTTTCCTCTCTCACTCATTGACAACGACTTCCAGCTGTTCAATCTGAACGCGACAAACCATTCGAAGATGGTCCGAAGGGCAAAAAAAAGCTTCTGCTCCAACAACAGCAGCATCAACAGCAACAGCAACAGCAGCAACTGCAACTACATCAGGCCTGGAACTACGGCTACAGTACCCAAGGTTCATTTTCGAACCAAAAATAGAAAGGAAATAAGGATATGTTCGTGTCAAGCAACCATGCACTTTCTTTCCCAATCAAATAGAAAAGATCGTTTCAGTGCCCATGAAAATGGAGGACTATTCTTCGCGTTGCAGCTCTCACTCCTCCTCTGAAACGGAACATTCGAGTATCGTACTCGAGCTCCTTTTTATAGTTATGGCTTTGTTTTTAATTGGTTGAAATAATGGGAACCCAAAGGTTATAATTATTCGGAAACACGCAAAGGTACAAAAATAAAATATCACATGACGTGAAGTGCGTGTGGGAACTATGTAAAAGCTTAGAATTTAAAAAAATAGATTTGAACTTTCGGGTTGTGCAAGGTTCCGCAATTGTGAGATCCTAGTTTTTTTTTTTGTTTTATTTTTTTTATTAAGAGCATTCCGCAGTGATAGAGAACTACAAAAAAAGGTATTTTGCAAAGGTGCAAACAGGATTTCATCGAAAAAACTCAAAATATCATTGAGATATCAAATATATTCTAGTGAACTCTCAAAAAAACTCTATTTTTAGTTTTAGCTATTTAAATCGTATCACATTTAGGAATATCAAAAAAAAACTGTGCTTATTGGAAAAAAAACTGATAATCGACCTGAAACAGTCTCATTAAAAAAAAGGTTTTTTTGTAATTTTTCGAATTTTCAAAATTTTCGCTAGTAATTCCAGCGGAAGAACCTAAGCCAACAACTTTTTTTCCAAGGAATCTTTTTTTCTAACTGAACGTTTCTCTGCAGGAACACACGGTGCTGAACCTGGTGGAACAGGACGAGGACCTGAGCAAGGTTTTCGAGCAAAAATGCCGCGTCGACGTCAGCCTCGCTGAGGCGTTCACCAACCCGAATATCGTCGCTCGACGAACTCCCGTCCGTCTACTTTTTTTTTTCGTCTTTCCTTTTTTTCCCATTTCATTTATGCTTTGCGAACTTGTTGCGTGGGAACGCTTCAACGGCTTCCGAGTACTTGGAAGTAGGAAAAAAGGCAAAAAAGTGTGTGTGGGGACCTACCGCCGCGGGAAAAGTCTTGTCTCGGCGGCGTGCGAACTTCTTTGCAGCAATAAAAATGTCGAACGTGTGTATAACAAGGGAATTTCCTACTAACAGGGAGGTATTTTTAGTCCGAAGTCTGGAATTTTCCAAATATTCGCTCAAGGCATAATTTACCAACCTTCTTCATTAGGCTCTGAACTTGAGAGAAAAATATGACTTTAAAAAATACTTATAAGAGCTTTTGCAGTGATAAAGCAGTTTTGCAAGTTTTTGAAAGAAAAAAGATTTTTTCCAGTTGCAATGGGGCACGTTTGCGCGATTGGCCTCGTTGCCGGATTTGCACATAACTTGGTGCCGGGCCTTCGTTTTGTACTGCGATTGGCTTTCCTGCTTCCAGGATTACAGGGTTCGTTTTCGAGAAGAGAATGAAAAAAAGTAACTTTGTAGGAGTTTTGCCGCCACGATCAATACACGCTTTTCCGGAACGGCTTCGTTCCAATCAGCTGGATGTTCCATGCCTACAAGGTTATAGGATCAACGAAAGAGAAACAGTGAACTAAATGAGGACGAATAGAAGGAAGAAGCTCGTTTTGGAAATTTCAAAAAAGATTGAATTATTGATAAAGGATTGTCCAATTTCCTTAAAAAAATTTATCAGCTTTCAAGTTTCCGAGCTTTTTCTTCCGCTTATAGTTTTTTTATAAAAAAATTTGAACAAGACTTCAGTTTTTTTCTGTGAAAAAAATAAACTTGAAAAAAAGCACATTTAATCAAAAAAAGGATCTAAAAATTTGGATCTTTTTCTTAAAATTCGACCTAAATTGGTAGATTATTTTGGAAACGTATTTGTTTCAGTCCTATGAATACGGCTGTGATGGCGTGACGTTCGCCAACGATTGCTGGTACCCGAGGGACATTGATCTCCAGGATAAGATCGATAAAGAGTGAGAACTGATCGATAATCGACTGATAAAAGGATATGATAATCCAGAGTCAACGAGTACTACTCGCATCTCACCGACCACTACATCCACGAAGTTGTCGACGAGATGCGACGATTGAAAATGACCGAGGCCGAGTATTGCCTTCTCAAGGCGATCATCATTTACAAGCCAGGTTGCGGCGAGAAAAAGGAGATTTTCGAAAGAAGAGTCCCTTTCAGACCACGCGTTGACCCTCGAGGGCAACACGATGACGATCCGTCTGCGGGAGAAGTACAGCAACTCTTTGAGCGAGTTGGTTCAAAGGGCGACGCCTTCTAAACAAGCCGCGTTGGAGCGCATCTCTTCCATGATGTTGCTCCTGCCAGCCATCGAGGTGCGAAGGATTATAAAACATTGTTTCGGGATAGATAAAAAGTCGGAAGACTCTTAATTTCGATAACCATTTTAATTTGAAAGTTTTCCAGGGTCTCGTCCGGAAAGAGGACGACAACGTCCAGTTTCTTGCCATTTTCGACATGGCCAACCTGAACGGCCTTCCCTACGAAATCCACACTTCGGCTGAACGCCTTTCTTTCTTCTGAATCCACCTTTTATGATTATACTGATTGTTTGAATATATGTCTTCTGTGGGCAAATTAGGCTTGGCTTATTCTGTTTTTTTTTTCTGATTCATTGCTACAGTTCAAATAATTTTTCATCACGCCCATGCCTCAATTCGAAGAAAAAATCTTATTGTTGTTTTTTTTAGTTCTTCTAATTTTTCACTTGGCTGGATTCCTGGAATACTAGTGAGAGAAAAGGTCAAGAACCACCAGAAAGGCTAGAGACTATGCAAATTGGAGAGAGAAAAAGACACCAAGAAGGTATGCATCTTCGTGTCTCCGCCTTTTCCACACTATCTATTTTCCAATTTTTCCGCTTCTAGTTTTTTTTTCTAATCTGCTTTTATCTTTTTCATTCACCGTAGAATACATGGGTAGAGCCTCAGTACAGTACTTGCACAAGTTTCTCTTACAGTAATCTTATGATATTCAATTTTATTCAATCTTTTTTCCCTTTTCAATATCCTTATCGTTGTAGCTATACATATTCCGCTTTAGCATACAGTACCCTTTGTTATATGGGTAGACTAGACCGTCGTACAATACGGTGCCTGCACAATTTCCTCTTACCGTAACCATGAATTGTTCTAGCTGTTTTATCGTCACATCGGGAGATCTTTTGTGATAGACTTTTTTTTTCCTCGCTAGTTTCACTTCTTGATAGTTCTTTTTGCTTCAAATTTCATAATAAATGTTAATTTTTCATTTTTACGCGTGCGGTCTATCGGTTGAACTATTGCCGATTGATATTTTTATTTTTAGGCCTGTTACTTTTTTTAATTTGTTGATTTCAGACATTTGGAAATGGGCGGAATGTACTGGCACGCAGGTGAGTTTCGAAAAGCACGAGTTGAAAAAGCTCAAATAATTTCTTTCAGTGGATGCGTCTTGCCGAGTTTGCGGCGATCCGAATGGAAAACGGCACTATGGTGCTCTGTCGTGCAACGGATGCAAGGGATTCTTCAGACGCAGGTGGGTACTGTAGATAGTTTCAGAGTACGGTAGGTCGTAGAGAACTTAGGGGAAAAGCTAGAGACATCAGAGCAAACCAACAAGTTCAACATGGTTTTTCGACTCGAAGCTGAATATATAATTGGATTACATAGTAATTTTTAGTAGATACCGGTAGTTGAAGAACCATGATAATTCATTTCAATTCATTTATTTGAAATGAAAATAATAAATAAATGAGTCAGTGTTTTTTGAAGAGTAATGTACGTTACAGACAGAATTCATCAGGTGAAACCTCTCGAGACACCTTGATACATTCTCGAGAACTACGAAGGGTTGGAAACCAATAAAAAGGTCTTTTCCAGTGTCTGGGAGCGTCGTACCTACACGTGCAGCTTCGACGATAACTGCGTCATCGAGTACAAATACCGTAACCGCTGCAGAGCCTGTCGCTTCCGTCGTTGCTTCGAGATCGGCATGGACGTCAATGGTGACAGTATCTCTTCTTGACCTTCGAATGAAGGATCTTGCAGCCGTCCGAAGCGAACGAGCCAAGAAAGACTGCTTCGTCCATCCCTACCAAGTCATGAAGTACGAACCGGACTCCAGTGAAGGTTCGTTTTCGTATCTTTCTTTCAGAGTTTTTCCAAGGGTTGAAAGGAAGTTCAAAATATTCATTAGTTCTTACCCTTATTCTTCTAGATTGAATTTCAGATTTCAATCTCTTTTTCAATTCCATTTCAACGTGAAAGAGTTCTCGCCTCCTGGAATCAATTTTTTTGAATTTTTGTGTTTAAAGAAAAATCGTGCAAGTTAAAACTTCCAGAATCTTCACCTGGCTCATCAAGTGTCCTGGCCAATTTTTAATAAAATCCCTACAAAAGAAAAACGATGTTCCTTGTCAGCTTCTTGGTTGTTTCAGACTTTCAAGAGAAATATTATTTTCAACAGCTCACCTTTACCGATTCCAGAAGCCGAAGACGAGTTTCCTCCGATCGAGACTGGCCTCTACACCTACACGAACACTCGCGGAATCCTCAACGAACTTCTCAGGTCGGAAAACCTGGTGATGAACTGGATCGACGAAATCGACGAGAACAAGCCGATCTTCAATCTGATCACCGACTTCGAAAAGGCCATCAATACGCCGACGATCGTCTGTCAGAGGACCAAGGTCTGGGAAGAAGATTTTGACAGATGAAAATGGGAGTTGCAGTTGAACTGGGACCAGCCGAACCGACCTCTGCTGACCGCCGATTCCTTGCGTTTCAACTGGTGTCGCACCTTCACTCTGACCGTCGATTGGTTCAACACGCTACCTGAGATGAAGGTAACTTTGGTCAGATCTTTGAATGTCTGGAATCTCTTCAGGCTCTCTCGCTTGCCTCTAAAAATTTTAATAATTTTAATCTTGTTTCCTACAGATTCACAAAAGCAGAAATGAAAGTAATATTGCAGCAACTGAGCATGGCGGACAAGATAATGATGGTCCGGCAGAACCTGATGCCGGTCGGATGGCTTTGGCACGGCTACAAGGCCTGCGAGCTCAAGTCCTCCGGGATCATCTTCGTCGACGGCAGCTGGTATCCCCGTGACAAGCAGATCCAGAAGAAGATCCCCGCCACGTGAGCTGCAGCTGCAGTTCCCCCTCAAGTGAAAGTTTCAGGGGCACGTTCAGCTGCAACTTCTACTACTCCACCATCACCGACGCGTTCATGCACGAAATAGTTCACGAGATGCGGCGAATCAACGTCGATGAAACCGAGCTTTGTCTGCTCAAGGCGATCCTCTACCTGAAACCTGGTCAGTTCTGAAGATCTCGAAGTGGAGAAATTGGCATACTTTCAATCATTTTTCTTGAATCGGTGATCTATCAATCCAAAAATTTTCAATAACGTCAGAGTGGTCACTATAGGGATGAGGGGAAAAGCCCTTATAGTGGACGAAATTGAGCTACCTTAAGCTTTTGCAACCTTTAGTGCCCCTCAGGGTGTGGTAAAGGGCACCTTGAATGGAATTGACAGGATCCCTTGAGGTTACCACTCTAGGAACCACTGAAGTTACTAAGTAATTCTTTCGGAGGTAAATTCGTTTACCTTTTCACTCGAAATTGGTAAAGGACTCGAACTTGCTCTTCAGAACTTTATCTTTCATACATGAAGATTTTTCGAACTAATGTGCGATATTAGGCCGTTTACCATTCCTGTGTAAACACGATAAATGCTTTTACGATTTTCTCGCATTACAATCCGAGTTCTCTCTCAAAAGAAAGAAACATTGTCACATCTCCTGATTTTTCGAAATTCCAGATCATCGTCTGACCAAAGAAGGCAACGACTTGGTGACTCGAGGCCGCGACAAGTACAAGCGTACTTTGAATGACTATCTCATGCAGAAGTGCTGCAACGACTACATTGCCTGCGCCGGTCGTCTCTCCAAACTCATGGCTTTCTTGCCTGTTTCAGAGGTTTTTCATTGAAAAAAAAAATTTTCCTGACTCTAGTTTCTTTTTTTTATTAGTACAATAATTCAGATCTTTTCGTGTTTAAAACCGATCAAAATCATACTTAATAGGAATCAAAATGAAGTTTGAATTATTTTCCAAACTTAAAATAGCTGTTTCATAACTTTGGATACCTTCATGTTTTCCAAAGTCCTTCTACAAAGTTAATCTGATTTTTCTGCGTTCAACTTTTTCATGTCAGCGATCTCTTGGAACCAATGAAAACCCAACGTAAACTTTCTTCCATTTGAAAATACCTTTCGAAAACTTTAGCGATAGAATAAGATCTTCAAAAAATTTCCAGAAACTCGGCCGCTTCGAAGACGACAGCGCCGTTCTCTTCTCAATGCTCCACAAGGACTTTGGCGCCCTTCCATTCGAAGTTCACTCCAAACACCCGACCAAAAGAAAGCGTCCCGAGGAGCTCCAGTTGGAACTCCAACAACAACTTCTGCACCGACATCAACTCGCTTTGCAATAACTTCTCGAAATCCTTGATGAATTCGCTCGATCTCTTCTAATGTAGTATATTCGAGCAAATTCTGAAACAGCGTTCAAAGGCACAAGAAAAGCTTTCAAGCCTTTGGAAGTCCTTCGGAATTTGTTTTAATATAATCTTTTTGGAATTTTTGCTGGGAGGCACACAAGTCACGCTCGGAATAATTGTGAAGTCAGACTTAGCTCCTTCGAAATACAGCAACGATTCCTGAACAGATACACTATCGAAAACCTGGCCAAAAGCTGATAGCAAATAACTTCACAGAATCCAAAAAAAAAAATTGTAGAAAAACTGTTCGGCCAGCACCTCACGTACATATATTTAGACCTATTTATTTGTTTTAATCCAATTTGTTCTCGTGGAGTTGGAACGACCGCACTCGGAATGGATAATTCCAACTCGGCGCAGAAAAATCACTAAATTATTCTAATAATGCACATATCGCTAGAACCGGTTAACTTATACGCACGTTTTTTTATTCATTTTGTACTAATCGATCAATTTGGATGAAAAACAATAAAGTTGGAATGTTAGTCATACAAAAAAAAGGGGATTAAAAAGATATGATATCATACATAAGCGATATAGTTTTTCGTAGAGAAAGGCGATTTTTTCGAAAGGCACGGAGATGGTGAAACGATTTCGGAATCAATTCCTCTCAGCCATAAACTTTTCAAGACCTTTTTTCTGCGAGAAATAAAAGGCGATCCGGTCGCGAGCGTAGGCTTTGTAGTCGAACTCAATGGAGGATTCCTGAAAAAGTAATCAATAGATATAGGAATGATGTTTATATCGAACCTCCGCATTGATCAGCGCCCAGCAGGACCAGAAAATATTTGAAACCGGCATGAAAAGTACAGTTTCCTGTTTCAACCGATACAGGTCTTTGGACCGATCGCCGGTGACCAAATCCGACGGAAAATGCGGGTTCTCTCCAGAATCTCTCAGCTGAAAAATGTTGTTATCGAGACTTTTTGAATCTTAGAACTCATGAAAGAAAAAATGATTTTTCAAACAGATATCAACAAACCTGATAAACTTCTTCCAAATACGCTTCGCAAAACAATTCTCGTTCCTTTTCAACTTTGAAATATTCTTGATGAATCTGAAAACGCGCTTTTCACTATTTTCCAATTTCAAAATTAAGAGCCAAATTTCGTAAACAATATACAATACAATATTTATTGGTTGTTTTAGTCAGATGGTATCGACTAGGCGGTGAAAAAAATTGCTCTTTTGAGCGGCACTAACACCGCCTTTGGCGAAAAAAAGAAGTCAAAACGTGTAGTCGATTGAATTGAAAGCATGATCTTACGGTCCTTCGCCTCGTTCTTCCACAAGTTGATCCCTCAGTTTCGCTTGTACGGGCACGGCGATGATGGTGGGGCTCGGGCACGGACTCCGTGTACACTCTAGGGTAGCCTCGGCCGACTGAGAGAGCTACCACTTCGAGTGAAGAAAATACACGGAATGAAGAAAATACACGGAATAAACGATTTAATTTTTTTCAATATTATATTTCGTTTTTTCAACGAAATCTCGTTCAAGTTTTTCTTTTTTTCTTTTTGAAATTATTCATTTATTAAAACCAACCGTATAATTTGGCGACTCCTCGACGCTATAATCATATCCATACTCGCAGAAATGATTTCCAAGGTCGAAGCCTCTGAAAACCGGAAAATGTGATAGAAACGCGATAATATCAATCTACCTGTAGTTATAACTACAATACTCGAAATCGATAAGAGTCAGAGGCTCCTCGATATTTTCGTAACCGTCCCCGGCCACAACTTTCCCGTCTTCTTTCACCTCATAGCCATCCATTAGCAAAATATTGCCTTCCTAAAAAGACTCTAAGAAATAACATATTGATTAGAAATTTCATAAGGCTTATATAGAAAATATTACAATCCTAATACATTTTCAGAATGAGAAAAACGATCTAAAGAACAATTCCTACTAAATCCATTCCAACCTGCAGATCATTGTGGGAAAAGACGACTGGACTGCCGCTGGCCTCGAGGAAAGATTCGACAAAATCGAGCTCCTTTTCTAGATCATCGACGGTCAAGGTTTTGGGGTACTGGAAATTCTCCTCAAACTCATTTCGAAGATCTCAAAAGCACCTCAGACTCTTCCAATTTGGCCTTGGTCAAGTAGAGTTCGATGGGAGAAAGTGAGGCTCTGGTCTGTCGGAACCTTTTCAGCCAACTTCTCGCCGTGTCCATGATTGAGGGCTCCTTGGTGATCGGGACGTCCAAGGTGTGGACTCGGGCGAGCATCGGCGCGATTTTGCTCGCGAACCTTCAAAAATAGGCTTGCCAGAAAACGGAAAATTGAAGAAAAGTCCAGGGCTGATCCAATCTTAGAAAAACATCGACATCAATATCACGTTTCCCCATTTTCGTACAAAAAAAGGCTTTTTTTTTCGAAAGGCACAAAATTGTTCATACCTTTTCTGGCTAATCTCCAAGCACTGCAGCGGCCGACTCGGAATGAACTGCTCGAATCTTCCGCCGGGGAAAACGCCGAGCAATTTCGGACCCAGTGATCGTTCTGAACCAATGTTCTTGGAAATTCTGTCAAAAATCTTCTGAAACCAGAAAGAAGAGTGAAAACGACGCTTTCGGCCAGCAGCTGATCAATGTCGCTCTGACACTGAACCCGTAGGAGCGCTTTTTCCGGCTCCAAAGCCACCGGTCTCAATCCTTTGGGTAGTTCAACGAGGAAAAGTAGATTTGACATGCCTCCTCTGTACAAAAAGTTGAAAGTTTGTGAGATTTTGAAAATTCTCACGTGATGGCTCTGATCCTGAACTGTTCCACTCGGACTTTGCGCCAAGCGCCGCCCAAATATTTCGCGCACAGAAATCGCGCTCTGTAGAGAATTTCATTGCAGATCGGAGCAGACGAGTCGAATTTGGAAAAGACTTCCTAAAGAAAGGGTATTATGAATGGTTTGAATCAACTTTATCTAATATATGAAAGCCTTTAACAATATTAAATTTACGAAAATTTCTATTTTACTTAATTCTCCTACGATTTGGCTCAAAACAAACCAGAAAAAAATTGTACCTACCAAAATTATTCTTGCATTGAAAAAAACCTTTTTTTAGAAACAACAGAAGGTTTCCGTTAGCTTGAAACTAACTACTACTTTCGAAAAAAATTCTTGATTTTGACTTTTTTAGCCATGTAAAATACCTCAATGGATATCTCAAACTGGCGATGTACGAACAATATATGAACTACTGAATTTTCTCTCTGAAAACCTTCAGGTCAGTGCAATCCTGCGTGCGGTCCTTCCACGTCAAGGACGGATTGTTCTGCGAGAAGGCGATCTCGTAGTTGTCGCCGACGGCCAACAGGTTCGCAGTGGTCGCGGCGGGGACGTCTTCGCCGTCGGTGTGCGTCATCGCTGACGACGTCGTCGAGATGGCGGCGACTGTTGGGGTTGGCGGTCGACGTCGCAAATAGGTCAGCACCCGGAAGATCACGCCGTGCGGTCTCACCAGAATGGCCGATCTGTCAAAAAAATCACGTTGCAATTTATGGGTTTGTCACGCTTGGATTATTGAAGATTATTCGTCAGAAATCGCCCGAAAATACAGGAAATCGGGTAGGAAACATATTTTTCAATATAACTCTAGAATGAATTTTAGCGAAAAAAACTTCAAAACGCGAAAAAAATTGAAGATGTTTTTTTAAAGTTACGACTCTGAGTTGAAAAATCATACGAGTGACTTTAAAACTTAAAAATTATTCTTTCAGCTTAAATTTTTAGAACAAAGTACACGTGAAAGAAATCAATTAAAACAAATAAATCTTTTTTTCAGACAAATAAAACGTTAATGGAAAAATCGCATAAAATAGAGAGGGAGTCAAAAAATGAGGTATTATTTTCGGAAATAATGGACTGTTTATCGAGTATCAAAAAAACTAGAAAATTTTTAAATTACAGCTCCTAACTTAAAAAAACATTATTCATGTTGACAGGTTGAAATTCATTCATAATGCTTTTTTGGAGCAGATTTATTTAACAAAATTATGATGATAATTTTCTTTATTCTGAGGTTTTTATCAAGAACTTTCTATCAAACAGGTTCTGCAAAAGTCTGGCTTTCAGAAAAAATAATCGAAAAAACTGTTTGGCTGAAAAAATAAAATTCAAAGTCGGTCTCAGCCTTGAAAGAAGCAAAAGAAAACAGGTGAACTTTGACCTTTGCGATAATTTTTTGTTGGAACGGATCATTGAACTTGTAGCCTACAGGTCAACTTGAAATATTTTCAAAACTGAATCTTGTCAATTTTTTTATCCATTTCTCAGAGGACAAACTTTTTAAAAAGACCTTGATTTAATGTCACTGAAGGAGTTTTTTTTTTCTAGTTTCATGAGTTTCTCTTATTTCCAAGACAAAATTAGTCCAATATTCAGGCCATCTTATTTTTTTTTCAAAGAGCAATAACCAGGGAAAAACCGAACGAAAAGGACAGAAAGGACAAAAAACATAAATAAATAAATGAATGTTCAGCAAAGCGTATGTTCCGTCAGGGCGTGTGGGGAGGCAATAAAATGGCGACGATCAGTGGAGGCGGCCTGTCGGCTGGAAAATGGCGGGAAATGAGCGAAAAAAAAAAACAGAAAGCGAGGGCGTGTGACCTGTTGATTCTAAATTGATTTAGACCACAATAAAACATTCTCCTCAGATTATATTGAATCTAAAATATTCAGCATAAAAACACAAGCATGTGGAAACGTTTACAGAATCTCTGGTCATGGCTTTTGCAAAAGCAAAAAAGAAAGCGAGGGCATTTGAACTGTTGATTTCAAAGGACTACAATAAGGTTTTTTTTCAGATTTTTGTGGTTTCGAAACTTTTCAACCTAGTTTCCACAAAATACCAATCATGGGAAAAGATTTTACAGCTTCCCCAGCCATAAATCATGATTTTTTTTTCATTTTCGAACAAAAATGAAAGTGAGGGCATGTGACCTGTTGATTCTGATGCAATTCTATTTCTGGAGGACACCATTTTACCAAAGTTCCATGTCGTACATGAAATCAAACGGTGAAAAAAAGCCTTTTTGGCTCGTATAAAAAAATCCAATTTATTATTTTTTTAATCGAACAAAAAAATAATTTCTTCTTCAATTTTTGGAATTTTCTCCGTGACATCATTTTTTTCTCAAGATCCACAGAAATGAACCTGATTTTTTTATTAGATAAGAAACTTAAAATTTGAAGTTTCAAAAGCTTCTCCTAGTGGAAAGAAAAAATAAATACTATTGTTCAAAAATAAAGTTTGAATCAAATCGAAGATACATCCAATAAAGATAACTTCAAAAATATTAAACGCTCCTGTGAACAAAAAAAAAACAAACGAGAAGAAAAATATTCAACAATGATGAATAAGCCCAGAAAACTTCCGCCTTCCTATATAACAAAAAAACAGAGAAAAAGCTTAAGACTTTATGGCTTTGGTGACTCAATTCCCTTCATATTCCATGAATTCCGACATTTTCTCATGTCTTTTTTTATCTTCAAATGACAGCTCAATTATAATGTATAGAAAAAGAAAATTCCTAAAAAAAAAAATCAAACACGACAAGAAGTTGGAATCTTCGATAAGCAAATTTTCAGCGTAAGAAAGCAAAAGAAAAAAAAACAAATCTCCACTTGCCAAAGCCCAAAAGAGCACATAAAAACGTTTCTAACCAATTTATTGGCCATTTTCGTCCTCTGAAATCGCATTACACCATGGAAATGCTACAAAATGGCTGAAAATAGGCAAGTAGGCGAATAAATGGGTTAAGCGGCCACACTAAGCCGGCCATATATGTACATATGTCAGCTTATTAGCTTTCCATGCGAGCTTTTGGCCATATTTCCTACTTATTTTCACCTGGACGCAAAAAGCTTTGAAAGGAAAAAATAGGAATTTCGACGCGTATTCCTATTTTTCAAAAAAAAAGCTGTTTAAAAGGTAAAAACTTGACACAAAAGGGAGTTGAATTGGTCTTGAAAGCATAAATGTTTGCACTATTTGCGGGTTTTTGGATTACGTGTTTCTCATGAGTTTAAAGATAAAATAAGTTCGAAAATCAAGCCATATCAATTTTGATATTGATAAGGTCCTTGTTAGGGGTATCTTATCGAGATGTACTTGTGAGCATGACAAATGATGAACTTCTGTATTTTGAATTTCTCTTTCGTAAAGTACATACAAAGATTCGTTTCAGTTTATCGATTTTCTAATTTTTCTTTTTTTTTGAGACAGATAAATAAATAAAAAATCAAAAGGATAAATTTCACAAAAAATGGCTCGAAATTCACAAATATTGAAGGTTTTTCTTTCAAAAAAAGTGGACAACGCCAGGTATTATTCAAATATCGGATCTGACTAGTGAGTCTTCTTAATGAAAAAAAGTTTTTTTAAAAAAATAATTCTACTGAGACTTTCTTTGGTCAAACGGCGAGTATCTAAAAAAATCGAAAATCTGCGAAAAATTGAGCAGAGGGTAAAATGAGCCGCGAAAAAAGAGCTATTGAAAAAAAAGCTCTTTTTTGTCTATTAACGAAACTTTTCTCGAACTTTGTTCTGAAACCTTCTTCCAAACATGCTTATAGTAATGGAAAAAAATATCGATGGATTTTTTAAATAAGGGCTATTTTTGGTGTTTCGTTTTTTTTTTCTAGAACTGTAAAAAGAAAATTACTGCTGAAATTGAAAATAAATCAAAACGAAAGAAAAACAAAATAAAAAGAACGCTCAACTTCGATGATTTTCTTTTATAAGAAGAAGAAAAAGACTGGAAGGGATGGAAAATAATTCGAACAAAAGATGGAATTCAGGAATAAAGTCCCAATGACGAAGGTGAAGGCAAAGATCTGCCAAATCCAGAAATATCAAAGGATAAAGTCTAACCAATACACGCACGTAGCAAAGATCATCTTTCTCAAGGTGAATTCAAAGAAAAATCATTCTCAAATATAGAATAAAAGTTCCAGTTTACGCAACTGATATAGCTTGACTTGAAAGAAAAAAATTTCTAAAAAAATTACATGAATTCAAAGAAAAAAATCATTCTCAAATATAGAATAAAAAGTTCCAGTTTACGCAACTGATATAGCTTGACTTGAAAGAAAAAAAAAGTTCTAAAAAATTACATCAAATTCAAATTTTTTGGAAGCTTTTTTTCTCTTCAGATAGGGGTTTTGAACAGATTAGACAGATTCAAAAAAAGGAGAATGAAAATTTAAAATTTAATGAAAAAAAAGGAACAGAATTTCTCTATTTTTGAGCACCTCAAACACTTACAAAATGTTGCAGGATATTACTAAAGAAACGCCTCTTAAGGGACCGCTTACGACTCAAAAATCTTCCAATTCATCTGGAGAGCAAAACCGGAGTCTGAGCAACTGATTCGAAGAAGATCTTTTCGAAAAAAGAAGAAGATAAACACTTGATACAGATAAAACATCGAGTCAAATCTCTTTTATTTAGAATTGATGAAGAAAAGACAAAGATCTGCCAGATCTCGACAGATAAAATGATAGAGTCTACAGCGTAGGGCCGCCGGCAAACATCGTGTTCTTCATTTTCTTCTCTTCGCATCAAAGTCGAGTGATATTCAAATATACGGCGGGGGTGCTCGGAAACGGCGGCTGCGAGGGTGTGTAAGGGTGACGTGATGTTCTTTTTTTCCTCCTTTCCTCATTCTTGTTCTTGTGGTTTCGGGAGAAAGTGTGATAATCCGCCGTGTTTATTGACAATTTTCAGGAGTTTTCGGTCAGGTTTTTCAGCCTTCAACTTTTGATCAATGAAAGTCATGGAAAACTCATTTTCGTGGAAAAATGCGCGCGAAGAAATTGATTATTCATAGAAGAATTTGAACTTTAGAACAACGGCTGCAGAGAAAAAAAACAATGAAAAATTCAAAAAGCCGAGAGACGAACAAAACTTTTATAAAAAGTTAAAAACATAAGTTCGAAGTTCTATGAATGAAAAAAATAATCAGGAATCATCATAAAATGGACTTTTTCGAATTCAGATGATACTAGTAAAGGAAAGGGAAATTAATGTTTTTTTCACAGATTTTTCTGATAATTTTCACAAATTCACTGACTTCAAGAAGTTTATATTCTTTTAAATCTAATAACGGATACTTTCCAGTGAACTAAAGCAAAATATTCAAAATATTAAAAATTTATGAAAAGTCGAAAACCACTTGAAAAACTTTGCGCCTGCAAATCCGAGCAAATATTTCAATACTCTTCCGACTGGAAAATAAATCCCACGAATTCATATTCTCAAGGAAAAAAGAGGAAGGGCTTACATTCCGCTTCTATGACTTCACTGCCCTATTCTATAACATGAACAATACACGACCTTGAAACTTTGATTTTTTTTTCGAACCTTGAAATATAAAACTGAAGTTGCTGTACTAAAGTTTAGTATCAAATGAAAAACCAGAAAAAGGTGAGGTGGCTCAAAAATAAACAAAAGTGACCAAACGAGACTTTGAAATGACGCGAAAGCGATTGAAAAGGCTTCAATATGGGAATTCCACGTTGAAAAGAGAGCAAACAATGGAATTTTTTCCAGACCTAACGGTTTTGAGAAAATGAATCTTTTGTTCTTGAGAAATGGAACAATTTGAAAAATCTAAATTACAAAAACATCAAATCAGAAAAAAAGTTTCAGAGAAACAACTCTTTAAAAAAAGTTGTTTCAATGAAAAACCCTTCGAGTTAAGTGTTCTATGAAAAGTTCACCCGAAAAACGTTTGTCTAGACTATTATCAAGGTACTTTGCGATGCATTAAACCAAAAAATGAAGCGTTTAAGAGTGCGTTTCGATTTTTTTTTAAGATTAAAAATAGGAAACTCGAAAAAATTGAAAAAAAAAGTTTTTTTTTCGAATTTCGAAATTCGTGGGTTTTGGATTAGAGAATTTTTGTAGTCAAGTCTGTGAGATTAAAAGGGCTATTTTTTTAGGTTGAGTTATCGGAAATATTCGATTCAACATCAAAAAAGGGATTAGATAGGATTAATCCATGTGGACAATACCATTTTCATAAACTGGCGTCTCCAAAAATAGAAAAAAAGGTGTGAGAGTGCGAGTCTGATCTATTATATCGAGGAATAAAAGAGTGTGAGGAGACAACGAGAGGCTGGAAACAGAGCAAAATGATGCGAGTCGGGTGCGTCGAGTGCGTTTTAATGGGAGGAAAGGCAGGCAAAAGTGTTTTGTGTTAACAGCCGCCTGATAACTTACGTTGTACGCTTGATTGGTTTTTTTTTCCTCTTCTGGTTTAGTTATAAATAAACAAAATTACTTCGTACTATTCTGATGCAAAAGGTTTTGGAAATAATGTTCGAAAGGGAAGTCAGAAAACTTCGAAAATGAAAGTTTGAAATCAGGTGAATTTAAAAAAAAACCACAGAACTTCGTTATTTGGAGTATAATCCGATTTCCATATAAATCAGATATTTCAAAAGTAGCCTTTCAGATATAATATTCGAGAACAATGAAAATTTGAGCGTTTTCCTGGGGCGTGTTTAGAGGTGCAGGTAAACAGTGGATCGACTATAGAAAATAAATCTTACGGAATGGCTTTTAGAGCACCAAAACGCAGAAAAAAAAGTTTTCTGTTTAAACTTAATATATTTTCCAAAAACAAGCCCACCATGAAAGATATTTACCTTTTCAACAGTTTTTCACTACAGTCAAAAAAAAAACCCAATTTAAAGCAACACCCGAAGAAACAAACTACAATCGAGAACCCCTTTCCCAAGCCTTAATTAACGATTGAAGTTTCCCAGACAGCAAAAAGATCAATTTTTGGCTACGAGTGCGATTGTAAAGTTCGCTAGAAACCTTCTTATGCAAAAAAAAAACCGAAAATTGAAAATGTATAATCTAAACTGAGAGATATTTGATATCAAAAAAACTTCTCCTCGTCAAAATTTTTGCAAAAAGATGAAAAAAAGATGAAACTTCAAGACAATATTTTCTAATATATATATATAAATTTCAAAATGCGAATAAGTCTCCACGATTAAATTCTACCCTTGTTACATAGAAACTTGAGACTTTCAGTGGATGAGAAAATGAGTTCTTATTTTTGAATAATCATTTTCAAAAACAAAAGTTGAACTTACTGATGTTCAGACGTCGAACTGGAAACTTCCTCGCTCTCACCTTCACAATCTTTCTTCTAAATCTTCGAAAAATGAAAAAAAAAAACAAAACAAAACAACTGAATTAAAAAAGTTGCGCGTAAAATTCATGTACAGGTTTGCGAGTGTATGCGGACCCCGTGAATACAGTAGGCTCAAAATTTTCGGCTCCATCAAACGCGAAACTTTTTATTTTGTTCCTTCGGGGCTTTCATTTCGTGATTTCTTCGAGTTTTTGTTTTTCTTCTCAAAATATGGGCCATAATTCAAAAAATCAGATCCTTTTTGTCCCATTTTAGGATTTTTTTTCCCATTTATTGTAATTTGTTTCACATTTATTTGTAATTTATACTTCATAAATTAATGAATAGATAAATAATTTGGACACGTTTCGCCGGAAACGCGTCCACTTTGAGCTCTTCTTTGTTACTTGAAGAGCCGCTTCAAAATTCATAATATTTATCCAACTTTAGTAAATTCATCTGGAGAGTTAGTTCAAATGTTTACAGTATCTGAAATTGCAAAAACTCTAGAAATTGAAATAAAGAGGCTAGAGTAGCTTGTCGCAAAGCTGTCAATCAAATTTTTTGAAGGAAATGAGGTCCAAAATATTGCAGTACAAAGTGAGGTTTATAAAATTAGAATGCTGAGAGTTGAAAATCGGAGCAACAAAAAATGCGAAAGAGTGAAAAAAGGTTGACGGCTCAATTTTCTAATGCAAAAGTCAGTTTCTAGCCAGGTTTTCTTTTTCTCCGACGTCTCCATTTTCAGAGACTTCCTTTCCGAAGGGATTCTCGTCGACCATCGCCGTCGTGGGAGTGTCCAGCCAAACAGTTACTGTATCCCGAGGATCGACGCCGTAACTCGCCAAAGTTCGATCTGGTCTCCACAATTCCTGTCCTTAAAATGAAGAAAAGAGGAAATTACGATTTTCGAAGCCAAAATGAATCTTTGGTCTCAAATTCGAGACGAGAGTCTTCCTATTTTTTTCTGATTGTCAGGAGTTTCTGATTTTTCATTTCCATAGGATATTGTTCGGATTATTTTTAAAAGCAAAACTAACGAAAAAATAAAGAAAAAATAAAAATTTTTTTTTTGAAAACTGACCTTCAAAAAAGATCCGAATGATTCTTCCATCGGCTTCCATCACGTGGTCCAACATTCCCTTGACTTCGGAGACCGTGTACCTCCAGCCGTTTTCCAAATCTGTCCAACGAGAGTTGGTCGCATCGAATATTGTTATGCCAATACCTACAAAACAAAGGTTATTAATAAAACTCAACTTTCAAATTTATCTTTTTCAAAAGGTCCAACCCAACCTTTGGCCGAGGCCGAAATGGCCAGAATTAGGGGAATAACCAAACGAAGCATTATTGGCAGAAAATAAAGAAAAACAATGGGAAATTGTGTAAGAGACGAGAAGAAGGGCCGATGGCCAGCCGACTTGTTTCGAGACCATACCAAGAAACTCGTCCTCTGATTATTTATACAGAAGCCGTCCAACTGTTTTGGGCCTCCGGTGACTTTTTTGAATTTTTTAGAAACTTCGGCAAATAAAATTTTGTTCGAGTTTTTTTTTTTAAATGCTTCAATTGAAAATATTCGAACCGCATGAATTCCTTTAGCTAGGCTATTTTTCGAACTTTCTTTGTCCTGGACCTTTTTTTATGATTCCTATAGATTTTATTTGGTGTTCTAGTTACCATTGGAAGCGATTTTCCGTCGGCAATCATATTTTGATGTCAGTTAACGAAACTTCAAAGCACTATTTCAAACTTTCTGGTTAAGCCAAAAAAGCTGCCAAATTAGGAGTGGCATTAGTTTGATTTTCAAATAGTGTTTAGACCAGAAGATCAACCTGCAGTCTTTTCAAAATTTCAAAAGACAAACCTGTCTGGAAAAACTGAATGAAGATCCAGATACACAAAAGATACGAAAACTTTCTGAAACTTTCAAAATTCTGTTCCAATTCACTCTCAAACTCGACGAAAAGTTTATTTTAACGATTCAATGTTGTGAAAAAAGAAGAACGTCCAAGCTGATCAGCTTTAAGAACACTTACTAAAACAGAATAAGATCACACAAAAACTGATTTAGGAGGCAAAAACAGTAAGAGAAATAAAATGCGTGGGGATGAATGTGGAATAATTGAAAAGAGAAGCGTGGTTTACAATTTACAGCGAAAATGGTTCGAGGTAACAGCTTAGGAAAACTGGAGCCTGAATTTCAAAGGAAAAAGTAAATTCTAAGACAAAAAAGACAAACGAAGAAAGAGGGAACGAAAAGGAGAAGAAAAAATAATTGGGGGTGGAGTCCAAACAACTGGTTTGTTTTTCTCATTCTTTTTCATTGGGCGAAAATTTGTTTTCGAATTTCGGAAGCCGAAATAGATAATTCGGTTGGAAGAAATTGTTGTACTATGAGAGAAAGGAACAAGTGCTCAAATGGGAAAGTTGATGCGCAGAAATGATGAAAAATTGATATCTTCTCTGATTTTTTGAAAGTTTTTTGCGAAATCGGCTGCGCATCAACTCGAAGTTTGGAAAATACTAAAGATAAGAATTATGCGGACCCCATTCGAGCACATACAAAAAGAGGGCGATAAATAAAAGGTGGATATGAAGGCGTCTAATAGAAGAAAGCGGGCTGCCAATTCGGCCAGACGGTCTGGTCCTGCATGGTGTAATTTGCCTGAAATATAAATTTTACGTAGAGAAAAATTGTTTCGTCAGAGTTTATTGGCTAAAGCTTCAACAAGGCGATACTGATTTTTCTCTATGTGAGGCCTACACGATTTTATGAGACCACATGATTTTTCAAAAGTTAAGTTTGACAATCATTAAGAACAAAAAGAATGATTGAAAAATTGACCTAATCTGTTTTCTAATCTAAGGTTTGAAGTTTCCAAGCTTGAACAAACAGAAAATCTCCTCCGGAGTATTTTTCTACTTTTGCCCTCAGGCTTGTTCCGAGAAAAAACTAGTGTAATTTTTGAACTAATAAAAGATATGAAGAAGAAAAACGAACAGTGGCGCCACACTTGACTTCGTCGAGATCGTATCCGCCGACGGTCGCCGCCGATGACGTTGGCGTGGCGACCGACGAGCGACGCTTCGCTAGTCAGCTACTGTCGTTGGCATAGGGGCTGTCAGTTGGGCTGCACGAGGCCGAGTGACTGCAAACATTCAATTTCAATCAGGCAGCTTTTTGAAGACTTTGGCCAATACTTATTGATCTACCAGCTGAATACCTTTCAGGGTCCTAATCTGCACAATCTCCTAGTTCTCAAGAAAGCTGGTCCTAAAGTCAAGAAAACCGTCAAGATCCGCACAACACTCAAAACTTAGAAAATTTCGCAGGTTCAGCCTTTCCGGATCTTAAATTTTTACTTCAAGAGACCGTGTCTCAGGGAAATCTTAAAGTTACCTTTCTAGAATACCTTGCTTTTTGAAGCATTTTTCATCTTTATAGGATCATATTTTCTGATGCGAAACTCACTCCAAGTAGGAATCTTCGCCGAGGCTAGAGTAGTCGTCGAAGATGTCGCCGTAGAGCAACCAGAAGAGGAGGCCCTCGTGGCCGTTCTTCGAGAATGTGCTCCGCACTCGCACCTGCTCGATCACGTCCACAGACATTAGCTGCAAGTTGTATTGTTGCAGCAACTGTAATCCAGAGGAGAGCTACCGTAAGCTGTGGAATGAGGAGCAGGATCGCGGCGAGACGGGAGGCGGCCTCAGCGGCTTCCATCGTTTGGAGGCACTGTTGGAAGAGTGCCGCGTTGACTCTTTTGCGCAGTTCGCGCACAGCCAGGACAGCTTCGTCTGACAAGCCGACAGCCTCTGAAAAATAATTTTTTTGCTTATTTTCAAAACATGGAATTGATAGTTTTCTCAACTCAATTTGCTTTGAACTCAAAGTGCTCTGAACGGTGGCGCCTCAAGGCGCGCCCTAATATTTCTCTGTTGCGTGCAATTTCTTCCTTCTCTGACTACGAGAAAACGACGAAATAGCATGCGACAGAGAAACATCAGGTTGCGCCTGAGTTCCGAGTGAATATTAAAAATGCTAAACTTGAGCAACAGTTATTTAAATTGCATCAATACAAATGAAATAACTTGAAAAACTTTTTTCCTTATTTCATATCTTCAAATATTTTCAAAACTTCTGTAGAACTACTTCGTACACCTTTCTTTTTTTTTTCAAATTTCCACCATCCCCTCAAAATCAGCAGAGCGAAATTCCGAAAAGAGCATAAACCGTCGAGCTCATAACCATAAAACGCACCGGAAACGACGCAAATCGAGCTTATCAACCCAAATTTTATGGCTTATCAACTTCTCCGACCCCAAACATGGACCGGAAATGACGTATGGCTCTCTCGTTCTTTTACAGTAAGACCAGATTAAACTATGCAAAACAGTTGTTTCTCTTTTTTCACCAGATTTTTTTTTCTCTCTCGATACTCACCAGGGTTGAGGACGATCAAGGCCTTGAGTAGTACGGCCTCCTTCGGCTTCAAGCAAAGCGGTTTCAGCTCCTTGTGCACCCACTTGGTTAGATGTTCCAGGGTCTTCCAGTTGATGAATCTGAGAGAAAATAGATTAAAGTCTATTCCTAAAGTTTTGCGTGTTTATCTGAACATGAGGGCTGTATAAAAAATACAGAGAAGCTGCCGAGTGGGAGAAATATGGGTCTAAGGAACAGGCCATGGTTTACTGAGAATTTTCAGAACTGGATTTAATTATCTAAACACCAAAAGGTCAGTTTCAGGTGGAACTAAACCATTCCTCATGGAGCGCACAAGTCTTTTTAAAGGTATAGCCTGTGTACCACGACTTGGAATTTCATCGAACGACATTCCGCTGTTCCGCTGCGTGCTCGGCCACTTTTTAATTTTTAATTTTACTTAAGAACTCGACCAACACGTGTTCCTAGTGGAATAGTCCATCTATCAGAAATGAGAACCAATTCAAAGCGAGACCGAGGCTCGCAAAAACGCTTCGCGACGCAGCGGAACAGCGGAATGTCGTTCGGTGAAATCTCAAGTCGTGGCACACAGACTATAGTGTGAAGGGCAATAAGTTTTTGAAAATTTCAAATCGAGATGACGATCGCAATGCTTTTTTGTCACTTTTTCTAATAATTTTTTATTCAGCCTATACGATACTGATCCCACGCAGAAACTACTCAGAAAATTGTGAAATTGGAACTAAACCAAAAGCAAAAAGAGGGAAACTAACGAGTTAGCAGGAGGTTGACACATGGTGTGCAGGTAGGTGTCGTTGCACAAAGGAACTTGGGTCGTAGCGCAGCCCATGGATTGCACGCCGAGTTCGAGCAGCGTGAGCGAGGCGCAGCACGAGCGCAGAAGCGCGGTCTGAAGTTCGTAGATCATGCGTTTGTTTTCGAGTTATAAGCTATCTTCGTTATGAATATTATCAACGAATTCAAACTTGAGAAACCAGATTTTTTTTTTCAATTTATGGACTTGAAAACGCTTACTTTGTTTTCAGAGGCAAACAAGCTGGACCAGTTAACTGAATTGTAATTGCTCAAGTTCGTAGATTTTCAATTCATTTTTCCTTATTGCGTAAAATATATTTATTCTTGGATAACTTTTCTACCTAAAAAAGTGCCTTGAGCATACATGGGCAGACCATTTTTGAACACCAACTCGCAAGTTTTCCTGAATTGAAGACAGTACCACCTCCTGAGGATCAAAACTAATTTCTTTTGTCAGCACCACAAGTTTCCGTAAGTCAATTTTTCTTGGACTAGTTTAATCTTTTAGCTATTTTTTTAGGACCGTAGGTTTGAGCTTTCAAAAAATGAAATCAGTTTTCTTTCCCCAGATTTAAACTCCCTGAAGCCATAAAAAGTTACTGATCAATTTACCCCAAACAGAGTAACTTTCATATATTTCTTGAAGACTCAATTAAACTAATATTTTAATCCTTTCTCACCAAAACTAGATCAAAGAGTCCTCGTTAAGGTTCAAAATGATCTGTGAAGGAATATTGTTATAATTGCCCAATTTTCAGATAAAAGATCCATAAAAACAACAGCTTAGTGAAAAAAGGGATAAAAAGAGACCTTATCCGTGCGCACGATGTCTTCCATGTCGGCCGCCTGACGACACCAGTCAATTGCCCAAGTAACCATCCGACGTTCGTTCTCATAACACGATTTCTCGTCCGCGATCCGGGTAGCGCAGTAGCTCATCTGAATTCATCACTACTCAATCAAGAATTTCCAGACTTTTCGATGAGGAAAAAAAGTAAAATTCTGACGTAAGACTTGATGAAAATTCGCGCTATTGAGTTAAGGCCTGAGCCGGGCTTGAAAAACGGCCGTCGGACCGCTAGGCCTTCGGGCTGGCCCTCGCACAAGCCTGCCTACAGCAACCTAGTCTTTCTTTGCAGAGTAAAAAGTCAGTTCAAAGTCTGGTTTCCTTTTTCTTCTCATGACCGACCTCCGTGCGGTAACCGTCGAGCAACTCGGGCTCTTCGATGAGGTTGCCCAGCGAGGGTTCGACGTTGTGGAGGTTGGCGCGTTTGGCGTTGCCGTCCGACGCCGTCTTGTCGATGAGCAGCAACGACGAGACGAGAAGGCGGTTGTCGATCTTGCGCCGCTTCACGTCAGGCTGCAACTTTCAATATCAGAAGGCGACGGTTATAAAATGGCGATGTGATTTTGAGAGAATCTACCCATCAATTTCTGAGCTAAAAATATGCTTATCATTATTACTAAGATTATCAAAAAAAAGACATTATTCACAACTAGCATGAGACAAAAACTATAGAAATGTCTAAAAATCTTCTTTTTACCAACTATTTGCCAAAAGTTGGTGTTTATCGAAAAAAGTTACCCTAGATAGTTGAAAAATCTCAGCGATTCGGCTTGATCCATAGAGCTTTTGTTTTTGACTTTCCAATCTTGCAAAGTTCATTACAAGAAAAAAAAACTTATATTGGATCTCTCCAGTCAATCAAAGGTTTTTTTTCTTAACACACACCCAAATTACTATGAACAAACTAAAATCTAATTTTTTTCGGAATCTGTAAAAAACGAACAGTTGCAATGTTCTCTTGCTCATCGAACTCGTCGCTGTCGATTTCGCGCTTCTTCGTCTTCGGTGTCTTACGATCCATCTTCACGGCTGCAAATTATTTTTATTTCATGAACTTTCGCTTTTTTCTTTCATTTTCTACTTCCAGAGCCATGAAAATCAAACACAACTTTCTATTCTCATGCGCCAAATGATACAGAAAGACGAAGAATACATTTCATGTCACATTTGCCCTCAAAAGTTCTATTTTTTCTTTCTTTTCAACTTCTTTTTTTTCCTCGCGGCAAATGTTTACCTTAACCAACAATGAGAATGAAAATCACAAAAAGACCAAAAACGCAAAATCTTTGCGAGATGAATAAAAAAATATGAGAAAATCGAAGAATAGGAAAGGAAAAAACAAGTTCGAAAAATGGGAGGAAATAGACTTGAAATTTTTGATATACAGATAAAACTAACCGTGACTTTTTAAAAAAATTATGTTATTTATTTCAAGTTTTATCTAAACTTTTTGCTTCCTTCAAAATTTTGACTTAAAAGATGTGTAAATTTTTTTCGATTGGACATGGTACAATTCCTTCGTTTCTTTCCTATGTTCTTTCCTATGTTGATTCTTTCCTATGTTCAAGTAAATATGAACTGCATTTAAATTTTTCGATATGAGCCTTTCGATAAGAATTACCCCCAAAGACCTAAAACTTTCCAGATGAACATTTATACTAAAGAAAACGAAATTTATCCTAATACCATCCATATTCTTCAAATCTACAGAGCCTAAATGGAAGCCAATAAATGTTTTTCAGAAGAAAAGACGGGAAAAATTGGTCTCAATCGAAGAAATCGAGAAGACCGTCTTCTCGACTAAACGAATCGACTGGAATTGAACTAAACCGAAGGACAGGAAACGGGAGTATATATATGGCCAGTATTTGTGTGTGGGTGTTGGAAAAGAAAAGAAAAAGGACCAGCGACAAAAAAAATGGGGAATTGAGCGGAAATGACGCACCGGAAACTGATAAACAATATATCAACACGTTGAGATAAAGCCCATTTTGGTGCAAATGGTTGATTTGGGGCAAAACCGACCTTCCATTTTCATTCCAGCCTTGAGACAGCGGTTGAAGCGACAGAATCGGCATGCGTTTCGTCCAGCTGCAACTTCCTTTTTCTCTTTTATCACGAGGTATCGCTCCCTTTTTTCGGAATATCACTTTTTGGTTATGATTTATCACGCGTTTTATTAAAATTGGCTATTCTAGTTGCTGTGATCCTTCTATTTTTTGAATAGCATCTGATATTCTGCTACTTTTGAGTCATTTTTTGCTGTTATCATTCGATTTTGGCCAGTTTTGCTTTTGATATATCTGCAAAGATCTTATTTTTGTTATGCCTTCTATTTTCGCTATTTCTCATTTCGATTGGTTTTTTCCTGATTTAATAATTCTACACCTTTTTCATTTTTTTCTACGAGTTAAAAAAATGAAAATATTCCTAATAGACAAATACAAAAATAATTCAACTTAAATACTGGAAATATTCGAAAAAATCATGTTCGCTTTCGAAAAAAAAACCATTGAGACATTTGATGGCCTTACATAAAAATTTTTTTGATTTTTTTCAAACGAGAGACCCCTAAAGTTCACATTGCTCATAAAATCTCCGGTAGAACCTTTAATACTTTTTTAATCCCTTCCTGATATCAAATGACACAAATTTTGCAACAAAAAAAGTTTGTCGCCCATCTTTTCATTGCCGATAAAGTTTAGAGAATTGTTTATCAGCAAATTCGCTTTTTATTGCCTTATCCTCTCATTTGCAAAAACAAAAAACGCCCCAAAATAGATATATTCCATTACTGGAGAAACAACCTTCATGAACCGGGTCTATAAAAAAAAAAGGAAGGCGAGATGTTTGGCGACAAAAGATCATATGACTTTTTACGGTAACTTGAGTGATTCTCCGAGTAACACGTAGTGAAAGTATGATTAACTATGATCAATAAAAATCCTTGAAGGAAGCAATCGAAGATTCTTGGAGTTTTGAAGCGCATTGTTAATTTTTGAGCAGACTGAGAAAAGCGAAGCCAGAGGTGCCGAAAGTTCGCTCCGATTTTCAAAAATTCAAAATACATTTTGTCGTAAATTTTCAAAATTTCAAAAGCTCGTGTCTCACTAAGCGAAGATGTATTAAGAACATTTTCAGCCGTTGAAATCCAACAGTTCGTTCTTGAACAGAATACATGCAAATATTTCTTTGTTTCCTGGGATTGAACTGTTTTTTAAAGAGAAACCCTTATTAGCTTATAAAAAACTGACTAGTCGAGATAGAGCAGGTTCCCCCGTAGCGGCAGACGTAGTTCAGCCGGCTTTTGACGGTTCTCCAGAAAAAGCACTTGCAACCGTGGCACGCCGCCACACCGTAGTAGAGGTGCGAGCAGGCGCGGTCGCCACAGACGACGCACTGAAATTCCCTTTTCCCCTATCCGAGCTTTTTGAATGGTTTGATTGGTCCGACTCATTGATTGGATTAGAGGGAACAAAAATCGATAGTTATCACTGTACAAATAGAGTTTAGCTCCGACATGAGGCCGACGCCTTTTCAAGCTTTAAAGTCCCATATTGGAGCTCTTGAAAAAAGATCTTCTCACACGTGAAAATTTAAGAAAAAATGAGATTTTTTCGTGAAAACTGGGAACAAAACTATTGAAGCTACAATGATCACTACCAATTTTTCTGCCATTCTGATCCAATCAGATCATCGATCCTCGTTTTAAACTTCAAACGGAAAACAAACGCTCGTCTTTTCACACGAATTCTGCCACTGGGAAAGAAAATGGAAAAATATAAAGTAAAAGTATACGCAGCCAACATAAAAATTATAAAAAAATCCTTCGAAACTCCACAAAGAGTAATCTGTTTGAGTTGGGGCTCAGGCTAAGGATTAAGATTGAATTGATAAAAGAAAACATCCGAAAAATCAAAAAAAAAAAGTAAAAAATTATTGAGCTGCTGTTTTTCACAAGCAACTTTCTTGATCAAAAACTAGCCGTAGAGCGCAGAAAGATGGCTTTCGTGAATAATTTCTCAAGTTAGAGTTTTTTGAAAAGTTTTCACACAAATATCTACAGTATAGAGCCCAAAGCGCATGTTCCGCTCGGCTCTCCCGGGAATTTTTAAATAATAACCTTATTAACTGTCTCTTAGAGTTTCAAAACATGATGTTCTACATTTCTATATTGGCTACTGCACACGAAGGTTGTATTTCTCTATTCTGGAGCACGAAACGGACCAAAGCGCCGACGGCCGCCTTCTCCCGAAGGAGCGGCGGATCGCCGACCGCGTCGGCAGCCGCGGTAGCACGTTGATTCGAGTTGGGTTGCGCGTCTCCGGACATCTCTTATTGGCAAGGAATCGTGTTGGTTGTACTCGTTTGGTGCGTTGGTTTTTTTTTGTTGGTATTTGTGTTCTACCAATGAATGTTGCTTTCGAACGCGGGGTTGACAGACTCCACCTTAAAAAAATTGATGATGATCGAAAATATTAATTTTTTCGAATTTTTTTGTATCGCGTTCGAAGCAAAGATTATAAGAATAGAGGGTTGTTGTATGAAGTTTTTATAAAGTCAGCAAGAAAAAAAAGAAGGGAAGCAAATTTCGAAAAATTAGGTCGATCAAGATGAGCCAAGGCTGGGTCTCAAAAATTGCCTGGCAAGCTTGTAAATTAGACTCAGCCACGAACGATTTCAGAACGCTATAATTCAAAAAAGTTTCTAGTAACATGAATATCCGTATATCAGCGCACATACTAAGCTAATAGTGAGCTTCTTTGAAACTTTAGAGGAAGAACTTCATCAAAAATAGTTTTAGCTCATAAAACGGTTCTTGCAAGAGGAAAACAAATTGAATGTCTAAACTGAAACAGACTAGTAGCTCTAGAAAAAAAAAATGATAAAATCGTCTCACAAAGGCAAATTATAAACATGAAAGAAAACGTTGTTTTAGCGAAGAAGGTCATTAAAATAGAATCAAGGACGGTTACGGTATTCGCTACGCTGTTTTTCTCTCTGTTTGGTGATGATATCAAAGGGAACATGTGATACCCGGATTAGTTTCCGGTGCGTCTGCAGCTAGAATCCAAAAATCAATAACTATCCTTACAGCGATTTGAAATTGAGGCATTTCCAGACAAATTTAAAAAACGACATGACGAACGCGAAAAAAAAAACACAGAACATATAGAAGCACAGAAACAAACGACTTGGACAGACGCAGGGAAATGAAATCAACAATCGATTAACATTTTAGATCTGGAAAAAAAGTTAATTGAACAAAGCGTAGGCGTCAATCAGAAGAAGACGAGGGCCGTCATTGATACCATCAGAGGACATAAAAGTGATTCTAAAACGTAGAGCGATCGTTGGAGACGGAAAAGAGAGAGGAAGAGAAAGGCTGGGCCTTTTGTGCGCGCGGGACGACCGCGGGACGACGGCTGGTGTCGACGGCGGCGGCGACGGTGTTAATGTCAGGACGGAGGGATCCGCCGCGCAACACAGACACTACACACAACAGTCTTGTCGACAAAAGTTCCGTGCCATTTGCGCTATTTTTAGTGGAAACCTTGCATATTCAACGAGAAAAATCAAATGAACGTCTTTCTACGAATTTCTCGCTTTTTCAGCGAGACTTTTTTGTTGGAAATTCTTGCTGAGATGCTTGAAGACGCAAGATTCTTGTACGATCTGAACAAACGCTGAAAACAGTTCATCAACCCGAATTCCTCTTTTTTTTTCAAATCGGCTCATGTTCCTTCATACACTCCAGCGAGGACTTCAAACGATATCGGTACGGTAGCGCTTTTATCAGTGATAAAAGACAAGGCGGCCGTTTTCGTCTTCCTGGTACCCAAATTATTCCTATGAAATTGGAAAGATGACTTTTCCGTCGCATAATACATTTCCGACTTTCTTCTCATTCATAAAAAAATACTTTGACCGAAAAGTAATATATTTTTCGCAATTCCTTCAACAAAAAATCATCGTTTCGGAACGCAGAAAATGTTCCAAACTGTCCAACGAGACAGAATTGAAACTCGCTGTGATATGACCGAAATCGTTCCGCTTCCGTAGAATCGCGATTCTTTAAACTGTCTATTTTCTACGCGTTTTCGATTCTATTTCTTCTTTCTTTAGTTTTTATGGACTTTTAAATGCTTAACACAATTTATTGAGCGCAAAATCGTTAGAGGGTCGAGAAAAATTTATCTTCCTAAACCCGATTGGAATAGACCCAATAACAAACCAAAATTTTTTTTTGGTAACTCTTATTTCTAAAAAAATCTTCTTAGAAAATAAACACGACTGTAAAGAAACAACATTAATAAAAAAATGGTGTGAATTTCCTAATGGAATGATAACAAAAAAAACATCGGTTCAGTTGAAAGTTTACTACCATATTTAAAAAGAATGAATACGGACATCGACGCGAAAAACTAAAAAAAAAATAGCTAGAAGAACGAGACGGAAATCTTAAAATACCAAGGTTTCCAATAATAGAAAGCTTATCTTTATTCGTTTTGGCTTTTCTAAAAATATAAAATCATGAGAACTGAGAGAAATTTTAACTTTAACTGAGAAGAAATTGAGATATGACTTTCTTTTTAAGAGCTGGTTGAAGAAGAATGTAGTTGATTGACTTTGAAGGAAACGGTTGAATAAAATGGCTTATCACTACTTTTTACAGACTACATTTTTTTCTTTTTTTGATAAGCAATTAGATAAGGTGAGAATAACCAAAAAGAGTTTCAATAAGCAAAGATAAGGTTGAGCTGAGAAGAAAGAGGCGGGAACTTTTGATAAAAGAAATCAGCTCAGAAATAATTTGATCATAAAATTGTACCTTCGACTTGAAAATGTGTTTTTCCGATGTTTTGAAACGAGTAAGGAGAAAAATTAGAAGTGAAGCTTGAACATTTTCAATTTTCATCGAGATTTGAACGATTTTGAGTTTTTTTGGGATTTCACTATAAATAGAAGATAACTAAGAGAAAATTTATAAGCTTCAAAAAATGCTCACTCTAAATCTCCTACCTTATCCATTGAAGTTTAGATATACTAAAGCATTTGATACTAAAGCGTTTGAAACTACAAAAAGCGGTCTAAAGAAGCTCAAGGATCAGATGTGAGCAAAAATTACAACTCGGTTGGTCGCGCTGAACCAAGACATAGACATACACACACAAAGAGAGCGCGGCAGCCGCACTGTAAACAATCGATAAAATTGGAAAAGAGAGACGGTGGTGGAGATGCCGGCGTGTCTCGTCGCAGTGCGAGGGGCGCGACTGATAGGCGACGATCACGACGAGAGGACGAGGCAATGATAAGCCCGCAGAGACAGAACAATGGAGCACACGACGACTTCCGGTGGTCCCAGAGATTCTCCGAATCGCTTACGATTACTTTCGGTCTTATCACTGATGGGTCTTGCAGAGAAGCTCTTCCACTGATAAAGTCCATTCTGACGCTCTGAACTCTGATGGAGAAGGTCCCAAGCAGAAATGATGATAAGGAGCTACAAGAGCGCATAAAGATCGCTATAACTTGACGCTACTGATAAAGTTAAATAAGGCGGCGTTTGAAGTGCAGCTGGAGCAAGGTACATCCTTATGAAAAAAAGAAAATAACTGAATCATGAAGATAGAATACAATTCGAACATGACTAATAGCTCTGAAAAAGATGGAATATCTCTGGTAAGGCGATGAAAAAGAAGTCAGAACTAATCTTCAGTTTTTTATAGTTTATTTAATGGATATAATAGTCGTGCTCTGAGATCTGAAAAAGGCTGAAATATCTAGTTTTCTTCAAAGAGACAAGGTCGATTCCGGCAACTCTCATAACTTTCTTCGAAAAAAATTACGTTTTAGTAATCATACTGAACAATATTCACAGACAGCTGAGAACGATACAATAAGAAGGAATCTATAAAACTTTTAAAAAAGCTCAAAAGATGAAAAAGATAAGAAGGATCCACAATTAAAAAAGTTTGACTTCTCTCAAAGCTGAAAATTTTAGCAGATCGAGATGTCTTTTGAAATAAAATTTCAGGAGAAGCGAAAAATTCAGTTAATTCAAAACTGTAAAAAATAAAATTCATCACCATATCTATTTTTAAAAAAATCATCAAAATATTCTAACTCAATAATCATTAGTCTGAAAAATCTTCCAATAAATTGTTGAACAAACCGTTACCACATCAAAGTTCTGGTGCACTTAAAAACAGAAGAAAAGGACAGAAAAACGTTTGTTGGGAGAAAACGTCGTCGTTGCGGGACGCCGTTTGGCAAGAACAGAAAGAGAGATTGAGAGCAGGAGAGAAAAAGACGAATCGATCTGACGAGAGGGGTGGAGCGCGAATAAATGCCCTCAAGTGAACACTTGGGAGCACGTGCTGACGGCGGACGGATCGTGGCGAGAGAGGCTGAGTAAACAGTCGCCATATTATTCGTGTGGTCACTGATGCTGGTTTAGTTGACAAGACGGTGATATGAACAGCTGAAGAGTTGCCTAGAGGGATGATCAGGTTAAGTGACCTCTTAAGAAACTTCTTATGGTTCGCGAAAATACGTCTTCTGACTTTTTCAAACGATGGATGATGAATATTTTTTGAACCCTAAAACAACAATATCTATGAAACTAATTTTCTTTTTTTTTTAAAGTTCAATTATTTATTTTTTGTATTTTAGTACGAATCTGATAAGAGCCGGTAATCGTTACAAAACAAATTAGAAATATAAGCATAAAAGTTCAAACTTAACAAAGAAGCCTTAAAATTCTGGAGGTGTGTTCCAACCGAACCAGCTGACTATAGCCATACTACATACAAAACAAAAAGTTTTGAAAGTCGAAAAAATGTTGATCATTTGGTGAGCTTTACACCAGAGGGACTTGTGTCGTCTCGAGATCTGCGGGAAAGAAACGAAAAATGCAGTCAATCAAGGATCAATTGTTTTGACACGTTTCGACGGATTCGTTTCTTGCCCTTTTTGTTGCTTCTGTCAAAGGTGATTCACTGTTATTGTAGACAGGAAAGTGTTATGAAATTTGCTTGAATAAAAATAACACAATTAATTTCTGGCAAATTAAGAAAAAAGACTGGGCAAAATATTTATTCTATCTTAAAGCGTAATTTTACACAGCTTGAAAAACCAATGAATGTTTCTCTGATCGTAAATCTCGAACATCCGGTTGCGAAAATTTGAACCTCCTGTTATTCAAACACGAAACAACAAGGCCAAAGTAAAAAAAAGGAAATTTCTTTTCAAATATAAGAAAAATGAAAAGAAAAAATGTTCGAGCTTGCGAAAAAGAAAAAAAAACCTTAAAACCAAGAGCAAAACAA